GGATTTTAAAACAGTCTTGCCACCTGACAAGTTATATGTTTTTCGTTCGAAGTTAAAACGATGAGTTTAATTTTGTGTAAGAGTTTTCATGTTGCAAATACTAAATGTAAAATCGGATCCACTCCCTGCATCGCAATTAATTGTATGCATTCAGATGAGGGTCTAGAATACATGGTGAGCTAATGTACGCGTAGCTTCATCAATACATAATTGTAAATCCTAATCTACATCTACAAATGTACATTAGCACATCTGCACATGGTGCATACATAAATGTGTTTCGGAAAATACATATTTACATACATTTGTACATAAGTATTGATTGGTACAGAAAACACATAAAATGCTACAGCATAACGATGTCATACTTTGAATTGTTTTGCCCTGAAGGTTTTTACAGCATTTAAGATGAAAATGTATCAATTGACCTTGGGGCAATGTTTCTAAATAGCCTTGGACCTCAGACGAACCGCTCCGACCTAACAATATGTAAACCCTTTTTAACAAGCGGTTTCATTGCGAAAGCACATTTAAATATTAAAACTGAATTCAAAGGCGGAAATATGCAAATGGAAATGCTGCCAGCTATCAACTTTTTTTTATTGTAGTGGCAAAGACAAGGTGGTGGTGCTCAGCTTTCGTCTAGCCGCAGTTTTCCCAACAGACCCAATCCCAAGCCTTTTATTCTCTCTATTGATAGCAGGGCGCTCGACTCATCCTTAAATTTGTTCGTGATTGCTAATGTAATTGAATTAAGTGGCGACTTGTTGATAAGGAGCAAAGTCAACAGGCACGCTCCACAACTCAATTGGCCACAGACGTGACGAAGAATTGCTTGGTGCGGGCTCTATTTATATGGGGGCATTGCGAATACGTTTGCCTGGCCTTTGCCTGGAAACCTATGCAGATACATACTCGTATATGTACGAGTATGTACATATTTGGTCTCGCAGCTTGGCGCTTTCACATGAGATGACAAAAGAAGTGCTGTTTGTTAGGTATACACAATAAGGGTTCACGTATTTTTCACATTCCACGGGGCAATAAACGAAACGGCTCATATGCATCAAATTGCTGAATTGTACCCCTCATTTGATTATGAATGCAAGCCAAATAGTGTATCATGTCCGACTGCAGGTAATTTCACGTAATGCTCCTGCATAATACTCCCGGCAATCTCTGTCTCAGACATGAGGGGGCTGCAAAAGTTGCAGACAACATTGTGAAGAATGCCAGCCTGTCCATTTGAAAACAAGCATCGCCAGATAGGTAATCTCCATGCCCATCTAAATGAAACTCTTTATCTTTTAGTTTTGTGCGGTAACTTTCACCGCAAAACTTTCTGTACCCATTACCCGTGGAGCACAAGGGAATATTGTATTCGAATAGCTACGAGCTTGCACGGTTATAAATAACCGGAAGAAGGAAGTAAAGTGGATGCATATGTACATGCATATAGTCTTAGGTCTTTATGAATTAAACACAATGACTGCTTACAAAAATGGGACCTTGAAGGTTATTTGTGCATATTGTTAAGTGTCGAATGAAAGTAAAGCCAATGAAAAAATGTAGCACATCTTTGAGCACGATTCTAGTCCGCACCTTTACCTTTAGCTTCGGCGTAACTTCTAATTACGTCTTGGATTACTTTTCTTCATACCAAATCTGCTTTTATTGTGAGTTTATCCTCAGGAAAAATGTTTTTAGAAATTATTTGCTTATAAATTTCCCACAAATGTATCGTTTAGTATTTTTTATATAACATTTTTGATGATTCTTTTGCGTTACTTTATTTTCTGATCATTTCTGAAATGCATAAAAATGTTTTCGCTTTGAAATTATGTAAATAAATATGTCGATGACGCTTGAACATCTTTAACATCCGTGTCCTGCAGCTTAGTGCAGTCATTTAGCTGAGAGACAAGATCGATCTGTAAGGGTATACAAATCTTCGGCTCTGCAGGCTAGCGTTTTGCTTTCTTTTCAACTTGTCTGCTGCATGAAGAAGCCTTGTCGAAAGCAATTTCGATTGCATGCAAATTTGCGGAATGCTGACTTTCCCACAGACTCGCTGTCTAACAGTATGGAATGCAAGCCTGAAAGTGTTTTTTGGTGTAACTAGTGATGCGTCGACAAGCTGGGTAACATGAAAAGTTTGTTCACAGCAAGAAAAACTTTTATTTGATTTGCTATAGATCTCATTAATACATTACAAAAAGGTTAAAAGTATATGGATTTTACAAAAAAAAACATACATATTTACATATTTACATATTCATATGTATGAATTAGCAGAGGTTTATGTTTTCAATAGTTTAATAAAAATAAATTCGTATACCAAAATGTGCACAATTTACTTGGCTCTCGGATAAAATGTATATTCAGAATAACATTTACATATGTACATATGTGCGGAAGTTGTATGTACGAACACAAATGCACATACATATGTATATGTATATGTACATACATAGTGCGAGGATAAAAGCTGCCTTTTTGGTTCAAAATTATACATTTTGTGCGCTGGTGCGTTATGTGTTTCATTCATCCACACGAATTAATTGCCAATACAAAGAGATATAGTGTGCCGTCTGCATTTTACTGTCATACAACTGAAATCAAAGAATTTAACTTCTGTGCAACTCAACTGGTTGCGTTGGACTGCAACGGATGTGATTGTTGAAAATGTTTAAATACATACAGATGTACACACACACATACGCAAATATAAGTGCACATACTAATGTATGTAATTGTATACAAATATAAATTTAAATATTTAAAAATATATTTATTTATGTGTACGTACTTGAATGGATTTATTTATTCCATTTGTGTACATTCTCCCTAAATGTAGAAATTATGCATGTGAATCAGCTGAACAGAATTGTTGATAGGCCCTCAGGAACATGCACAGTTAGCCGCTGGGTTGATGCGGATGTGGAATTTGGAAACCGTTTGCCGTCGAAATTCGTTCACCACAATTTTTAATCAGAAGTAACTGGTGTAGTACAGCATTTCCGACAACCTAAAATAAAATTCAAATAAAAAGATTTCAGTCCGAAATCTCATTAAAAACAATTTCGTTTGTAAAAACAAACAAGCAAACGAACGACCAAGTAAACGCACTGCAACATGGACACATACACTCACGCATGGGCCGTGAGCACAATTGTTTGCTTCTGCTTGTGTTGAAGCGTAATCCCTATAGTAGCTGCGCCCGACACCAGGGCCAGTTCTGCCACATCGAACGGCCCGACCAGCACCAACACCAACACCAACACCAACACCAACCATCTATCCCATCCATCCACCCGGCCCCCGCATGCACCACTGCCTTGAACTTGTCAGTTCGCTCGTCCGACTGAAGTCCTGGCGGCAGCCAGCCGGTCTGTTTGTCCTCCTCCTCATGTGCGCCGCTTGTCCATTTGATGGCGAAGAGCTACCATCAATTTGCAACACAGCCTCCGACTCTGCCACTCTCACACCACTCGTGGGGTTTCTTTATCCAGGCCTTTTGGCCCCACCCATTTTGAGTGTAAACACATAATCCATTTAAATTGTTTGTGGTTTTTCTTATTGTTTGTTTCTCGTCTTATTTTCACTGTTCTTGGTATTTTTGCTTTTTCCGCTGTCATTTCTGTAGAATCGATGTAAAAAGCTAAAGGCAAATTGGGTTCATTTTGGAATGCTTGTCGTGAAATATTTCTTCTGGAAATACTTCTCCTTGGAGAAGCTCATGTATTCCTAGAAATGTTAATGTTCACTAATCCTTCTTTCTTAACAAAGACGAACATTAATGAAACTATTAAGCAAGTTGAGTAATATTTTAAGGAAAAGAGTTGAGCTGCAATAAAATATGTCCTGAAAATGTAACTATTAAAAAATAAACTGAAAAACTCCCTATTAAAATTAATTGCCGTTTTCCATATACAATACGAGTAATTGCCATATTAAATGGTTAATATTACGGGTCACGAAACTATCTCTATCTTTTTTTGAAATTATTTCATGAATTTTTGAATTTTATTTGTATTTTTTCACTTGGTCCAGCTACTAACCTTTTGATGTACACATTGAAATGGAAGAAACATTTTAACTGAAAGAACATTCCGCGAAGCATACCACAGTAGGTATTTTGGGCTTTTGTATGTTTGCTTTTGCTTTAAATTTGTTAAAATATTTCATTTATGTTGCTCTGCTCTCACTTCGTCAGCGTTAATGTGAACCTTTTCGCTGGAATCTTATTAAGGAGTACAACGGAGAAGGCCCGTTCGAATTAAATTTAATGAAAATTAAAATAATTAATTAATGAACGTCATTTAAATGTATGTACATTGTATATGCCAATACAACTATTCGACGATTTTTCGAAGTCACAATATATTTACGTAGAGTGCTAGTGCTACCAAGTTAGTTTTGATGACTACTTAAAAGACGGAAGAATGGAAAGACAATATTAACCCTGACACAATAGTCGTTGGAGGTTTATACTGGTCCGATGCGCGAACTGCTACAATGTATCCTACGAATTACTTTTTGTTCATTCAACCCGAATCCTCGACGCTACACAGAAAACTTTTTCTTACTTATTGGGGCCCCCTTTTGAGTCCACATTGGTATAAGTGTTTTCTCCACTTGTGTTTTGCTGTCGTACTCATTTCGTGTTGTACGAACTTTTCTTTGCTCAAGTCCGAACACTAATAAATGATACATTTCATGTAGATTTCATTTTAAAATATTTAAAAATTGGTTCGTGTTTTAACATGAAAAATTCGAACTATATTCGTGCTTTTTTGGAACAGTATTACCAACAATACAGATACCAATTCGAATCAAGTATTAGTAAATAAAAATAATAAGCGCAAATACTCGTATTTATGTAATGGCTGAGTACTGGGAATAAAATTAAATCCACTGTACTGTACACTAAATATTTATGTTATGTATCTCATATAATATCAAATGTATTTCTATTTATCATTACAGCGAATATTTTTAGATCAATTTTATGAAGAAATTGTGTAAGGAATGCAAGCGCATGACAATAAACGTGGATGGCGATGCCGTATGAAGATATAGAGAGCAAGGGATCAACTCGAGTAGCGAGTATTTTATACATACTGCATTAAAGAAGAATATACTGTACCTGAAGATCCATCGAACATCAAACGTTCAAAATATTAAGACTGTTGCAATGATTCAATTAAAGTTGAGCACAAAAGCGATAGCTTTTGGCATTGTTTTGTTACTTATCAAAGGGCAAGGCGAAATCGGAGGTCATTCGCTGCCACACACACAAGGTAAATACAATTAGTTTCGCTGTTCCCGCGCGTTTGGATTTAGGATGTATTTTCTTTGGTACCTTGTGTGCACAGAGTAGACCAAAGACCTTGCTTTTAACTTGAACTTCTGTTTTAAAATTAAAGGACACAGCGAACCAGATGAAATCGTCCCAGAGTTCTTGGCGCAATTGACGAATATAACTGTACCCCAAGGAAGAGACATATCCTTCACCTGTGTTGTTGATAATTTGGGCCAATATCGGGTATGTATGCTGTAATGCACCAAGATTTGTTACGTACATACAAAGGTGTTGTGTATTCTCCATGAATAAACAGTTAGCAGATTCGGTAATCTACAATTTTGATCATTATTGTATGTATGTATGTGTGGAAGTAACAGCACACGTGATGACCAGAGGGCTGTTAATAAATATAACCGTTTATTGTACAGTACTTCTTAACACAGGGTGATCATTGTTAATAAAAACGTAACATTACGGCACCCATACAATGTTTACGGAACATTTCAATGCAGTGCATTCAGTGATGCATAGCAGAACGCTCTGCCGCGGTATGCACAATACACAATGTATTGTAAATATAAATTTAAAAATGCAAGCTAATTTATTATTTTATGGTAGTTCATATAGTTCGAATAAAACCTTGTACATATGCTCGTACAATAAAAAAGTGCAGAATTACCGATGGCTTCGATTTTTGTAGCCAGCAAATACCTGTTGTTGGGCTTATTTTGTGTGTGTTCCCCTTTGCTAATGCAATAATAACACAAAATTCGCCTCGACCACACACATGCATTGAAGTCATACATACTACGTATATGCTCCGGTAATCTTATATTGAGATCCGCAGACCCTGCGCTCCGCACAAGACTGTGTGTACATGCAGTGCTGGGATGCTGTGCTGAACCCCATATCAAAAACAATGTCATGGCTATGTGTGTATGTGGTATATCTGTCTATGTTCTTACAATTTCAGGTGGCATGGATTAAATCTGATTCAAAAGCAATACTTGGCATACACACACACATGGTCTCACTAAATCCCAGATTATCTGTGACACACAACGGCCACAACACCTGGAAACTTCACATATCTCGCGTACAGATAAATGACTCCGGCAGCTACATGTGCCAAGTGAATACGGATCCCATGAAGAGCCTTGTAAGTGCATGTCTGTCCCACAACGTTCCCATAGGGCTTATCCTTAGTCCAAAGGTGTCCTTACCCTCGGTGCTTAGGTGCCATGTGCAAGGGAGGATAGTCCACCTGGGCAGTCGTACTCTGCAGTACGAGTATTAAACAGCTCAGACGGTGCACACCATTCCCACTCGCTTATTACGAATCATACTTTGTTTTTTCGCAGTCAGGCTACTTAGATGTTGTTGTGCCTCCGGATATTCTAAATCACCCAGACCATAATCTCGAGGAAGGCGTCAGCACTGAGGGTGGCAGTATTGTACTCGTGTGTAGTGCGACCGGCGTACCCGAGCCCAAGGTGCAGTGGCGCCGTGAAACGGGAAAGGATATTATACTGCGAGCAGAGACCAGAGACAAACAAGGTGTGTACTTTCCTCCAGAATATTTAGTTTATCTGTTTTCAATATTGTAAGTGTAAGAATATATAGTAAAAGAGTTTACTAACTAATAAGATTATACCTCTTAAAACACTTACATCCTTGTGACTAAGTAAAGAAGTTACATACATACATAGAATTTAACGGTGGGCTCACTTTTGAGTCAAAAAACAGTTCAGAGGTCTAAAAACAATAGCTACAATAAGATCTGTCGTCTAGTCGTTTTAAATATTTCTATATTTTTTACGTTCTCATTCCCGACCAGGCGTCGGTTTGACTGCAGACTGGCGCAGCACCGTCATGCACCGTCAGTTTGATAAATGTAATTTTATTTTTTGGTTTTGAATTAGAATAGAAAAATGTATATTTTGTATGTACATACATATGAAATACATTTCTTGAAATACAAAATCAAATCCATTCAAAAAACGGTCAAGTTGGCAAACAGTTTTGCAACAGGCAAATTATGATCCAAATGTTTTTTGAACCTAAGAGGTGCGAGCCTCGTTAAGCAGAATACTTCTGCAGAATATATGTAAATGTACAAACTGTAAAATCTGCAATATTTACATGTGCACTCGTATTTCAGCATCCCACAATCAACCGACTCTTGACCACCCGTGATCGTGGTCTCGCGTACATGTGGAAGTATCTACATAAATAAATCTACACAAATGTACATATTTAGTTGATGGATAGTTTATGCTGATGCGTTCATATTCTGTATATGCATTTACAATCCAGAATTTAAATACTTCCAAGCTACAATTATTTTTCTAAGCAAAATCTGCTCTGAAACTTTATTTTTATGATTCTGCAAAAAGATGTCGCGATTTGACTGCATTCTTGTGGCAGTTACATGCATTAAGATTAGATGGTTTCCATGCATACGTACTCTCTTTGAAGTTTTTGATTGACTAAAGCTTAAAAAATGCATTTTTTATCTCTTGTTTTAACAGCACTTAAATCTGTCGAAGGAGAAAGACTTACTCTGACCAATGTCCAACGTTCAGATATGGGCGGCTACATTTGTATTGCTTCCAACGGTGTGCCGCCGTCAGTGAGCAAGAGATTTGACGTACACGTAAACTGTGAGTTAATATTACATAATAAAGATAATAAACCGACATATTTGATTTATATTCCTGTGCTTATACCATGTAAATATGTTTAGATATCCTTTATTTGTTCAATTTGCCAATTATGTATTAAACTAGTAGCTTTTAAGGGTACATTAGCTAAGTAAGTTTGATTTCAGATGTTATGATGATTGTTTTAGTTCACAGAGCTGGGTTTTAAGAGCTGTTAAGACAGGGAAGCAAATACAATTTTTGTCAATAAGCAAGTAACAAACTCATTCGACAGCTGCCCGACAAAATCACAAAATTACCGTCCCGCTGTAGTAGGCCATCAATATTCCCATATTCCATCGAACTACTACTTAATCAGTGTTGTCAATTAGTGTCAATTATATGGCTACCTGGAGGTGCAAGCTAAGCCTCTTGTTAAATCAAAAACTGTTTTGAATTTTTACTTGGAATCTACGAATGTCCTGTGCAACAACTCGTTTAAATGTCCGAATGTTCATGGAAATGCCATATTTACATATATACAAAACAAATGTTTACATAATTCTATGTATTTATGCTTAAAATGATTTTCATACATGATTTTAAACTGTAAATGTATATTCGATTTATGCACTATTAAATATTGGTTAATTGCTGAACAGCGGGTATTCATAAACATGTCATGAATACGATACATTTGTGGGCTTAAAGTCTTTTAAACAAATATTAATATTCGTGTATATGCAAAAGACATGAGTTAATGTTGCATAATGTTTGCTCTACAAAAGTATCTAGATATGAAAGGACAAACTTAAGTTCTAACTGTTGCAATGGCATGCCTGGTGGTGATGACTGAACAGTGATGGTGTGCCACAAGAACACAAATCAACACAATGACATCGCAAAGTCAAATTCAGAATTGCAATGGTGAAAACTTTGGATAGTTGGGTTACAGCCGAGAGCTGTACCCAATGTCATCGAAATGAATGATTCAATCATAAGATTTATGTACATTCATAGTACATAATCGAAACAAACGCTCGCCCTCAAACAGAAAACCAAAGATAGTTTGTAAAAACTTAACTTTATATCACCAAGAGCTGTTACTTCTCTTTGGCTGCATTTGTACATAAAATGTACATTTTTGTACATACATTATGCGTGCCTATGTATATGCTCGTATTAACACAAGTACAACTGCTTTCTAACGTTTGTACATACATACATAATGCATACACAATTTATATGCTTACTAAACTTTGCCTATGTGTGGGGTGCTCGTATGCCAGTGCCTAGTGGCATATGCAATCTGCAGGAGAGGGCAGTGATTGTGCGAAACTAAGCCGAACCGAACGGAATGGAACAGGCAGGGCAGTGAGGGTTTGAATAGTTTGTGTTCTGTAAGGCATAGTCGTACATACTCGTACAAGGCGAACTTAACAGCTACAACAGTACAATTTTTTGGCCATATGTCTACGTCAAAATCAGTAAAATGCAAATTCAATGTTAACAATTGCAGAAATGTCCAAACCATCCGCCGTCCGAAATAACCAATCTGGTCTCTACCCAAACTGTCCTCTCACTTCTAGATCTTACAAGCTGGCATTCAGCATATGTATGTATGTGTATATGGTTGTGTAATTGTGGAAATTATGGATTGTCTCTACATTATTACTCGTTCTACCAGGCACAAATGGAGTGCAGTACAAAAAAAGTACCATGTAACTCCAATTAACATTGTTTAATTAATAGTCAATATAGCCTGGCCACAGTCAGTTTTTTATTTATTTTATTCGCAGAGTTTGGAGCTGTTTGGTAACCTAGTTCAAAAACTCTTTTGGCTTTTATAAACCAAAAGTCAGGAAACAACATTTTAATAATTTATTTTTTCAATGATAAAAAACCGCTGAATTTTTACTCTAAATATTACATACACACATGTACAAATATGTATTTATTTTTCGTGCGGGCAAACATAAGCCATTGCCTCTCTAGAAAGGCTTTAAAAATCGTTCATTGCCAAAGTCCAGGAGGAGCAAATTTATTTTGATGTACGGATCATTGCGCTTTAATCCATTTTATTTATGACTTTAAATTATTCTTTGGTAAGGAACACACAACTTTAGCGGAACGTCGACCAACAACAGAAAAAAAAAATCCTTCGCGTAATCCTTTGTCGGCATTGGAGCAGATTTAACAATCGTCACAGCCATACTCCCAGCTCACACAGACACTAGTGGATACAAAATGAAGTTGCGAAAACAACCCTCTCCCAGCGTAGCTTTAACTGCGACCACGCAAGCGATGCTCTCGGTACAGCCGTCCTGTCAGTGTAATCCTGCCTTGAAAATTACATAAAAATAATCAAACGCCACTCCAAACCCGCTGATTACAGCCTAAGAGTACCACCGACCGCATTACCAATAATATTTTGGAAGGCAAGCTTAGCAAGCGCTGTAAAGCAGAAGTCAACATTGTTGTGTCAACATTGTATCTAACTATGTAGATCTGAAGCATCGACGGCTGCTTGAGTATTATTGTCTATTCAAAATGTGGCGTCCTTTATTTATGCAACAAAATATTTTGGTTTCATTCCGGGTTGAATAAAAGCGAAGTGGAACGTTGTGAGTCGCATTCGTTCGCGTCTTTTGTACTTTTATGTAACCGTATGAATTGTATGCAGTAGCCTAAGTTTAATTTAATGCTTTGGACTGGCTTTAATCTGCCAGTTAGGATATATAAAGATATAAAATATTTCATAAATAATAAAAACGATTTTTAAACAAAAACAACATCCGTTTAGTTCCACCCACAATTAAAGCTGTCAATCAGTTGGTCGGCGCTCCTGTGGAGAGAGAGGTTACATTGGAGTGCATTGTAGAAGTCTATCCCAAGCCACTGAATGGATGGTACCGCAATGAGGGTAACTATAAAATTGTTGGCCCTAAATGTTGATGCCAATTAAGATCGAAACGTGTTTTAGGTAACATCAAATTGCACAACGGAAATAAGTACAACATATCTGAAGAAATGATTAACCTGTATACATGGCATCTTAATCTAACCATCCGGCACCTGACTAAATCCGATTTCGGCGCTTACAGTTGCTCCAGTGTGAATGCCCTTGGAAAGAGTGAAACTCGCATCAGACTACAAGGTAATAAAGGAAAAGCATTTTACTTTTTAAGGGCATCGAATGCTGTAACATCACAGTACTAAGGCTTACAGGAAAATATATTGTAGACTATCTTATGTTCTTGCCTAAACCCAATAGTTCTTAAAATTTGAAGCCATCAATTCATTTAAGAACAAAATAAGGGGGGAAATACATAGAGAACAGCGTATGTATGTATGAGTGTATGTGTCTAGGTCGTGTGTATAATTCGTTCGGTTTCCGTGCAATAAATCAACTAGGATTTCCGTCGCTCCATTATTTTTATCGAACTCATTTAAAGACGACTGTAGCCTTTTCTTTATCTTCCATCTACGTAGTTCGTCCTCGTCTACCATTCCAATGTCAGCCAGAAAGAGATGGGGAAGAGAATATAAGCATGAATTATAGCACAATCAACGCACCCTATCTCCCTCACACCAGTTCTGCATCAGCATTGCTGGCGCAATTTCAATTTCCAGTTTTAGTTCAGGATAGACGGCAGCCAGGGATAAGCTTAAAGGTTTTCACTTAGATCTTCTAAGAACATTTCACTGTTGCAGCCAGTGATACCCACCAACCATGGTGGGTGGTGCCCATTCGCCGCATTACATCACTTTTGAATTTAAGACAGGGCTAATAATTGGCATTGGCAGTAACCAATCGAACTCTTTTTTTACTCAACTTCACAGCTTCCAACTGCCGACTATGCATGTAGGAATTATCATTCCAAAATGAATAAACAATTGTATAAAGATAAAGACAACGAATTTGATGACAGACTGCTAGGCTGGAATTCGTCTGAGATTTCTTGAAAAACAATTAAATTTCTTTTTCAACTCTTTATTCTTACTGGAGCTGTATTACAAATTGGTGAGATCTGGCCTGACAGAGTATTGCTATGTGCAAAATGCTTTTAACTTTTAGTCTGCTTTGAAGAATGGAATGGGAAACGTAGCAACCCCTGGGTGGTGGTGCTGGTCCTCTGATATTTCTGTAGCTTATTTTTGTCTTTAGTTCCATCAAGGAACAGTCGGTATTTCATAATTGGTGCAATTTCTTCCAGAATTACGATTACCGCCCAAGTCGACAACGACGCCAACACCTCACGTGCACACAACGGCAAAACCGCGTCGGAAGCAGCAACCCGGCCACAACAAGGGACTGAACGAAGTGGTGCGTGCCAAGGAAACCCATTTCTCAAATCAAATGCAGCAGGAGAACGACGTATTCGGCGGTGGGATTGGTCTGCCCCAGAGCGCCAACAGTGGTAATGCTGGTAGCGTAGTTGAAAGTGGAAACGTCAACGGCATGATAAACGGAGCGGAAGGTAAGTTACGATTTAGAAAATTCCACAAGTACATACTGCAGCAGCAGGACCAGAAGCAGTCGAGAATGTAGTCAGGCATAATCGGCAGTTACAAACACACACATTCAATCCCCCCCACCGGACACTCCCCCAGCCGACAAAAGGCATACATACATACCTCGTAGAGTCTTACCATCCCAGAAGCGCCCACATGTCTTTGCTCAGCTGTGTGGGACTATGACTTGAGGCAAATATACGAGTAAGGTGGCCACGCTCGCTCCTGTTGCCGATTTCTTCGTAAGGAGCTCTCTGTGGTTTTCACTAGCTTTTCGATCTTCTCTTTGCGTCAAGAGCAAGTAAACCACAACATGCCCAATCTAATAAGAAACTGAGTATAGGAAGTAAACGAAAACGACTTCCTACAGTAAGTATCTCACTTTAAATACTTTGAAGTCGACGCGAATAGGGTCATTCTTAATGGCATCCAACTAATTCTCCACAAATAAAGCCAACAATGTCGTATGTTGTATTATCTTTAGTCTACTTTGCAAAGCAATAACCTTAAAGAGCAGACCAGTTAATATTTTTGTTTTACTTGATTAAATACCTCACTTTTAGAGCTACACTATTAGTCAAGTTGTTAATTTAAAATGTAGCCTGAGTGTGTTTTATATATTCATTTACAGTGCATACACAACTACCTGCACGGAACGGATATGAAAAGACACATAAGTCGGCTGGCGCTGTACCATCACCCCGTTCGCCATGGAACTTTGAGAGTGCGGGGTCCCAGCTGCATGCCAGCACCACGATAGCGACAAACTCTCTGGTGTTTTTTCTTTCTTGCGCACTGTCCGTGTGTACAAGCATGTATATGCTCATTTAAAAGCACGCTCCCCAAAGAATCCCCGGTGCGATGCCACGAATGGAAGGGGAGAGCTATGCGGCTGCTTTTAAGTTAAGAGTAGTTCTGGGTCTATCGGTGTTGGTCAGTGCAGATCCGGTGGTTGGGCAGTACGTAGTTATCAATTGACTCGTCTGCCTCATAAATTAGTATGTCTTATTAGCTAGACAAAGAAAATCGAATATACATACATATTTACACATACACATTGTATGTCATATAAGTTGGAAGCATTGCTACAGGTTTTAAGACATTAACAACTTAGTACTATTCGCATACAATTTACCTACTCAAGAATCTATATGCTACTTACATATTATTTCGTGTTTACTCAAACAGACAGTAATGAGTATTGATGAGTTACTTCGGAGTTAAGGAACTGCACTTCCAACTTTTCCATTTCAAAAGATACTTACAAGAAAATATTAACTGAAATAGCAAGGATCGATTTTTTTAAGTTTTAATATCAACCTACAAAAATTGGCAAAATGAATCAAAATGGTTTTGGTACACAGGGACCCAGTTTACCTTATAACAGTTGGCCTAATAGATCAGACCTCCTGAAAAAAGAGTATCCACAAAAAGTTAATCAAGAAATTAATATCAGAAATTTTTTGTTCTTCACAACTATTTTGATTAACCCATCTGCAAGTCTCTTACGCGCGGCTATATATTTCCCGGACACGGCACAAACCGGAAAACCAAGAAGAACGTTGTGAGCCGCGCCTTCTCCGCTCCTCTCTGTTTATACCGAGTACTCAGGAAGAATACATGTGGCCTTATGGTTTTTGTCGAGTTTTAAAGATCGGATCATTAATTTAGCCAGAATGAACAGGGTTTTTTTTTAGATATCTGCCAACTCATGCTCGCTCTGGCCACGTGCCGCGTGCACTCTCTGGCGGAGACGAACGAGTTAAAATGGCGTTCTGGTGTGAAATATTTAAAATTAAAAAAAAACTTTAAGGTCACACATGACTCGAAGAAAACACGGTTCACCATTGTCATTTAGTTTCGTGTTCCAGTGTTTTCCCAACATACCTGTACATACCTGTACCCTTACTTTAAGTTTCATTACATTTTTGAAGTACTTTGTTACTCATTAGACAAAAGGATAAGTTCGAGATTGGTCGACTCAATCATAAGTGTATATAGAGAATATATATATTAAATATAATATGTTTAACCCTTAACTATCTACCAGAAATATATCAGGCAATAGTTGCTACCGTCAGTCAGAGCCACCACGATCGATAAACTGAGAATCCCAATACCACTAATAATATCTACTACTTGTTTCAGTATGTGAACAGGTTTTATAATTCTAATTACATTTTCTTTTCGCCATCATTTTTTTGTACATTCGCTACGAAATTCGCTACATTAATGATCTAATTCATTTTGTATCTTATTGTTTTTGGGATGTTGGCAAAATTTGTTAATCATTTTCGTTTGAATACCAGGTGTTCAGTCTTCACTAATTTTCTTATTTGACATTAAAATTATTTGCAAGTGCAGAGAATGAAAAACATTTTTAGATATTTTAGTCAAAGGCAACTATAATAAAATGTTATAAAACAAGACTTAATAATTGGCTGCCTAAGCTAATAACGGAACAATAATAACTTACAAATTTATGTAACAATGGTGAGCTTATTTGCCCACATTAGATAATGTACAGTAATCCAATAATACATACCACACAATGCAATGCAGAAATGTCTTCCGATACAAATGAACAATATGCATATAATAGAACGTAAGCGTATAGGGTACTACCGAAAAAACCGAATATTATAATTACATAAATTAAAGCTTGAATATGTATAACTAAGCTAATCGTTATGCGTTATGTTCCCTTAGTCATTGTAAATATGGTTATACACACGTACACTTGCATGCTCATTTTTTATCTGTGCAATGTTTGTTCAGTGCTCATACATAAAATACATACATACATTATACCCTTCTAGACACGAATGATCGCGATTCCACCGGTTCGGCAACATCAGCTTGTCCAGGGTCTTGCAATGGTGCCCCTGTGTTTTGTTGGGAAGTAACAAAATTTCTATCATTTTTGTTAGACACAAATTATTATTTATTTTAAATGCTGTTTACCAAAGAAATCTGGATTTATTTTATGCACATCAAAATTCATGTGACAGAAATTGTATTTGAGAATGCTTAAATGCTCAATTTTTATACATGTTGCACCAACAAGCTGCAGTTTCATGGTCAGATTTCGATTCCGCAGTCGATACTCAGCTTGGCGTCAATAGTTCAGTTCGCTGTTTATCCTTGGTGAACCTTTACACATGAATGTAAATACGAATATGTGTTTAAGTGCGCATGTGTCTGAACGCAGTAAACTGCGGTGGCCATGTTTCTGTGATGAAGTTGGCTTTGAATTTACATAAATGTATGCAATCGAGAACGCCATACCAAAGTGGCTGCTGAAGCATTGCCTTTGCCACTGCCAGTGCCATTGCCATTGCAAATCTAGCTGTAGTCGCCAGTGGCCCATGAACACAATGAAACGGTGATGGTTCGCCTGGACTCCAGGACAGGGAACGAAACGGGAACGGGAACGGCCAGTGGTATTGAGAAGGGGGCAGGGGGGCTCGTGAGTTTGTTGCATATCAGCAGCCATGCCTAATAGAAAGGGAAAGACTATAAGCGTAGGTGGGTGATACGCATTTGTGCAAATGACGTGGAGTGCAGCATTCTCTCCGTTACTTGCCCGTCTACTGTTATTTACCGAGTCCGTATGGACAATGGGCGATAAGAATTAAACCTTCAAGTATATTTGATACAGGGGTTCTGTGCTGACGACGAAAACAGGGCAGGATGATAAGGGGGAGGGGGAGACCATAGAAAGGGAATGAGAATGAGATGTCATGGGTTGGAAACCACGGAGGCACATTACCAAATTTTGTGCATTCCCCGATGCTTGGCTACTGTCATTGTCACTAATTTAGCAAGAGGAACAGAAACAGAACGGAGCTTAAGCCAGACAGTTGGTTGCACGGCACTTGCGTTCTCCATTTGTGGTGGACGCTTAGTATTCTGCGTTGGAAACAAAAAAATTGCTGATTCGGCTATTGTCAAATGGCCACGCATCCACCCGCCCACATATGAGGATACGCTTGCTCGTGTCCACCTATTTGGTATGAAGTTGGGAGGGAGTGCGTCCGTTTGTTTGTCGAATCCGCACTTTGCAAGCGCAGTCCCTCCAGGACTGGGGCTGATAATGTTTTCGACATTAAATTGCCATTAAATTCTGTTTTATTGCACTTGGGACTGCATGCATAATTTACTCAGTGTCTGCCACCGTACTCCGAATGCAGGAAAGTGCATCTTCTTCCTCTGATTTAGCTAGTAATCTACTACAGCCACCATAGCATTTTCTACTCTCTCTCCCTCTCTCTCTCTCTCTGTTAAAGGAGCTGAATAACCTTGCAGTTATTCGAATTCGGTCCGGTCCGCTCAGAATTTCGCTCTTAAAAGCATCGTGTCCCATATGTCTGCGTATGCTTTTACACATATGTACATATGTATGTATGTATTTACACATCCTTGTATGCAACTCTTTTATCAAGTTTGTGTAAAATTTTCTGTTTCATCTTGAAAGGATAAAAGAAACGAAACATGTCATTTGATGAAAACTTTAATGATTTTCCATAATTTTATTTTTGTAATGTAAGAAATTTTCTAGAAGGCAAAGAAAAGTTTGAATTAGTATTTGTCAGTCGTTCTACCCCTTAATTAAACTCCTTATTAATTCTTTTTCCGCGCTACAGTCTAGCATTTAGAACTTACTTAGCAAACCGGAAATCAACACTTAGTGGTTGGTCGGGAACTGCAAGTCCGAGGCGAAGCTAGGTTTTCTGCAACTTTAAATATATACATACATAAATATATTGTATGTAAATACAAAGTGAAATATCGCACTCCGAATCAAATCACACAATTAATTATCACATACATCATTTCTGGCTTCACCAGCCAATACAAACCCACAAAACAAGGCACAATTTCAATGCAGTTGTAATAAATTGTAAGTCTCATAATATTCTTTACTGTGGGCCTGCAACAATTTACACGGTGCGCATTGTTGCAGCAAGATATACGAAAATATACATACGGATAAATACGTGTATTTGCATATTCATTTACTGGGTCGGTTATTTTTAGTTAGTTGCATTGTACATATGAATATTTCGTGTGCACATGCATATTTATTTTGTTGCATTAACCATCAACAGATTACATTGTCAGCCGTTTAGCTTTACAAAAATGAAAACCACAGTACTAACGGTGAAAAGGCTGACAATAAAATGCGCAGAAATACAAAAAGTAAAGCTCTATTGTGGATTTGAAATGGTTTAAATGTTTTAATCTAAGTATTTCATCTATTATTTACTTACCAGCCAAACAATGACAAATTGTATGTACCACACAATTTAAGCTAATCAGTTTTCAGTACATACAAAATAACTAAATACTCAACTAAGAAACGCGTTTAACGAATTTAATGTATAATCAATATACCAGTTTAAATGACTGAACGACCTTATAAACAAACAAAATTGAACACAGCATAAACATATATTTATTTTAAACGTTGTAAGCTGAAATACATACATACATATATACTACATATACATACATTAATACATAAAACAACAAAAATACAAAAATACTTAAACAATAAACAGATATGATATTCGTATTAATGTTACTAATGAAACTTACATAAATATATACAATCATTATTATTTGCATATGCGCGTACCAAATAAAATGAAAGAATTGCAAAGATAAAATCAACATTTTCAGTAAATATGTATGTACATATTTACATACTATGTACATATGTAAGCGAATTCACCATCCACACGAAAAAATGTTTTAGTACTTTTGTAATAATTGTTTCTTAAGTTTATGTGTAAGAAGCGCTTCAAACGGTCGGCTAAACTTGACAATAAATTATTTGTTGAATTTTAAAGATAAGAAGTTTCACGTGGTAATGGATAAACTATTTACGGTAATATATAATATTTAAAGCTTTTATGCTGTAAAAATAAGAATAAAAAATGATTGTATGTATCTGTATCTTATGAAAAATCGTATTGTATAAGAGGAGTATAAAGTTCAACATAGCATTGGCGTTAAGTTAAATAATTGTATTTAATATATCAATAATATATACATACATATATAAAAGCAGGTATACAAATAAACAGTCAAATGCTAAAAATTGAAAAACAGGACAATAAAACTACTTACATACATATACACAACAAAAGGAAAATCAAAAATGTAAACTCAGAATTGTATGTACTTACATAATAAAAATCGAATTCAAATAGAACATGGGAAGATCTTTGTAGAATTTTTGTTTCTACGCCACCTTCAAAAACGCTAAAACTTTAAGTACATTATTTTTTAATTTTCAAAATATAAAGGTTAAATTGAAAATTATATACAGTTTTTTAAAGGACGAAAGTATTCTCTGATACATATTAATAAGTATGTACAAAAATAGATACAATATGCATTTATTTTTGGGGGAAACGTTAGCGCTGAATGTTAAGCTGGAGACCCGTAAAGTGACAATGACAGAAAATTGAGGATTTCCATTGAAGCGAAAGCTTCCATATCAATTTTCAATTCCAATTGTCACCATATGCCATCATCAAACCAATTGGAAAAATATAAGTCCATAACTACTGGGCAAAGAGGAAAATGAAAAACCAATTTCGGCAGCGATAGAAAGAGAAGTAAACAATTCAAAACTCGTCTGCATTCTGTCTGCACACCAAGGCGATTAGGATGGTTACGGGCCACGCCACGGCCACCTTGTAAAAGGAAAAATAAAACGTTCTGAGCTCGCATGGGTGAGCTTGCAGATGGTTGCCTCAAAAACAAAGCCCACTCTTGTCTAGGACACGCACCATATTTACTCGTATACGTTAAAAAAATAAATATAAAACAAAGAAGTTAGAACTCAAAGGAAAGGTTTAACGGTAAAGTGTTGTGATTTCGGCATAGAAAATACAAAAATTGTTTTGTTGATTATTTCTCCATTTAGTTCCTTTACATTTTCGGCACCATTTACAGCCATAAAACATTAGAAGTTCCGTTTGTAGAACAATGAGTTTTTTAATATTTCATAATTTGTATCGAAAGTATTGTATTGTCCTTGATTTCTACATATATCAGAGTAATAAGTATTGTAATAATAATCTGGGGTCCCCAGTACTTTAGTCCAAAATGTATGTAAAACGATTTGCATCTGTATGCGTTTGCATACGTTTGATATGGTATGGTATAAATGTAATGGTGTTTTTCATGGAATGGAATATGGATAAAGTGAAACAAACGAAGCATTTACGATTTTGTGTCCCAGCTGCTGCCGCGAGGCTTCGTAAAAAGGGCCACGACCGCTAAACCAACAGAACACCCGTTTCGTCTCATATTCAAGACTTTTTGCGCGATTTTCCTGACGCTGCAATATTTTGGTCACAACTGGTCAGCAAGGACAGTGTCCAACGTGGCGACCGTCTGGCAAACAATTTACGAAATCGAACGAACGGTGACGCATGCCAAAAAGTGTCGAAGAAAAAAAATGTGGAAGTGGCATTGAAAATAAGTAAGAACGTTAAGATCGAGGGTATCGAATGCATGATACCCGCAAATCACAATTTATCCCTTTCAGGCATATGTCGTACATATATATGTATGTAAAGATGTGTTTATGTATGTAAATATGAATGTATGTTTGCATGTATAGTTTGTTATGTATGTAAGCATGTTTTTAAATTGATAAATGTATAATGTACAAATAACATGTACATTCGTATGTATTTATGTACATACGTAGCTCTAATCTACAATTATTCATATTTATAGTTTTTTACATACATATGTATGTATATTCACCGAAAGTTTTTTTAAGAGTACCCACATACCATACATACGTCATATAATGAGTATAAAAAAAACATCATTAGAGTATCTATGAAAAATTCGCACATTCGTAGCATGTCTGCTCATTCAATTCATGTGTGCTTTTATATTTTTTTGTACATGAACCTTTACTTTTTATTATTTTACTTCACATATGCATGTACATATGTACACATACACATGTGCATTTATTTTATAAATTGGCTTATATTTTGAGCAAGTTTACACATACATACATACTTAACTTTCTTGTTATTATTTGTACGATACATATTTACATTTCTCTGGCGAGATACACCGAGATAATACTCAAATTGATTGAACATTAAGAAATTCACGAATATTTTCAAATCCGGCTTTAAATGTTAATAATAAATTTATTATTGTTTATTATTTATTATAAAAATACAAATTGGTTATTAATTTATTTTAATTTGGCACTTTTTTTAAAGTATTTTTCAGTGGCAACGATACATATTCGGAATTGAAAGAGATTACACAAATTAGCGCGAATCACGACCATCAGCTTGAAAGATTCCTCCGTCTGCTCAAATTTGAATAATATCATAAACCTATATACATTCATACATACATACATTCATACATACACATATAGTAAATATGTATGAATGAGGAGAATAGAATTTTGCAGCAATTAACGTTTGTCATATTTACTTAGCCTACGGTGTTCTTTTTGTGCTCAATCTTACCAACACTCAAAATCAAGCCAAGCGTTAAGGGTCGGGTTGCTTTTGACTGCTTCCTGTCAGTTGAATACTATGCACCATTATGCTGCGCCCAATTATAATTATAATTGCACCATTTTAATTGCATTTTGTTAACTATTTTGCCAGCCATTTGCAGCATTCAAATGGCAAAGTTCATTTAACATAAAAACGAAGAAAACTGTGCATATTCATATTAATGGGCTTATTAAGAATGCATACTTTAAAGTGCTTAAAATTACTAGAAGATTCTTTGTGACTCAAAAGCATTTAAGTTTGGAATATACGGAGCAGAAAATTGTGCACAATTGTATATTGTACGGGTACATCTATGTACATATGAATTTTGGTATGTATTAACATACAAATTATACATGCATACATACATATACATACATCATCATGTCTAATTTGCTGCCTAGAATATTTACAAATGTATGTAGATAGATTCATGCAGACAGGCTAAGGTGGCGTCGCCAAATCGTCTGATGAACCCGAGCAAGAATAAATATATTAATGCAGTCTGAAACATTTCTTTTCTCCTGTTAGACATTCATATGTAGATATGTACAACTTCATACACACCTACTTGCGTACACTAATATGTAAGTACATACTGTTTACTTGGGTGGCAAATTGTCAGGGATGTTGTTTGCTGTGATGTAACATACACATGCATGCATGTATATATGAACATATGTATGTACTTGAATATTATCTTTAACACTATCAACGAATTATCCAGCTCTCAAAAACTCCACACTCTTTGAGTGAGTAATCCGTTTTTTTTTATTTTTAAGTCAGCGCTCAGGGCCCACATTTAGTTTCTTATCTATTGTTTTTGTTTCATTTAGAATTTTTATTATGAAGCATGAAACAATTTCATCCGTTTGGTTTTGAATTGCAACTGACAGTGGCTTTTGTTGGAGAAGCTGGGTGATAACGTCCCGCCATCCCCGCCACCGAGCCGCCGCACCACCCGATGCATTAGCAGCGCTCAACGACTAATGATGACTGTGAAATTTCATCTAACCGCGTTCTCGCCTTGCATTCGATCCCCGACTCCCTTTCCCCTTCTCTCTGTCTCCCACTGTTTCCTTCTTTTTGCCACTTTATCTAGCATGCCCTGGCTGTTGCTGTTAGGGCTGTTGCTAGACCATTGCATTAGTGCGGCAGAGCGCAACATAATGTCGTTGTGCACTTGCCGCGGCTCTTTTTGTGCAAAATGCGGTGCTATTCGAAAAGGAGGCAGAGGAATGGGCTGGTGGGGCTGCCGCGGCGAGGCTGGCGAGGCAGAAGCTCTATGATGTGGATTTCATAATTACGTACGCTGAGTGCGATTATTATGATTGTTTCTTAATTCAAGGATTTACAATGTGTGTGCGCCAGAGCCGGGGCGTATATACTCGCATGCCATGGAGTAGTATACTCGTCGTGCGGGTGGTTTTGTGCCAAGCACACAAACCCCAGGAATTTGGATGTGCATTTAATGTAAGCTGTAAGCTTTTTTATTCATAATAAACTTTAAAATGATCTCTTTTACTTTTCAAAGTAAAGTAAAGATTAAAATACTCAACACCGAACCAGACCAACTTTTTTGAAAGATTAGGATCACATTCTGTTAAGGAACTTTTAGAGGTAGCGCTTCCTCCAAAAATCATTTTTTACCAGTAAATACCGGTTAATGGGCCTGTAGTTACTGCCTAGTATTTCTGCTTCAGGTTCAAAAAAATAATAAAAAAAATCTTTAAAAATTTTAAACTTTATCGGTTTTTAACGTAAATTTTAGCTTAACCATATATCCATGGCTTTTAATTAACGATATCTTAAACCAATTATACACACAATTATTTTTTTAACAGTTTTTTAAATCTAAATGTTGATTAAAAAAATCGTTATATTTTTTAAATATTATAGCTAAATCTTACCAGACGGGACAGTAAGCTAGAAAATGTTCAAGTGCAACTTATAGCTGAGTTTATGAACTTTTCATGATATACTCAAAACATGCGGTATCTCTGAAAGAAGCTTAAAAAATTAAATGCACAAAGTACTTGAAAAAAAAAATATACATGCACCGAAAAAAGACTTTTACAAAAAATTGCAACTTGTTTTTCAGTAAATAATGCTCTTTTACCATAAATAAATATTTGTAGATGGGTAAAAAATGAGATACATAACAAAATGAAAATTAATTAAATACTATTTTGTAAATTAAAAGATAATACTTTATTTTTTTATATTAACTAAAATGTTTTATTTCTGCTTATACACAAACATTTGGGTTTGAAGTTGTCTAAGCCGAGACTTGATTTAGTTTAACAAAAAATACAGGCATTTATACGCTTAATTGGTCGCTTTAGGTTATTCAATTCCAGTTCTCAGATTTTTGCATTTTTACTAATCATACTCATACCATAAATTGTGCTGAACATAAGAATCTTTATTAAGTACTTGATTAATTATAGTTAGGAATGTACAGATTTGTTGTATTAATGTCAATTATAAGTAATATCATATCCAATATGTCTAGGCATATCATAATTATTATTTTATAAATGAGCTGGGCTTTTCATTCATTTGGGGCGCTAGAAGAGGAGACATTATACTGTACCCATCGGGGGTTATGGGTGCAAACGAACCAGTATCGCAAAGAGGTTTGTATATGGTATCGGGCTCAGTATAAGTATTGGCCGAAATGGTCAAATTACTCAGCTCCTTTATGCCACACTCATTTATTTTATCGGATTGACTATCCGCCAAGTCAATAGAAGTGGCGGGCACATCAAGAGTAGGAGTTAGCAGTCGAGGGTAGCTGGAAATGTACTCCACAACCTCCAAGGCCGTAGGCCGTTTGCTCGCCTCCTGGCTCCAGCATGCCTTTAAGAGACCCTCGAGTGGCGGCTTAACGCCAAATGGTATATGCATTGTTTTACCATTCTTAACGTATTCAAGCACCTGATTGTTCGTTAAGCCTTGGTATGGATACGAGCCAAATGTTATTACTTCATAGAGCACCACACCGAATGACCAAATATCAGAGGCTGGAGTAAACAATCCCAAGCCTAGTGTTTCTGGTGGCATCCAACGCACGGGAAATAGCTTTCGAACCCCTTTTCTATTAAATCTGTAATAATCACTCTCAAACGTGGGCCTGGCCATACCAAAATCTGCGATTTTGACAACTCTCTGGGCATTTACGAGGCAATTTCTAAGCGCTATGTCCCGATGAACGTATTTCTTTTCACTTAAGTAAGCAAGGCCACAAGCAATGTCCATGGCATACAACGTAAGACGCTTTGCGGAAATATCACTGTCATCTGTAATTTTTTCTTTCACCATATTCCTACGGGCCAATAGATATGTTTTTAGATCTCCATACAACATGAACTCCATTACCGTATAGATGGGTTCACTTTGCAAACAAACGCCTAACAGTTTAATTATGTTTTTATGATCAAATTTCTTCATTGCTTCTGCCTCCGACAAGAAGTCCAACCGATCTTCCATGGACTGACCCGACTTTAGTGTTTTTACAGCTACCGCAGTCCAATGACCAGAAGTTATCTGTGCCTCTCCACCGTAAACCATGCCGAATGCACCCTCTCCTAACCGACGGTTAACCACAACGTTCTCCTTTGGAATTTCCCATTTGTCCAAAGTGTTCATTTTATTCTGCGATGGAGAGAGCAGATCTATACCGAACATTTTCATTATCTGTGCCGATCGTTTCAGCTTATGGCTATAGCGTTTCTTCCAAAACCAGAAAGATATAAAAGAAATCAAGGAAATTGCAAGCAAACAAAGTACAATGGCGAAAACCATTGCAGCCGTTTCACAGTTCACTCGAAATGTGCGAGCTAAGCCAGAGAATTGGCAGTCGTATCTACCATCCTCTGGCACCAGACCTTTCAGCCATAATATATTGTGGAAACTCAACGATAAATTACCACCGGATATATGCATTCTGTCTCCCTTGCCCTTTGTGATGGGCTTCAACTTTCCCACTTGTACGTAGCTAGCATTTTTCCACTGTAAAATGTCCAAGTCGATGAGACGTGATCCCGCAAGCTCTCCTTGGGCAAACGACACATGACCGGACAAACCTTCAAAGTCGGTTTGTTCAACTAGTTCACTAAACCGACTTACAATCTCCGAATTCCTCAAATAATTGACAGCATACTGGTCTTTAAGGAGCAGTTTATGCGCGGCTAACGCATAGGCCCAAACCGCGTCGTACGTAAAACCTGCATAGTTTGAAGGCTCTCCAGATTGGTTTCTATATTGATCTATCCAAGCCCTAATTGGCTTACCCTCCTGCATTACGGCATCAGGGTTACCAAATGGAGTGTGCCTGACACTAAAGTGGCCTTCGATTGCCTGCAAAAGGAAGTTCATTAAGTCGATGAATAAGATGATAATAAATAATTACATTTCTGAGCTCACTGGCAGTACAGCTACTGTTAACTATACTTTCCCACATGTGAAAATCTTTTGGCAGCCAAGTTGGGAGAAACCAAACATAATCATCATGTTGTGTCATCTGTAAAAATAATAAATGTAAAACAACGTAACTTATTTGAAGTTTATTAACAATACAAACCCCCAACTTGTGAGCTTCACAAAAAAGTATGGCAGCATTATTGATTTGTATGTCCGCAATTATAATTTTAGCATGAGCTTCTTTTAGTTTGTGTAGATGCTAAAAAAATGCAAACATTGATTAACCATCAAATAATCATCACTAAAGCAAAGATATTTATGTACCTCTTTCATTTCCGTGGGAGTGACAACTGGTTGCAATTTTCGATTTATAACAAGTGTAAAATTGCGAAGTTTTAACTTTTTCTCCATTTGTGAAGTGTTATCATTGGATTCATCTTCTGTTATAGATGCCACACGAGTCCATTTAAATTGCTCCATGATAGCGATGTATGCATCAACAAACAGACCATTTGTGCCAATTGTACGATAAAAATATGGATAGGCTTGGCGATTACTAAAGCTGGCACCCTCCACCGAATAGGACATTATCATCATATTCATGTGCTTCGAAATACCAGCTATTGGCTCTACGGTTTCGCTACACGCTGGTCCCAAAACACCCAGCATATTTGGTATGCTGTAATAGTGTATAAAGGACTTCATGACCATATCCGACTTGCATTGTCCATTGTTTACCAAGATCTCCAAATTATATCCGGGAAGTATGGTTTGGTCTTTATTGATTGCGGATGCAGCCTGTTTTGCTACATTCATAACATTTTCGTGTCCTCTATTCGTTATATTGATTGGAAATATGCCACCGATCAGTAGAGTAATCGTTTGATTGCTTTCCTTCCACAAATTGTAATAGTTCTTATTTGCCAGCAGCCAATGGCATGCTACTTTATCGTACATTTCATCAGCAGCAACTTTTTGATCTTGTCGATGGTACTTGAGATTCTTTCTAATATATGCCAAATGCTTGTCAGATAAATTGAAATACCGAAGAACGTGCATAAGTTGCTTGTCAGTTGCCAATCTCTTGGCATAATATTTTAAAATGGGAGTTAGCTCATATTTGCAGCCTGAGCGTTGTAAGCAATTAAAATCCTCACATCTTGGCATTGTAATTTGTTGAAAGGCGTTTTGGTCAGCTATTATTTCGGATGGCGTCCAATGCAAAATCATCAATCGTTTTGTTCCATCGGAAAATTTCTGTTCGTATTCCTTGATAAGCCACTCAATTGTCTCTCTAAACCTTTCGCCGAGCCAAAGTACATTAACCATCATGCCAGTTTCAATCAATTGATCCTCAACGAAACTGGAATCGTTTCTGAACTCGGCCAATATTGTTGCACATTTCAATCCAACGCAGTTTGGATTTCTGTACTCCTCAGCACTAAAAAATTGTTTAATAATTAACAATACAAATTACATACATTTTCTCTGCCTTAGAATATCTTAAAGGCGGGTGTGTAGGTGACTTCAGGTGACAATGTAATTATTTACGAAAAAAAATAGTACTTTCTACAGGACAGGTATATTAATGTTTGTGATTTAGGATAAGGAAGGGATTCAAGAAATAATTCGATCTACAAAGTGAAAGGTACAAGTTCGAGTCGATGTGCGGTTGCCACATTGTCGTCAATAACAGCGACATTCAATCTACGCACGTGCTCTCCATCCGGTGTTTGATAGAATTGATGACAATAGCGTGATTGTCACATTCCAAATTGTGCATGCGTGATTGGCGAATTGAGGTTATGGTAGCCGAAAGGTGAATCTATGCGGTTCGCGGTTTACTCGCCTTTTAACCTCATCGCATAACGTTTTTTTTTTGTAAGTGAGCCCATCTTGTGGAACACTTTTCCATTAGTTTTAAATGTGTTGTAAACTCTCGAGCATGCTGGTAAATAGTTTTGGTGGCATCTCAATTTCAGGTTGTTGCATTTTTCCTGATTCCCTACATAACCATAACTGACTCATGCTAGAATTTGTGCGTATCAATTATCTTTTGATTTCGTTCTTTTCGTACCTCTTTTGATTGATATTCACGCAAAAGCGACATGCCCATTTTCGTTATCTTCTTCGATGGTCTGTCCTTTCTGTTCCACTATTCCGCATGCCATTTCGACGGAAAAGCGACATGCTATCCCCTTGCGTCTTGCTGGATTTTTTAGCACGCACACAAATTGACAAAATGTACATAAAACGTAATAGATACACAAGCGAAAAGTGAATGACAATGACCTTCTTAATAACAACAATAATTTCAATAAATTAAATATTTTCATACCTGCTGATTTGTAGTAGTCCATTTAGTACGCTATCTTCCAATACGTAGAGATCGTAGTAGGTGTTGTTGACATTTTGAAAGATTTCGTAGTGTAAGCTTTGGTATGCGAACATGTCCTTTGGTTGTTGTGTTTTCGGTACAAACCAGCCAAAGCGACCAAGCGTCATTGAAGCGCCCGCACTTAAAACATTTTCAGGTAGGGTCCCAAAAGTATACGGCATCCAAGCTTGTATATTAATCATACTGATGTTAGGATACCTATTATCACGCCTAGAATAGCATAATAGAAAAATAATTGCCGTTAACCATATACAAATGAATCCCATATTGTCTTACCTAACTAAATCCAGTGTTGTCCAGGCGTTGTAACTATTTATCGGTATAATTCGAATATTTCTGTAACCCAGGACATCTTTTAAAAACATGAAGAAGATGCGCGTAATCACCTGGTGTAACGGTCGATTGGTCGTTTGCAGTCCAATTTCCAATTCATTTATTTTTGGCTCTTGTGAAATAATATCTACAAATAAGTAATACATCAATATTTAAATTTAAACTTCGGCGTGCCCAAAAATAATGTAATAATGTAATATGTATTCACTTTCATGTCCACTCAGTGCCATTTTATCTAGGTAAAGAGACTAAATGAACTTTTATTAAGAAATTGATTTATCTAGCGAATATTACATAAATTACCTTAGTTATTCTGTTATCCCCACCGTTTGGTAATCTCTTTGAAATTAAACTAATTTGTTGCATCGTAAAAGCTACAATCAATATGTTCATAAACTTAATTCGATATAAATATGTATATCAGATACTACTTATAAGAGCTGGAGCAAAGACTACTGCAGACTACTGTGGCATCAGACTGAATGAAGTTGTTTTCCTCCCGCTGAAGCGCAAGAGAGAAAGAGAAATAACGGACGGTTCGGTATCAAAACGGCTGTGAAAGTTTCTCAACTTATGTAAAGATGCAGGGATATTGGATTAATATATACTGATTTTATGCTTAAAAAGTACTTTCAGATTTCTAATTGAGTAATATTTTCGTTATTTTATAGAAGTTTGGAAAAATGATTACCCAAACAAAAGTGCGCTTCAATTTCTTTGGTGTTTTTTAACTTTATCGCAACGTATGTACATACATACATATGTACATCAAAATATTTAACCTTTCTTCTCGTTACTGGTTACGCTCTCTAAGCACTCTAAAACCATTCATTTTTAAAATTCTCAATGCGATTATTGCAGGTTACTGTCAGTACTTACCATTATTGTTAACGCAGTGAAATTGAGAACTATCTATTCCGGATGACACCAGAATGATCACGAAAAATGGTAGCAGCCCAATCATCTTAGTGGAAGAAATATTTTGAGCATAACATTATTCTGCAAAAAATAAATATGAAATAGTTTTTTAAAATCCGTTAATTCATATGTTAAAATGTAGGTTTCCAAAAATTACAAACCGACATGATTACATAACACTACCCAGCGCGATTTTTGCTCAAGGAACCAAACCGACTTTTTCTGATGGATTCGCATAATTCAAATTGTTCAATCAATTATAGTTTTTCTCTATGACAGAACTTCAATTTGAAGAAGTTTTCAAAATCTTTTTGCAGAGTAAGCAGTTTTTCGAACAATTTAAGTATCTTACATCTGGTTGTAAAGTTCTGGTTGCCATTCTAAGAATCTGATTGATGCCGCTAGAAATTGGAGCCCATCACTTTGTGGTTTTAGCTTACCGTTTGGGAAATATAAAGGTTTCAAATTCAAACACTCAGGAAAAGTAAAAAAAATTTTATTCTTCCCCTTTTATTTTATTTTGTTTGAAGATGCATTCAGCGTCGTTTAAGGTATTGCGCACTAAATCTGTAGAGAGACGGCGTATCAACCTACCAGTTGGTGTCATGTCAAGTATAGTGAAAAATAGGCAATGTGAAGGCGCGACTAAATCGAAAAGAAAATCGGAAATGTACGGAAATTAATGTGATTCTTTCCAGCTATAAATTGTTTACTCTATTTTATTATTGAAATAGTAGTACTATTTAATAGTAAACTAATATAAATTGAAACAAATTTATATCAAAGAATATATAAAAGTTAATTACTAATTTTTATGTTGTCTTGGTTTCTTCTTAATGACAATTAATTAACACTTTTTTATTACCTATTGGAGAGCAAAAGTATAGTTTTTTTTGCAAACTCAATGTTAGGTTTGCCAAAATTTGTAAACAATTCTTTTTGCCATAAAAGTATAAACACTAAAAAAAATATTTTATGGAATTGCGTCTTGGAAACATTGTACCAAATTTCTCCAATTCGGATTATATTTAGAACGAAAACACAGTATTCTACATGTGTAACATGAATGAATACATGCATGTATGTACAATTTACAAGTACAGTAGCTAACAATGTCGGACATGTTTTACACTGAAACAAATTTGCGCCAACTTACTTAATTTTCTTTACGGTGGATCTGATAATTTGTGACGATTCTGCTACCATGTGGGAAATAAATCTAAATGTACATACATACATATGTATATATATTTTTAATCTAACGCGTCACAATCATTTTGTCTATGCAAGCATTTCGGATCATAAATAAAAAGTCAAAGAGAGTTTACATATAATTAAAATATATGCTTGAATTATAAATAAACAACATTTTCTTTGTATAAGTATTTGTGAACCGTCACATGAAATTTAAAGATTCTTAGCTACACCAACTAAGTATTATTTTATCTATTTAATATTTCGTTTCATGGATTATTTAGCTTAATATTATTCACTGTAAAATAAACACTCCTGTTTACACTCATAACATTGTTTATTGATTGTTTACAAAAGTTGTTATTTTAATCGTTTTGAGTGTATTTTGTTTTATTTGATGAGCGACTAAATCGAATTGAATGGTTGCAAATAAATTTATTTATCATCGGTGTTGAAATGTGATTCTGGTTTGTTCACTCAAAAGTTTTCAATATCGACTTACGGGCACGAAGTGATATGTAGATTTGATAAACAATAATTTATTATTAGATATTTTTCAAATGACACTATGTAGATTTGTTCATATATTTAGATTTCCATAAGTATGTGCTTTCGACAAAGCTTGACAAGTGACTGAAACTGAAAACGCAGAAGCATCGCGCTGAAGCTAAAAAGAGGCCATTTTGTCCATGCTTTGACGATCACGAGGACGAACGAAATACTCTTCGCTGTTCTGTTGCATTTCGTTACTTTATAATACGTACAATATTTGAATTGTTTTTTAAATATATTTACAATCGTTCGATTTGAAGCGACTTACTCTTTTCGACAAGTCTTTCAATTTTTTATGTTTGCAAACTAAATTGCAAAACTCACATAGGCGTCTCTAGAGTATAAAAAGAAACATAATCAGATTCCTACAAAAACAAAATTGCTTTACATGCAATTTCCAAATGTTGAACTATGTAAGTATTTTGATGATCATTTTCACACTTTTAATCATTCAAAAGAATTTAGACGTAGTAGAGATATATGTACATTCATACATGTGTCTGCTGTTAGTTGTGCTGATGGCTGTTACATTCAATTTGGACCTTTATCCATTCATGAGTAAACGAAGTACAACTTCGAAGACAGGAATGCATGTCAGAATTCCGTTTTTGTTAGTATGGATCCAATTGTATAACAGTGCGTTGAACTGGATATTAAATTTATTATATTGTTGGTTCTTAATTGTATGCCAAAATCTTAATGTGGGTGGATATTAAATTAATTATTAAAAATTCTGACTTCAAAAACTCTCGAGTACCGACTTTCAGTCATGGTGTTCAGTTACACCGTAATGCTTCGAAATGCAAAGTAATGGAATTTCATCGCTCTAGCCCCTTGTTGGCTTCTTATACCCTCTGCGGTAGTTTTCTTGAAAGAATTTCCTTGGTTGATGATCTTGGTGTTAAACTATACATTTTCTTAACACATTTTTACCATGCTAAATAAAATCATGTCCTTGGTTTTATGAACGGGTGTTCAAGGGAATTTGCTGACCCCTATATATCGAAAACATTCCAACTTTAGAATACTGCTCATGTGCATGGTACTCTCAGTGCAACACCCATCAGGACTGTATAGAATCAGTACAGAACACATTTTCGGAAACTGCTACACTTTTTGCCAAATACTTTAAGCATTTAATTTTTTTCCGAACACTTTGATTTTTTGTCTTAAGTTTTTTTATATTAATACAATCTCTAATTATCGTAGTTGCTATACAAACTTTAAATCGTTTTGAAAAGTGTTTGTAAGTTCCTTTTTTAAAGAATATAAGAAACGTCTGGTTGGCACTACTATTATTTTGAAAGTAGCTGTATGTCTACATATCTACATTTCAGCGAAATATCGCCTGCTAAAAAAGGCAAACATGTTTGTTTTAAAATTGTATAGTTTCGAGTCCAAACGGCGGCTTTAAATGTTGCTGCCTTTGCTCTACATTTTCGAGATATTTCATGGAAGCCAACCATAGATCGAAATGGCCATGTCGAGCGCAGAAACGCACTGCTCTGACGTTGCCGCTGCTTCCACGGGACACTGGAAGTTAAGCTCATACGCCTCCAGGCAGTCAATCCCTCAAATGACTTAATTTGGGAGCCGCCTACTTCGGTTGCTCGGGGCCCCTTTCCTATCACCGCTTCCAACTAAAAACAGCTTCAGTGTAACCGTTGGTTTTGGTTGAATACTAATACTAAATACTAAACTTAAAACATTAATTTATTTAATTGGACTTCATTCGATGTAAATTAAATAATTTCATTATATTTCGTGGAAAAAAAATTAATTGCGTATTTTTTTATTTGTTATTTTAAAATGTAAACATAAATTATATTGCATTCTTCATCCCTGAAACATGCCAAACAACTACCGATAATACAATTGTCAGATATACCGATATATGTGTACATACATACTAACATTTCGATGTTTTATTAATAAATGTATCCCCATTTTTAGGTCTGTTTTACACAATCAGGATATTATAAATATTTTATTTCCTTGATAAAATAAATGATATATGTGATATATGTTTCCAATGCATTGAGTCGACTTGACTGTTGACCATTTTTTTTTAGCTGTATTTGGATCTGATTACTGGGCTTGAAGCCGGACAAGCATTGCTGAATGACTGAGAGAACAGCTGATACACATCTCAGGAACTGATGGTTGGCAATTATTACTGGAGTAAAAAGTGATCAAATTGAAATATAACTTTGGAGTCAACAAATATTGCTTGATAATATATCTTAAATATTCAAGATTTTTACAGATATTAATCAAATAGTTCGTTGTTATTAGCGCACTTTTCTCAATAATGCATATTTGGCGCACAGTATGCAGTGTTGAAAAAGTGCGAATGCATTCTCAATGTAGTAATGAGCTCTCTTAATTTTTGCTGACCTTTCGCAATTCATCAGATTGTTTTGGTTCCATTCCACACAAAAACGCAAAAACACTGTGAAGAAGCCATAAGGAATTAAATACGTATCTAGTATTTATTCTTATGGTAATACCATATATTGAATTTAAGCATATATCGATGAGGCGTTTAAACATCGATCAACATTTGCTGTACTGACACATCTTGTTTTTTGCATAAATAAATATAATCTATGTTTTATATATTTTCACGAATGTTCAATTTGAACGTATTAAACAAAAAACGAACTGCTGCAAAGCAAATTCAACAATAATTGACGAAAATATCTTAGCGACTGCATTGCGGAACGTGCATACTCGGGAACAATGAACCATGTTGATGAAATAAAAATCGATCAGCCTGCTCTTAGTTTCGAAAAGTGTAAGATAAATGATTAAAATTATGTTATTTAACAAAAATAAAAGCTTATATATCTTCCAACAGCACCCGAGAGTGATGAGGAGCATAGGAAACGGCTGGAGATAGAAGAATTAATTGCACAGAGCGAGAACCACAATATACCTTTGAATACTCTGCAAAAGTTAGCCTTGACGCCCTATGGATTGGTAAACGATAATTTGCGACGGATTTTGTGGCCGCAGTTGGCTGGCGTTGATGTGAATACTTTGGAGCGTGCTCCAACTCTTGGGGAATTGCAAAATCATCCAGAATACAATCAGGTGGTCTTGGATGTAAATCGGTCCTTGAAAAGATTTCCCCCTGGAATACCATACGAACAACGTATTGCACTACAGGATCAACTAACTGTTCTAATTCTACGGGTTATTAAAAAGTATCCGAATCTGCGCTACTATCAAGGCTATCATGATGTGGCAGTAACATTTCTCCTGGTTGCTGGAGAAGAAGTGGCATATGCCATAATGGAGCAACTCTCGACCACGCACTTTTCCGAGTGCATGCAAGAGACAATGGAGGCCACGCAAAGGCGGCTGATGTTTATCTGGCCTGTGGTCAATTTTGAGAATCCAGAGCTCTACCAGTTTCTTCAACGGTCTACGGTAGGCACTCTATTTGCGTTACCGTGGTACTTGACCTGGTTTGGACACAGTTTAAATTCATACAAAGCTGTGGTCCGTCTATACGACTACTTCCTTGCATCAAAAATGTACACGCCAATATTTGTGACGGCCGCGATTTTACTGCATCGTTCAAGCGAAATATTTAAGGAGGACTGTGATATGGCATCAGTGCATTGTCTCTTATCAAGGGTAAGATTAGCTGAAGTAAGTCATACCAATTCAAATTGATTTATGTATTTATTTTTAGCTACCAGAAGATTTGCCATTTGAAGATCTATTGCAAACTTCAAGCATGCTCTATGATAAGTACAGCTTGACGGTAATAGAAAAAGAAGTTGAAGTGCTAATTCTTAAAGAGTAAGTACCGTTTCCTGAGTCGATACAAAATTGTAATATATACTTCTGTCTATAGGAAAGAACAGAGGATCGCCGAAGAAAAAATGCTTCTGGAGAGACGAAAGAAGCTTACGCGTTCCGCGTCCACAAATCGAAGCTACAGCATAGGTCACTGGCTCCCTAACTTGTTGAAATCAAAGTCGTTGCTAGTGACAACAGCTGTTTCTATTGTGGTTGGCGTTTGTGCATATTATTACAAGAATCAGTATCTGGCGGCGGGAATCAGCTGAGTGTCGGATTCTTATCTAGCTTTAATTCCGAGATGTATCGTCAGGTTTGAGCCCATTCGGCCGAAATGGATTTGTATGGCTGAGATCTCGCTTAAGCGATTATAATTTCTTTAAACAAAAAAATAGATAAAATTGGCAAGGCCAAAAATTATTATATTTTTACTAAGTGTATTTACCTTGATTTAAGTAATTCTAAATGGAATGAATACATATATATTCTGAGCATAATAATATTCGACAACTATTTGTTTTAACGCACTAAAATATATTACAAATAAACAATAAGTATAACATTAAGGTGTTATTGAATATTGAATGAATTTGAGTTTGTTTACTGCTTTTTATTGCTCAAGTATCTTCTCTAATAAGCTAATGAAGGAGTTTAGCTTTTCCTTATTCATTTCAAAAAATAGAATTCTGTTTGTTTTGTTTTGCCGGCAGTTCAAATTCAGAGTTGTGACTTGATGCACATTTTCGCCGAAGCTACTGTCTCCTAATATTAAACGTGTATCCCAAGAGAAGGACTCCATGAACAGCATCGTTCCTTTGGCGCATTCTAGCTTGTGTGTTGCTACCTCTGGTTGACGTGCTGCAAGCACCATTGGCACAAGCCGGTTCATTTCAGGACTAAGGTAGGGAAACAACGTTGAATCATCTCTCTTGATGTCTAGATTGTAGTTCATGTAGAAAGCTGATAACGTTCGAGTGGCCAGCAAAAAGTCGTATGGATTTTGAAATCCATATTTATGCGATAAACGTAGCGTCTGCTTCTCCGTTATATTTCCAATGAGGTAATCTACGGCCAAATGAAGAACCTTGTACAAATGTTTAATATAAGGTAAAACATTTTAATATTTATAGGTCTACCTCGACAAAGATTTCTTTGTTATCAATATTTTTTAGCAAGTCCATACTACTAAATATGATAAACAGCCTTCCTGATGGCGTTGTTATGCTAACTGATGCCCTCAGCACTGATCATATAATTTTAGTGGCCAATAACATAAATTTTATAAACAAATCAGAACATTGTAAGCAGTGTGACCGCGGAATTATCTATAAAATATACCGACAGGCCGTCGGAAATATACGGTAGCCGTGCGGTGTGCAGTGCTAATCTTTGGTCACACTTTTCCAGAACAGCAGTATCTAATAAATTTCAATTATTGGGGTACCACCTAGTAATAAGGTCACAACAAAGTTTCAGCTAGATAAATCAGGGATGACATTAGCATGAACCCGATAAAGCCCAGTACTCAGAGCGGTTAAATTTTCTGTCGGCAGAAAGTTTTATATACATATGTACATATTTCGCTCGGTGCCCAGTATGACCAAAGTGGGCAAAGTGCATGCTCTACGGATACTCTGTTTTGTGTTTGCTCACAAAATGGAATCTGTTCAAAATTCCAAATTTATATGACAGCAGGCTGGAGTGAGTTACTTGAGAATTGTTATGGAGGATATTTATCCCTGATTCGGTCCCATTGTAGCATTTTAATCTCAATCTCGAATTCGTCCCACGAGAGTGCCATTTGGCAAAATCATTCGATTTAAAGCACACGATTCCAAAGGTCAGGTCAACATTACTCTAAGCATTAAGAAAGCGAGGAGGTGAAGGAAAATGAAACTATAGAACTAATGTTCTTGTAAGAGGAAGTAAAAATGATTTGTCTACGTATGAGAGCAGAAGAGATAATTTTCCATGTCAAGGTGAACATTTTGCTACTATGAATTTAGTATTTGACAAATTTATTTATATATTTGTTGGGTTTCGAAGTAATAAAAAGTTAGGCTTAGTTGTAGAATAAATCGTAAAAATATCTAAATATATGTATGTATATACAGACAATAACGGTGTTTCTTTGAAAAGTCTTCTTTCTTTGTGTGGTTTTTTTTGTAGTCTAAGAAGGAATTCATCCTTAAAAAATATTGTACAAATCAAAAATCATTACGCAAGTGAACAATGGATAAATATTTAAAGGAAATTTGTAGGATTGGTACTATGTAACATGTTTTGATTGGCATCCATAGAATTTTGTGAGTTTTGTATTCAGCAAGAAATATGAAATAGACATTTGGCAAAGAGTCAAAACCATATTTAACAAAAAAACGGAACATCTTCGCCATTTATAAGTATTAATCATTTCACAACTATGAATTTTGGTACCAGAATTGAGTAACGGAACACTTGCTGTTTTCTTTCGAAATAAAAGATTTTCATTATTCAGGAATTTTAAGCTTACATATTAACTAAATTAGTATATTTTGATAAGGTCCTTTGGTATTGGAATGCAATCATTTGCATGAGTTTTAAAATGACACCAATGCTTAGTCTAGAAGTATACAAAACGAATGCTATCATTGGTTTCATCCCAGCTTACAGGGCAGATAAAGCTTATATTGACATTAAGAAATCGGCCCTTAATCTGTTTGTGTTTTTCATATTTGTACATACATATATAATATAAATTATTGTGCAATAGTTTGTTTGTTATTACACTAGTCAGCAGATAAACGTTATAGTTGATCTCGCGTATGTAGATTCATAAACATTGTGGAGGAGCTGATTTATGGAACTTGGGTAAATCGGTAAGATGTTTTATTCGAAAAGATTATCATGGATTGTTATTTATTTGACAAACGGGTTCTTTAAACAATGGAAATTATTCAAATTTCTTTTTAAAAGAATACAGTAGGAGCCCCAAAATATACGTTTTCAGTCAGAGGGGATATTTTAAAAATTCAGGTTATGTCCAGCTCTTTCCCATTCTGATGCATTTTATTTTACACTGAGTTTGGGAGGCGCATTCATCACAGCTTTGCTTTTTGTATCGACAAACTCGGCTTACCTCCCAAAAGCAGTGTAAAACCCACATAGTAGTTTTCCGTTCCTAATCTGCAATAATACTTCATTGTTCGACGCACTCTGCAAAAGCTCATAAATAATAATTTGGTTATGAAATTATAATAGCTAATAATAGGCATAATAGGTTATTTGCAAACTTTTAAATGGTTTGACGGATGTACATAAGATTGAGTATACACACATACACACATGGGTACAAGTACAAAGGCTATAACAATAGTTAGCTTAAATTGTTCTTAAAAAATTGTTGCAGTTGATTATATGCAATGGGCAATGTACCTTTAAGCTGTTCAAATAAAGAATTTACAGTAAGTGATTTTATATTCTTGTTATATTGATTGCATCATTAATAGACTCCCTTCTTAACAGCTGTTTTGTATCGTTTTCTATTTCGATCGGCGATATTCCTGCACTTCTGTCATTTAAATAGGGAGTATCTTCCTCTATAATTTTTTCGAGGAGTATATCACCAGAGTTATTCATACCTAAAACATAAGTTCAAAAAATAAATTGAATTGGGGATAAATGCTGAATTAGCTAACAATTACGTCCAACTATCGGTCCGTTAGATAAATTATCCGAAGATGTGCAGTTTACCACTGCAACATCTGTGGGGGAGTTATTGCGGCCGCTTTTTTGTAAGGCCACAGCTTTGCGAGCATGCCGCGTGGTTAGCACACCAGTTTCTACATCTCGTTCAAGGCGGTGCCCTGAAACAAATATTGGAACAAATATTGAAACAAAATGCATCTTGAAGTGTAAATATGTATAAAATGATGTATTACCAGAACGCGAGCGAGTAAGCTGCCGCTGTACGTAGTCCTCCAGATCCTCCTCTTCCTTTCGACTTATGAGGCAGTTCAAAACTAATAAAAATAAGCCCAGGCCAAGGGAAAACAATCCAGTGCAAGTCACTTCATTCCACCACGCAGAGCTTGAACCTAAAACAATGGGTAAACATAGGTATACTCGTATTTAAATATGTACGAGAATATTGCTTACTAAACACATTCCAGGACATTGTCTCATCTGGAATAATTCCTGCCCCGATAAGAAAAACTCCAAACACAATGAACACAATACCGATATGAAGCATTCCAATGCTTGTGACAACCTATTTTACAAAACAAATGATTTATACTTGTTCATATTATTAAACAATTTATTTCTAAACATTCACCTGGCTGTCAAGCATTCCTGGTCCAGGCTTGGCTGCATGATGGTGATGATATTTGCGTCTCACAGACCCACTGGGTGAATGAAATGTCTCGCCACTCTCAGAGCTTTGAGTGCTGTACCTCCGTTCTCGGGCTCTTTTCTGTTCATCTCTTCTCTTACGCTGCCGCTTAATGGCCATAGCCGAATGTATTCCAACTGAATGCATTTTCGTTCTACAAAAGAGTTTGAGTTTCTTCAATTTTAATTGCATCATGGTTCCGGGTATAAAGGTAATGACACGGGAAAGTCGAACATGCGGGCTGAAGCTATAAGGAACGCTCTGTCACACCATTTCTTAAATACCAATCCTTTATAAATAAACAATTTTAAACATTTAACTATGCATACATTTTTATTTTATTTTTGCTAATATTATTGCCGGTAAATAAACCAACTCTCATATCCACTACTAATTTAGTTCCTTTTCTTAAATCCCTAACACCAGAATACCTTTTCCAACGTTTTTTTTTTTTTTTTGTTTGTTTAATTTATCCCTTTTTGTTGTGTTTAGTTCTAGTCTAGCAAATATCTTTCCTGAATGTTCGCGACATGTTCGTCATGCGACAACGCCGCCTGTATGGTTGGGCTTGACGAAAACTGCGTTTCTGCCGGGTTCCGCGCGTAACGGTCTTCGGCGTGGTGTCACCTAGGCCACTTATGTATGAACATATGTATGTATATTTACGATAGCAATATGGTAGCTGAAGAGCTACATATGTACATGTACATGTGTAAGTATAAATTTCACTTATCCTGCATACATACATATGCTATGGTTATTAATTATAATAACAATCTACATTATGTATGTAGATAAGCAATGTGTTATTTGCCAGGCTATCAGATTGGAAGCAGATGGTTTATCTGGCTTAGCTGATCTCTAATGGCTTATATTTTGTTCCAATGAAACTTGTGTGTTGGTTGGTCACTTACAACCTACACCATTGACCTACTTAGTGACTTGCTCTGCTGCAGCCACACCCAATAGCAATACATATTTATTTTAAACTTCTAACTTAATATTTCAAGTCTTGGGTTTGCCATTAACGTCAACAGGTTTAATTGGATGTAGAACTCATGGGGTACATTCGTATTTACATATTTATGTACAAATGTATGTATTAAATATGTAAACGTAGTAACCCGTCACGTACACCCCTAGGACATACTTTTGACAATGTAAATACATGTACATACATACAAATGTATTTAGGAATTATGGCTGAATCGCATTTAGGAAAAATACCGTTATTAGAAACGTACATATGCACGTACAAACATACATAATAAATATGTATATGTATACATATGTATGTTTGTGTTCATTTTGAGTTTTGAAAACCCCTGGGTTTAAGTGAGTATGCATACACACATAAATAATAGGTGGTGGTTTCACCACCCCCTCTGTATGGTCCTGTGAATTGCATTCTGGCGCTTTTTCCTTTGTACCAGATGACTTCAGCTTTCCCACTACCTCACATTCGTTTATCTCACCTTTGTGCGTATTTTCGTTTGTCTAACTGAACGAAGAACTTTTGTTTAATTTTTGATCAATATTATAATGCATTATACAAAGCAGCGCGACAGTCCCAATCACATTTTATTACAGACTTAATAAAGTAAGTTATTATTTTTTATTTTATCGATTTTTGCCATGTACCAATGTTGTGTGACCCTTTTTAGGTGTGATTTCTGTATTTGGGCTTGTACGTTCTTGTTATCAAAACATACGACTAAGCCATGGCGTAAATCATATTTAATTGTTTTTTCTTATTGAACGGAAGAGTTATTTATGCTATAAATTATTTTATTTTCGCGAGTTTAATTTAATTATTAATTTTTTATTTACACGCAAGAACAATGGGTGATACATGAGAGATTGCACTTTGCACTAGCGTGAAATTTTTGTTCCGAACTGAAAGTGAAATATCCTTTAGTATTAGTTAAATACCGCGGATATACTTTAAAAGCTCTTAGACACTCTGGTTCTTGCCCGAACTTAAGGAAGCTTTTCTCTCCTTGTTTAGATCAATCAAAAGTCAACTAGGCATATAGAGACTTTTATTTAATAAGATTAATATAATATTCACGAACTAAAAAATAAAAATTTTATTAAAAATATAATCAATTAATACAAAATAAACGCTAGGTAAGATCAAAGATGTGTTTGACGCAATGGGTTGCACTTTCGAACGTCAGTATTGTACTTTGAAATGTCTTTAGCTTTTCGATGTATAGTCTGTGAACTTTCGTATTGACGCTCTTATAATGAACACCAGTAATTAGTTTTTCAGTCACATATGACAGCCAAAACACGTTTGTTTTAGGGGAAAATAGAGCCCAATTATTTCTACAAATAAACAAAAATATATTCAGATATGCGTGTAGTCTAAAATTACAGTTATTTTAGTCGATTACTCACTTTAGCTCATCCCGCATCATTCGGTAAATATCGTATTGATAGTCTCCTGACGCCGCAAACAGTTCTGCATCGGAAGCCAGATCATTAAAGTTGCAAAAGTCGTCGATAGTTATTCTTGATAGAGTATAGTCAATGATTGTAATTTTCACCCCTTTCGAACACAACGTCAAGTCCTTTGTATGAAATGTATAAGAAATTTCTTTCTCAGCAGTTGGTTCGATTAATATGTTGCCCCAATGAAGGTCACGATGCTCGAATTGGCACTCCTCCTCGCCAACGGCTAGGGCCAAAATAATCTTCAAATAGCAAATATTATCAGCTAGTAATAATATAAATATTTCTATAATGTTACCTGTTGCAATGCATAGTACGACTGTTCAGCATTAACAAATTTAAAATTGGACATGTCTTCTCCAGAAAACTCTAATTCCAAAACTATAAATAGTTGGTCGTCTGCAAATATTTTAGGATGATCATTTTCAGATTCCTTTTCATCGTCGTAACTTTCCCAAAGCTTTATCAAATGTTCCGGATACGTTCCTCTAACTAAAGACACCTAAAAACAGAAGTTAATTATTTAAATTGCTTGTAAATAGTATCTTAAACATGTATACCTTGAATATATTTGCATATCCGTCTGTGGTGTTATTTTTCCCTACCCGTAGACTGCTCATTTTCTTGGAAATAATAATTTCTGGCAATATTTGTGCAAAGGTTTTTTGCAATTCTCCGTTAATTTCAGTAGAACCTTCGATAGGTATTACTTTGAGGACCACGTCAGTGCTATATGAATTCCTTTTTCTCTTTTTACCACTGTACCGAAACACTTCGCCATACGCACCTTCGCCTATCTTCTTGGCATTCACCATTTTTGAAGGTGCATATAAAATGTCAAATCGAATCGGCTTGCGCTGATCGCAATGTCTCAGGACTTGGCTCTCAAAATCATTATCTATGTTATTGCAGTCATTTAAAAATATCGATTTACGCCCTAAACTGGAAGGCCTGACTTGCGTATGTGCGCGGGGAGTTATCAAAGGAGGGTTTACGCTTATGTCTAGAGTCGTTTCAACTACATGCGTTCGGCGCCAACAATTAAGAGATTTTCGCCACTTTCCTGGCTGTAAAACAAGTGAAGACCGAATACCCTCTCGATGCTCGTCAGATATATTCTTTGAGTTCCTATCCTTGAATTTATTTTTCAATTCGTCCGAATTACTGATGGTATTCGTGGATTCAACTTCGAAGCATACTCGTTTTTTTATGTGCAGCTCTACCTCCACACGATCTTGTAGTTTCTCAGTGTTACCGCCGAAGCCGTCAAGTTTCATTCCCGTGATAGGAGATATTCCGCAGTGAAATAAATCAACGCCTAAGCGTTTTCCAAACGGCGTTGAAATTGAGCGCTTTTCCCCTTCACCCAAATCATCGCAGACATCTAAAATATGTTGCTTTGGCCTGACCGGCTCCTTGTTTTCTTTTAGAATGCTGTGGCTGCTATTTTCTATGCTGGAATCAATGTTAAAGGATGCTCTGACATTCGACTTAATTATGTTGAGCATTCGCAGTTGCCTGTGTGGAATTAAAAGATTAATTTTTCTGCAACAACTTTAAAGCCCACTTCTTACGGTCGGGGATCCAGTAATTTATCAAATGAATCTTTCCAAGCTTCATCATCCAAAGTATCATCCATCTTGAGGTTGTTTCCATTAAATTGGAGTCTACTAAAGCTATTTGAATTTGTCACTGAAATAGAGATGTGAAATGCTATAATCAATTATTTAGGTATCGAAGAACTGACGTTTAATAATTAAGATCGTAGGGGTACTCCCTTAACTGTCGAATGGCACATCTGTCCACAAACATATATGGGATTCTTAAACATAATTATTAAAATATGCCACACTATCCAATGCAGACTTTTGATGAGGGCTTTAGTTTTAGTTCAAAATTAATGGAATACTTACATTTCCATGATTTTTATATAATGCGTCGACAAAACGGCAGGATGGACAAAACTAGAAGAAAGCGAGAAAGTGACAGCTAGAAAAGCCCACTTCGTTTACCCTTTCCCCATTTTGAGGGTGGTCATTTTTATTTTCACTTCGTCGTGTTTTTATCTATTTCTTTCGAGCCGCTAGCAAACTACCATCGATTACCATCAAATCAGCTGATGTTTTAGGATTAATCGGCAAGTTTTTTTTCGATTTGTGTCCTGCCCCTACTGCACACAGTATAGTATACTGTCTGGTTAGTGGCACGACGTACAGCCTCTGGCAAAGAGATTCTTGTCGGCTCTGAGTACTTGAAACCAATATGAGCAGAAAGAATCTCAAAGGGACTACGATGCATCGTATGTTTACCAGAGCACCATTAACGTTGCATAAAAGTATCGATTATTGAACACATAATTGTATATCGATATTTTACGTATTGTAAACAAATTTTCCAAAAGTGTGCACATGTTTTATTGGAATGTGTGGAATTTTTTGCCGAATTAATCAAAATACAGTTAGCTGTACTGAACTAAATAGTACACTAAAAACAGTCCTAAATAATCGTGGTCCAGATGCTCAGGATGAGCTACTTCTTGACAATGTCTTACTCTCCGGCAGTGTCTTGTGGCAACAGGGCGAAAGTATACAAAAACAGCCGGTTATCGAAGGGGACTGTGTATTGTTGTTTAATGGAGATTTGTACAACTTGGAAAAACCTGCCACAATGTCAGACACATTATGGTTAGCTAAGAAGTTGTCTGATTGCCACTGTGATGAAAAGATTCTTTCTGTCCTGAATGTGTTGGAGGGGCCATATTGTTTGATAATGTACAACAAATCAACTAAAATTCTTTACTTTGCCCGAGATGCACTTGGTAGAAATTCATTGATTTTAGAGCATAATCAGCAAGGATTGCAATTATTGAGCACCTCATTTTACTCCGAGATCCATGAGCTATCAACACTTGAATTGCCGCCGTTGGGACTGTACAAATTAAAAATTGACAACTTGAGCAGCTGTGAACTATATCCCTGGCAGACCCTGAATCTATACACAAACCAGCAACTGGCCACACTTGATTTGGCAATGGGCTGGAAAACGATAATCAAACATACAATATCCCCAGATTGGCTGTTTAAGGAACAACTTGATTTTGATTACGATTTTTACAAATTTGACTATACTGACAGCCATGAAACGCTTTTTGAAAACCTGCTTAACTCTCCTGAAATCCAATCAGCTTTGGCAACCTTTGATAAGTTACTTCAAGGTTCTGTATCATCACGAGTTATAACGCCCCCCTTTTGCCGTGATTGCTTAAGGATTGACCAAAACACCGACAAATGTACACACGCTAAATTGTGTATACTTTTTTCAGGTGGCATCGATTGCACTGTCTTAGCGGTCCTGGCTGACAGATATGTACCAGCCGGCGAACCCATAGAACTGATTAATGTGGCATTTGAAAGAATATCAGCACAAAATACAGCTGCAACACAGGAATATTGGAATGTTCCAGACCGAACGACTGCGCTACAGTCATACACTGAGCTGAAACGGATCTGTCCAAAGCGATGTTGGAACCTAATAGAAGTGAATGTGACACGCGAGGAGTTACATCTTCAACTCTCACAGCATATCCATCATCTTATTTACCCCCTACAGACAGTGTTGGATGAAAGTCTAGGCTGTGCATTTTGGTTTGCTACTCATGCCAAAAACTCATCTGCCAGAGTTGCCATCATTGGCTCGGGTGCTGATGAGTTGTTCGGAGGATACAGACGGCATCGAAACGCTTATAGACATTGTCCTGGGGACGACCGGGAGCGTGAACTTGTTGTACAGACTGAACTTGAGAAGGACTGGCAGAGAATACCTGCTCGAAATTTAGCGAGGGATGATCGCGTTATTGCGGACAATGGAAAAACAGCACGTGCACCTTTTATCGAGGAGAATGTTGTTCAATTTATTCGGTCTCTAGAACCGAAACAGAAATGTTGCTACAGCTTCCCCGAAGGTGTCGGTGATAAATTGCTTTTACGGTTGTATGGATATCAACTTGGTCTGCGGGACGCGGTGCTGTTCAAAAAGCGAGCTATACAATTTGGTTCAAGAATTGCTGACAAAAAGCAGAACGCAGCACAGATTTCTGTTTACTTAAAGTTTAATCTTGCTAACTAATTTAAAAGTAAATCAATAAAGTCGTGTTTGTTCCAAAAATTAGAACTCTAGAACGGCTAACACGATTTTGATGGTTTTTTTATTTTACAAAAGCAAGGAGAAGACCTGTCTGATATCAAGGAACAACCAAACCTCGTGTTAATATGATAATTTTGTATATTTTTACGTAGTTTTAAACTATAACATGTCGGAGAATAACTATTATTATCTATCACACCGCATAAGGTTCAGCAGGTGCCATCCTCAAGACCCACAGGAAGAGCGTTGGAGGCACAGCCTTCAGGATCATCTCGACGAAACGTATTATTGTTCGTGTCATTTATGTCAATGGAAGAAAAACTATCCAGCATGGCTGGAATGGGCAGGCTGTGGTAAAGTTCGTTGTGTTTATTTTCAAGACCAAAATGAAGTTGTAACTGATGACGAATACTCTCTTTTTCATTGGCACGATTGCGTTGAAAGTCTTCCTCCACTCTAAAATAAAGTAAGGTTCGAAAATGATTTAAATAAACTAAAAGAGCTAACTATACCTTTTCAAGGCTTCAACCTCGCTCCTGTGAGTTATTTCAACATCGGCATCTTTTGTTGATCTATCTAAATACAACTTCTCCAGTAGCCGCACTGGATTATGGAATGTAAACCGCTGAAACTTGTCAGCTAATTTTACATTCGCCTCAGTTACACTCTGAAAGTGTAGTTTTTATTTAGAGGAGTTTTCATACATATTCTTGTATTTATTCCATACCGTAATTGGATACACTGGAGTTCTATCTTGGAGGTTTTCAGGTACGTGGCGTTGTCGGTTCTTGAAATGACGACTGGGTTTTGGTTTGCAAGTTTCGAGCTCACCCCTATCGCTGTTGCAAGAGGGTCTGTCGTTGTTGCCGGGCAGGTACATTACGTGCTTTCCCCCCGCCAGTATTTTTAATGATTGTGGCTCAATAACAGGTAGCTCCTGTCTGTTGTCTGTATCTTTAATTCTATGCAAGGAAACACCGTTCTGTCCGACATTTTTATGCAGCATCCAGTTCTCGAAGCCATCAATTTTGGTTACAGAAACACCCGTGGCTTGAGGATTTGAGCTGGAAACCTGACAAGTTGGACGTTTGCTAAAAAAGAATTCTGGTTTTCTTTTCCGAAGGCTTTTGTAAATGCATGCCTATAAGATAAAAAACAATTAGGTAATGGTGAACCATTTCTATGTATTCGAACTTACCTCATTTGATTTTAGATTATCAAGCTTCCGCGCATGTTGTAGGTGACCATCTCTAGGTAGGGAAAGACTAAATGTGTGGAGGGGTGACACCGAATTATGGGAAGATATTTTTGACTTGCTGCCGTAGAATAGTAAAGCTTCTTCCTCACATTTAGAGCGATAGTCATCGGAGCTCGAGTCTGAATCTGTGGTGAGATTCCCCAGCGCACTATCACCAATTTGATCGCACAAGTCCTGCTCAGGCGTCCAGGCATTTGGCAAGTTATTGTTTATTTTACGAACATGTCTTATTTCATGGGTAATGCTCGGTTGAATTGGCATCTCGGTTTCCGTTTCCATTTTTTGGTAACTACTTGGATCTGATAGCACATTAATTCCTCTATCAATCTGAACTTCATCACCGAGAAGAGTGCGCCAAGCTAACGCAGGGCTAAAGGATGGCGTGTCAAGTTGACGTCGTGGCAGTGTAGGACGGATGCAAAGCCGCAAACCATTTTCATCTACGCTGTCTTCTTGACTTGTTGACTTTTTATATTCAATATCATAATTCGGAACGAAAAGCAGCGATGTAGCTTCATTTGAACTCACGTTGTTCTCGTTGGGGTTAGAGATGATATTCTTTCCGGGAGAATCTGGTGGATATCCATTTATTGGCTGTTGAGTCTCTGTGGTGGTGGCGACATCCATGCCGAAATAAAATGTTCGTTTGTGTTTTTCTACCTTGGGCGTCGGGGCAGAAACATTTTTTGTTTCTTTGGTATTCGATATAGAATTTATGGGTGGTTCTTTAATATAATTATTGTTTTGTAATTTGTAATTTGCTTTCCTATCTTCAGTGTTATCCGTTTTAACATTAGCCTCCTTTGCACCCTTACTTTTTATTATAATAGCATCGGAACTCTTCTCACGCCTGTACGTCGAGCGCGGTATTGGTACACTTGGAGTGCAATTTCCACTAATAGAGTTTCGTTCCGCACGTTTCCTCTTAAATGATAAATTTGAAACTTTATTTACAGTAGTCAGTCGATCTGTATTTTTGGAAAAATGATTTTGTCTGCCCTGGTCAGTCGTTATCTTGACACTTGTGGAGATGTTCTCTTTTTTAGCTATTTCTGGATGAACGACAGCAACCATATTCATCGATTCAGTAGGCACTTCGGGAGCCCTACGCTTTTTTGTATACTTGTTCCTTTTCTCTGATCTAGCCATCGATTGCTTCATCGCAGTTTCCTTATTATTTTGTTTTACTAGCTCTGGCTCTGAATATGTGTGGCGCTGCATTTGGGATAAATTCGATTTTGAATTGGTTCCTAAATTGTCTTGTTTGTAATTGGCTTTAACGTGATGCAGCGTTTGTGAACGGGTAAACTCTGTCTGCAGTGCGTGATTTGTAGATTCGGCTATAAAGGTCCGCGATCGTTGCATTGGCGCGTTCATTGGGCATAGAATAGGCGTTTCGCTCATCCTTCGACCGCTGATCGTGCCTCCGGAATTGAGTATGGCTCCATTCGTAGTCGCTCGTAAGTGTAGGTTCTTGTCAATCCGTGGCAGTACTTTAAATTGGGCATTCTCATCGGCTTTGTAGTTTAATACTTTCTGAATGTTCGACGTCGGATCCGACCTCCGCCATTGCTGGCTGTGCCCTCTCTGTGGAGTTGGACTCGACCTTATTTCAGATTTCGCATAATCGTAGTACCGATGAGAACTTTGTCGAAACTGTTGGGAGAGATTTTTAGCATGCGGACTGGGGTTTGTGTTTTGTCTGTGGATGTTCATTTGATGCGAGCTGCCAGAATTGCCCATTTTAATGTGCCTACAAAATATAAGTAAGTAAATATGGTTTAAGTTAATTTTTGAACTTAAATATATTAATAGCAAATGATTTACTGTAGGTAACTGTAACCCAGATTAATACAACCTATGGGATCGTATATGCATCTTTATGTGCATTCAACATATTTAACTCTCCTAAAGAATATGTAAACCTAAATTCCTTCATTGACTCTCAATTGTATAAGTTATAGGTTGACTTGTTGCATTATGTAGATACGTACATTCGTATGTGTTAAAACAACCGATTATGGAATTAAGTTTTATTGCACTTGTTTTGATTTGGTCTTAAATTGATTTCCATTCGCATCATTAATAATTGGGTACATTTGTGCAAAAAGTATGTTACATATGTGTATATATGTATATTGCCCAGTTCCTACATAATTATTTACATACATATGCATAAATGTATGTACATAATATGTATTTTTACACAAACGGATAACATATTTATATTGTATATGTATGAAGCTGCGTGATTAAGTCGTTTTCATTCAGTCTTTTGATCAAGACAACCAAGCCACATAACTTATGGACCAGTGCGTCAAAATACTTGCATAAATATACATACATGAATACAAACACTGAATATCTGCTGAATATCTTTAAATTCAGTGCCAAGTAAACAACACAAACGATTCCAGTTCGGGAATCTAATCACTACTTTCAGAATCTATTGTAAATGGTAAGATCCACAAAAATATTTCCCACGAACTATTTACATACATATGCAACTTTCTTTTAGTTTTCACCAAGAGATGTTATTGCTAACTGCGCTAGGGCCTCAATTAATTTTATTTGGAAACTTCATTAGCATGCATTATATGTTGGAGTTTTAAACATTGATTTACGAATTATTCGTATGTGGTTAAATGGTAAAATAAATGCAAAGTAAATAAAATATGTAATTTTATTTTACGTTTTGGTTGGCCACCAGTGACCGCACTCGCGCATGCGCTTTCACAACACGTTGATCTCGTTTGAGAAAAGCTCTGCGTTCCACTGTTATTGAGTGGAAAAGCTGTTTGCCCTAACAGAGATTTTGTGCACGAAGATACTATTTAAGTTGATTCAAAATTATCATCTCCAAACGGGCAAACAGACAGATAGACTGATAGATCTGTCAGATATATAAATATATATCAGGAATATACATGTATAAGCTTCCTTAATAGGATTTAAAGTTCGCTTATCGATTTATGTACCAAACTTTATTTAAAAGTCGAAGATTTCAGTTCGTATCTTTCGATAATAATTATTTATATTATATCTGTTGAATGTACGCTATACTCGAATACCCTTATTTAATTACAGACGAAAATACCAAAAGTAACATTATGCTCAAGCAGGTTCCGGTTTTGACTTAAGCGTTTTCTGTGTCTGGGGCAGTAATTATATTTATAATTTCTAATTACTAAATTATATTTTTGTACTTTGATCAAATGTGCTGCAGTGGAGAAAATACATTTTGCTGATTGCAAATTGATTAGAGTGCCATTTGGTTTTATCGATAACCTTGAGCAAAGTCGAAAGACTAAATAATGTCAACAATCAAAGAAATCCCTGTTCATTTGCCAAAATTGCTTACATTGTTTCGGACAATTGTGCCGAAACTGACAAATGACAAATATAAAGGACAATATGGGCGAATTGGCGTCATCGGAGGATCTTTGGAATATACCGGTGCGCCCTACTTTGCAGCTTTGAGTTCCATGAAAGTCGGTGCCGACTTAGCTCATGTCTTCTGTCAAGCGAATGCGGCCTCAGTAATCAAATCTTACAGTCCCGACTTAATCGTTCATCCAGTGCTGGACTGCTTGGATGCTGTTGATAAAATAAAGCCATGGTTAGACCGTTTACACGTGATTGTGAGTAAATCCTTTAAAATCGTTCTGATTCAATTAATTTCCCTTATATTTATATTATCAAGGTTATTGGACCCGGATTGGGTCGGGAGCCGCCTATTCTGAAGACTGCAAAAGATTTGCTAAAATTGTGCATAGAATTACAAAAACCAATTGTGATAGACGCTGATGGACTATTTATTCTGAACGATAACATTGATCTAGTGTGTGGACAACGGAATATCATATTGACCCCAAACGCTATGGAATTCCGCAGATTGTTTGGAGAAGACACAGATTCAGTTCATCGGAAAATGTCTTCTCTGGGAGATGGTGTTGTGGTCTTGGAAAAGGGCATATGTGATAGAATTCATATACCTCACACCAACGAAGTTCACTCCATGCCTAGTGGTGGTTCCGGCCGTAGATGTGGTGGTCAAGGGGACTTGCTAAGCGGATCACTAGCAACGTTTTATTTCTGGTCACTGCAAGCCAATCAGCCAAATCCCGCATTAATAGCAGCTTGTGCTTCAAGTTATCTAGTGAAGGGAGCAAATTTGGCTGCATTTAAAAAGTTTGGTCGAAGCTTGCTAGCTAGTGACATGATAAATGAAATATCCACAGTTTTTCGGTCTGAGTTCGAAGATCCGGAAGGTTGATAAAACGGGCAAATAAATTACTAAGGTGTGATGTTTTGATTTTAAAATGATTTTACTCAGCTGAGTGTAAAGTTGACCAAATAAAGGATGTTACTTTGCTAGCAAACTAATCTATCAGCTGGCATTTTCAACTACTGCATTTCATTAACTTTGTTGACTTTGACAAGAACATGTATGGGACTTTTCGCTAGGCGAAATGTTGTCTAGTCTGAGTACTAGTCTTAACATATCTATTGTCTGTTAGTGATCAATTTGAAAGCCAATTGGTAAACTTCCATCTCTATTTCGATATATTTATATATCGGCAATGCAACAGATGATCTACAAAAACAAAAGCATTTATTACGCAATAGTTCTGGACAATAAGAATTTACAAAAATGAGGGTTTCTCAAGTAGCGCGATCCTGTTTTAATACATTACGGTTAAACTTTAGACCGGCTCCAATGACCCGGTCACATTTTACGTATTACCCCACAGCTGTGGGACCAGGTGATGCGAAAAAAATGAATATGTTTACCGCCATAAATAATGCCATGGATCTGGCACTCGAAGAAGACAGCACGGCGTTGCTGTTTGGAGAGGATGTGGGCTTTGGTGGAGTATTCCGGTATTAAGAAAAGTCTCCCAAGCGTTGTTGCATATCTAAATATTTTTGTATTCAACAGTTGTTCTGTTAACCTGAGAGACAAATACGGAAAGGATCGAGTTTTTAATTCCCCTTTGTGTGAGCAGGGAATCGCAGGGTAATATAATATAATGAAATGTCTGTGGTATATTGTGGAATAAGAAATCAAAAGGTTATTTTTGTTTCAGTTTTGCTATCGGTGTGGCTAACGCTGGAGCAACTGCAATTGCTGAAATTCAATTTGCGGATTATATATTTCCAAGCTTTGACCAGATCGTGAATGAAGCCGCCAAATATAGATATCGAAGCGGCGGACTCTTCGACTGCGGCTCATTAACTTTTCGAGTTCCGTGTGGAGCTGTGGGTCATGGAGCGCTCTACCATTCCCAAAGCCCCGAAGCATACTTTGCTCACACGCCAGGCCTTCGCGTTGTGGTAATATAACAAACAAATGGACTTACAACAAGGATAACTAAAGATGCAAGTAAAATGTGCTTTAAAATAGGTTCCACGTGGACCCATTAAGGCGAAGGGTCTACTGCTGGCCTGCATTCGAGACCCAAATCCCTGCATAGTTTTTGAACCAAAAACATTGTATCGTGCCGCTGTTGAGGAAGTGCCCACCGAATATTACACCTCTGAGTTAGGTAAGGCCGATATTTTGAGGAAAGGAAAGGACGTCACACTTATTGGCTGGGGTACACAAGTCCATGTGCTCCTAGAAGTATGTTCCAAAAATATTTACCTAGTATTTTAGAATTCTTAGAATCATTTAATTCAACTTCGTTTCAGGTTGCAGAGCTGGCAAAAGAAAAGCATAATATTGATTGTGAAGTTATTGACTTGGTGTCAATTTTGCCTTGGGACACTGAAACCATATGCAACGTAAGCAAAAAACCATATAATCTTGAAACAATTGTATTATTATTGTTTATTTTAGTCTGCAAAGAAAACCGGTCGTGTTGTTATCGCACATGAGGCTCCGTTTACTCAAGGATTTGGATCTGAGATAGCTGCATACATTCAAGACAAGTGCTTTTTGAACCTAGAAGCGCCGGTAAAGAGAGTGACTGGCTGGGATACCCCATTCCCCCACGTCTTTGAGCCTTTCTATCTGCCAGACAAGCTACGGTGCCTGACGGCTATTAAGGACATTGTGAACTATTAGAGCTCCAGAAGCTTCAACAACATCTCACTCGAAACGGATGCATTTATTTACTTTTATAGTAATGTACATATGATGTGCAATAAAAACACATATTGATGCCCAACATGTGCTAAATAAAATATTTGGTGTTAAAATATATTTGAGCTGCCAAGCACTTTTAAAAGCTATTTATATATGTATAAGCTCGCTGTTGCTGCCAGAAAACGAGTAAGAAAGTCGCTCTAGAGAGCTCTGAAGAAGCGATCATGGGAAGAAATTTGTTTGAGCCAATCCGAGTTACAGCTTCCCCTCGTACCCTTGTCTAGCTACTGCAAAAATCATGACGAGTCGATGACACAGTGTTCCGTTATAACTCCCGCCAGTGTTCACTCCTCGCATACCCCGAATCTCAGGCTCAGGAGCCAGAGCGAGCGTGAGTTCCACAGTTGTGTGGAATGTTCCAAGATTATAATGTTGCAACGTGTAAAAGTTGGAGAGCCTGCCACTAAGAATAACAGTGATATAATTTATTAAATTAACATTGCGGGTGTCTATCACTTAAATTTGACAATAGTGTGCATATAACAAGAACTTACGGTTAAATATTTGGAATTAAAATCGTTAATATTGGAATATATGTATGTATGTCAGCATGAATGACTTCACTAAGATTAAAAAATTGCCTAAGAGCCAGCGTCTGCATCTTGATGTGCACGTATTGGGAAGGAATAAGATTCCTCGAAAACTCGTGTAAGGGATGAGATGTATCACTATTTATCCCGCTTTTGTTTACTACAAAAAAACGTTTTAAGACAAATTTCATTAATATCAGGTTATTTTAAGAATTTAATATTAAGAATGATTACAATAAACATTTTCCGTTTTTTGTGTGTGTGGCATGGTTTGGTTTTTGTCCAATCAAATGGAAAAAGAATTATTGTTACGATAAATAACTGTTCCATTACTTTCTAGACATGGCGATTCCAAGTCCCAAAATTCCGCCCAACACAAGTGCAGCTCCTCCAGCAACTGCCATCCCCTTTGCAACTTCCTTATCGCTCTGCTTTTTAATGTATTCCTGCGAAACAATATTAACAGATTAGATTTAAGTAATGGTTTCTTAATATGTTTACGTTTACCTCTAGAGAGCGCACTTGATCGTTCGATTCAATTTCCAGGAAGGCTTTGCAATACTTCAAACCTTCAGTATAATTTTTAATACGAGCATTTCCGAAGGCTAGGTAATAAATATAATCACGTCTTCCGTCAGGATGCGTACGTGCCAGGTCTTCCAGAAACATAAGTCCCTATATATATAGTGATAAATATGTAAATATTGAACTTGCCTATTGTACAATTAATTTCCTTCTATTGTGAGTCACCTTTCTTATGTCGTTTGTGTACCGACTGCGCACCAGACAAAAGGCATATCTAAAAGGTTTTAAAGGAAACGAAAAGTATACAGTAACGTTTAAGAGTGTTGCCAATGTATAGAACATTGGTTGGGTCAAATGTCAGGGCACTTACTCAAACTTTGTCTCTGAAGTTACCTCTCCGTCCAACTCGAGCTCATGATGATATTTTTTTTCAAACCTCTGTAAAAAGGAAAGGGCTCCTATAAACATTGTACAAAATGGTACATCAACGCACCTCTAAGTCCTCTTGTGGGACCACATCATTTAAAAGCTCGTCCATTGTTCCTCTTTGTTTTATTTTCTTTTATTTTCACGACGAATTAATAGTTATAATGGTTGAATGTGCCTGCGGACTTCTCAAACAGATATACTCTCTGACCCGTCGAAATATACCTTATATTTTTCAGAGTATACCATAGATATACCGATGAAAAAATATTGCGTTGTCAAAATTATATGCAGTGGTGCCACAAAAATCGCACGCGGAATAAGAATCAGCAAATAGCAATTCTGACTTCACAATTTATATTCACAATCCAAATTCGAACTAAAGCCCAGTGCTTAGAAAATAGATTATTTCTATATTCTGTCGACAAACACAAATACGTATACTCAAAAATGGCAGCTTCCAGATTCCAAAGAATCAGGATATACAACAATTCTAATCTTGTTAATGCAGATTATTTATTAATCCTCTACTATGTACTTATGGTATTAATTTATTAAGAGATAAAACACTTTTGTATTGCATATTTTTCCCGTCACATACTAGGCACCTAGCGAAATACTTGTCATTTTCTTTCGACAGAAAATTAGGCGCATCTGAGAGTTCAAGGAAGTATCAAAATCCAGGAACATGAAAATGAATCTCGTAAAATGAGCAGGTATATTGTTAAGGGTAATGGGGTATATTTATACGATAAATACGCGGTCACACTGGAACCATATTTTTTCTGTCGACTTGAAATCAAAACAGAAAAAACACTATTTTTAATAGATGCTTATTGAAATGCCGTTCTTGTATGCCGTTTTCTTCATATTTGCTTAACAGCTTACGGTTATGAAGCTGCAACAAAACATTAAGTGATAGCCTGGCCTAGTGAAACTTGAGCAGACCATTACACACACACACAAAACACACACACAGCCACACATGCAAATGGAGCAGCAGCAACACGTCTCAAAGTTGTTTGTCTGCACGGCGGTTGACTGTAAAGATGAAATCGAGGAGGTGAAATATTAGAAAGAAAATATAACATTTAAAATAAATAATAATCTTGTTCCCATTCTTGTTATTTAGAAATTTGAGCGGTCTTTCATTAATCTGCAGCAACAAATTGCAGGCCTTAGTGATAAGGAGATGCACGACATGCTGTCGCAGTTTGTTTGCAAAGACAAGCAGCATGACGAGATATCAATTGGCTTCCTTTATATAATGCTAACAGACCCTGGCATGGCTCCAAAAACATATCGGGACATAACTCTTGTCTCCAGGGACGGGATGAATGTGATTGTTTCAAACCTCACCTTACTTGTCGCCGAGAAGTATTCGAAGCTCACAGAGGTTGCCCGCAGACAGCTTATCTGGGTATTGCGAGAGTTTGTCAAACACCAGGTACTCAGTGTCGAAAATGTAATTTGGAACTGTTTACGACAAGCTGGCGGAGGAGATGCATCTCACAGGAACCTTTTTCTCGTGGAGAGTCTACTCGATATATTCATCGAGTACAGAGCTTGGCTGGAGGCCAATCCATTTCTCGTACAATCCACAGTTTACAGCTATGTGCGCCTCATAGAAGATCATGCAAATCCTGCCTTGATATCACTTCGTCAAAAGGAAGTTAAGTTTACGATTTCATTGATCCGGGAACGCTTTCATGATATCATTCCACTAGGAAGAGATTTTGTACGGTAGGTGCACTAATTTTATAAACAATAATTTTCGAATATTAACATTTGTTTCTATCTTGTTTTCCCAACAGTCTTTTGCAAAACGTAGCGCGCATTCCCGAGTTCGAGCAGCTATGGCGTGATATTCTTTACAGTCCGAAAAGCTTACATCCAACATTCAATGGGATTTGGCAATTGCTACAAATTCGGACAAGTCGAAGGTTTCTGCAATGCCGTCTGCTACCAGAGATGGAACGCAAATTACATTTTCTAGCATCGTCGGTGAAGTTTGGTAACCAAAAGCGCTACCAGGATTGGTTTCAGGACAAGTATTTTGCCACACCTGAGTCGCACAGCTTGCGCTCCGACCTCATCCGTTTTATCATTAATGTAATCCACCCGACTAACGATATGCTTTGTTCGGACATAATACCGCGATGGGCGATCATTGGCTGGCTCATCTCATCATGCACAAACCCAATTGCATCGGCCAATGCAAAGCTGTCATTGTTTTACGATTGGTTATTTTTCGATCCAGCCAAAGATAATATTATGAACATAGAGCCCGGCATTCTAGTGATGTACCACTCCATCAGAAATCATCCATTTGTCAGCAGTACGCTTTTAGATTTTCTGTGTCGCATAACAAAGAACTTTTATGTGAAACATGAGGATAAAATACGAATGGGCGTCTACAATTCCTTAAAACTCATCCTCGATAAACAGGTTTGATCTCAAGACAATATCTTTGCTGTTTAAATATTTATCAAATATTTTCTTTTTACAGGTAATACCAAACCTACAGCCACTGTTTGAATCGCCGAAACTTGACAGAGAGCTTCGCAATTTAATACGAGAAAACTTCAGGGAATTTGTGTCGTCCGCTGCAAACCTAACTCAGCCAGTTTATCCACCGCCACATCCTATACCGGGACAAATTGTCAAAAAAGACGCAGACCAACGTATGTTGCATGGGGGTCAGTGTTCGTATTCCAAAGCAATTATCCTTGCAAATCGTCTCATAATAAATCATTTTTGTTTCTACAGAGAATTTCGATATGGCTGGAACTGTGTTTGCCACTAACATTGGATCTGCCGTATCGCTGGTAGATGAGGACATCAAAATGGCTATCCCGCCGTCAGAGCGAGAAATTGAAGGCATTTTCAGCGAGCAAGACGTTGAGAGCTTGAGCAGGAATAATAAAAACGATGAAAATACCGATGACGACGACGACTTGCCACTTTCAAAAGTAAGATTGGGACAGATTACAAAAAAATGAATCGAACAATAATATAACTAATTTTCCTTTTCAGGTGAGACTTAAAGAAAAGCCAAAGGTTGAGCTAGCCGAAGCAATTGCCGAATCATTTGAATCTTTTATAACGAAACGAAACTCATTTACATGGGAATCATTTTTAAAAGATTTCCGCTCGTTACCAGCGTCTGCCTTCGATGAGTTTCAGCTCAGTTATGTGATCTCGAATACCGTTTTAATTCTTCGCGAAACCTTACCACAACAAAACATATTCTCGGAGAGTAAGACTGATGAGAAGTTATTGGCAAAGAGCATTAGCTATCCCATATATGGTTTGTTCCGTTTTCTATACGAAAACGATGACAAGAGCAAAAAACCATTTCAAACAATGCTCTCGGAGATATGCGAGCGCATACCTGAAACAGGATTTTTGCTACTCTACTTCATGAAGATTCACTGTAAGTTGCAAACTCGAAAAAATGCACAACTTTCATATCAGTTCAAGACGACCGTCTATCGACAAATATGCGATGCAACGGATGACAAGGTTGGCAATTGCCTGGTCAGAGACCTCGACCTGCTTGAGAAGGAAAATACAACCATTTACCTATGGCTCCTGCCTGACATCTATCGAGAGTTTAAGTCAATCGCAACGAATAACACTGAGCTCTTGCGAATTACACTTCGCTGCATAGATGCAAAAAACGTTCGCGACATAATATACTCGGTCGCGCAAGGAAAACTCACCATATTTAAACAAGATGGACTAATTGATTGTATTAGAGAGAGTCTAGATTATGAGACATACGAACAATTCTGTCTGTGGCAGCTCGTTCAAGCGCATGATGTACCCTTAAAGACTATACAGGTAAACAGTAGATACAAAAGCCTTTAGATCCAAAACTGATTTTATTTCTATTTTATTTTAGGACCTATTGCCCGAATTGGAAGCTGCTAATCATCCGGAAGCCCTGAGTCATTTTCTCTTACTTTTAAAAAATGAAGAGCCAACGAATGAAATAATTCGACTAATGCTTAGCAGGGAAGCCAAATCAAGGGGAGATCCCTTTGTAACTTCGGCGTTAAGGTAAAAGTATACAATTATAATTATAATAAATATGTAGAGATTTTCTTAATAGGTTTTGGTGTCAGCGGTACGAAGAAAAGCTGTCGGAAATCATTGCATCTTTGCTTACGTCAAAATATCCCAGCTCATCTCCTAACAAAAGAAAACGACCATCTAAAGGCAGTTCCGTTGCCAGCAGTACACCCTCCGCTGATCAAGTAGGTTTATTACATGGAATCAGAATTTATCAATTATTTGTTGCTTAAATTTAATAGGTATTAAACCATCTAGAGCATTATAGAAGAAGCTGCAGGCACGGCACAGGTACCGGGCTATATGTTCATGATATGATGCAGCGAGCATTACAATCGGCATATTCCCATAGTAATGAAAGCACAAAGGCAAGTTCTCCGTAAATAATTGATTACTGGTTCGTGTCTTTATAGTTTTTTATATATTTCTATAGAAACAATTTAGCGATCTATTCGCATTGGCAGCGGAAGACGAAGTCACTGCCGTTGGCCGTCGTGGAGGTAGCGGTCGGGGACGCAAGCAACCAGTTAGTAAAAAGGACGCAAATAACCACAACACGGGCAACAAAAAGAACTCGGAGATCATTAAAACTATATACTCATCGGATGAAAACTCGAGCGAGGTATGAAAAAATAGATACGGAAACCCTGTAACATTAACAAATCTTATAAATAAATAATAATTTTAGGAGGATTGGTCGAAACAGAAACCTACACAGGCTGCAAAGAAAAGGAAAAAAGTGAGCAATGAGTCTGACTGACAGTTTGATCGTCAAAGACTGGCTTCAGTGCAAATTGTATGCTTTGACGAAGTGAATTATATGAAAAACGAAAAAGAGTTTTTCAGCGACATTAGTTAAGTTGAAATGTGTTTATAAGATTTTATAATTAATATAAGTAAATAATTAGTAAAACAAATAATAGAATTTTTTGAATGTTAAAATTGTAACGTTATCCTTTTTTATTTTTAATAAAAAAATGCTTATAGATTTATTTAAAAAATTACGGATAGTAAAACACAAAGTATTTTGCCACTTGTGCGAACGAAATTAAAAGAAAATAACAATTACAACAACAATGAGCCAAACACTGCACTGCAGAGAGTATAAGAGTTGTAAAATATAAGGTCACAAGGTATACAAACCACTAAAAATGAGTATTTACAATGCGTCAAATTGATCCTTTAAACGGATTAAGCTATTTTTTCAGTGTTAAAAGTCTTTGCAAGCTGGTAAAATCAAATAGAACATCAAAATCGTGGAATGGCATTTAAGACTACGGTATATTTACTGTACATTTTGAAGATTCAATGGTATATTTTCGATGGTCTGGCGGTATGTCTTATCGATAACTCCGCGGTCACACTGGTAAAATTGTAAATATATATTTTTTTGGTAAAAATATGATTAAAAGAATGGAAATGCTACTATTTTATAATTTAATTTTTAGCATTTTCCCAGCCCCGATTCATACCATTTGAACTCCATGATCTCCAGCACATGAATGGCTCAAATGGTTCCGACACGTAAACGTATAGTGATAATTATTTGCATAGTCGTCATACTCGGCTGTTTGCTACGAATTTTACTTTTCAATTCACCTCTACCCCCGTTCACGGTAAGTACCATGTATATGTATGTTGTTTTTTTTTTAATTTACCTTGCCTCTGTTTAGGACCAAACAAATTATCAACGGGCCATTGGAGCGCCTGTGCTGGTCATGGTATTTTATGAGGCTCTATGTCCAGACTCAAAATACTTTATTACAAAGCAGCTACTCACAGCGTACGAGGTTGCTGCACCAATAATGGAGGTAATGCTTGTACCCTATGGCAAGGCGACAACAAGTGAAAGCGGTGGGAAATTAAGTTTTGATTGCCAACATGGCCCGACAGAATGTCAGGCAAATATTTATCACGCCTGTGCGGCTGAAGCAATTGAAGATCCACTAGTTCGGTTACAGGTTGTATCCTGTATGATTCGTGATAATCGTTTACCTCAAGAGGCAATGCGAAAGGTAATTATAATATGATGCTGCCAGAGGGGAAAAATTGCTAAACAATTCCCTTCGTGGATCCAATTTATAATTTTCAGTGCGTGAAAAAGTATAGTGAAAACATTGATCTCATACAAAAATGTTATGACAGCGACCATGGCTTGGAGCTTATGAAACATAATGGAGAAGCCACACATTCTCTTAGGCCACAAGTAACGTTCATTCCAACTATCACAATAGATGGTTCCCAGGGTAGACAAGCGTCAATTTTAAAAAACTTGCTCTCTGAAGTATGCAAGGCAGCCGGTGACACAGATCAAGCTAAGACAATTTGCAAAAACACTGTGTAGGGCCGTCCGCACACATTTCCAGCACACAAAGTAGCATATCTCTAAGCTGCTTAAGAGACTTCCAGGATTATCATTTTAATCAATATTTTATTATGTCAAATAGTCAAATTAAAAACTAAACAATTATGTAAATAAACAATTTCAATAAAAAGGACTGTACATACAAGAAAAACGATCAACATATTTTAACATCATGAGCTTATACTTGAATGGTCGACTTGAATATTTACATCATGGCTTTGTATGTACTCTTCCACATTTGGCTCGCAATTAACAACAACAACGAACCTTTTCATAAGGCAGCACTTTGCGTCGCACAGATTCAATGCAAATTCAATGGTAAACAAAGGATTGTTTGCATTTCCAAAATCTTTTTTCAAAATCTGTGCCTCCAAGTTACACATTCCATTGGTTAGGCATCCGGATTTTTTATTCACCTCCAGTGCACTGTTCAACGTTCTAATTGTCCATTTTTGTGGAGCTTCTTCTGTAAACTTAAGCTGTGGCGAGAGTCGAATATTGAAGTTTATCGTGCTCTTTTTTTTACCATGCAAAGGCAAAGGCCTGAGAATATGATGTTCGGCATTCTTTAGTGGAAGTTGCGGCGCATCCGTTTCACTAGTGCTATCAACTTTGCTAAAATCCACTACAAATGGTCGGGCTTTAAGGGTTAACAAATCAACTATTTGGATGGCGTGATTATTGGTATCTGAGACCAACAAATTCTTTCCTTCTGCGTCCAAGCATAGTCCAGCTGGCTCGTTGAAAATCAGAGGAGTGCCATCTTGAGTTTTGATAGCCAATGTCGAAACAACGTTCGTCTCGGTATCAATAACTTTAATTTTATGATTATATGTGTCAGCCACATACACCTTGTTGTCGGCATCATTATGTGCGACGCCGAGCGGGTGTTGAAGTTTCGCATTGGAAAGCTTGCCATCGACATCGCCGAACGCAAAAAGGTTCTGAAAAGTTTATTGTTAATTAAAGCAACATTTATGTTTTGTATACAACTTACCAGCGGGTTGCGATCTCCTCCAACTACTGGCATCACTTTTCCATCAATCATAGATGCCTTCCGTATGCTAGAACTTTCACTGTCAGCTATGAAGAGAAAGTCCTTGGACATGGCCAGACCAGAGGGCTGCGCAAATGCAGCGTTCTGTGGATATGAGTTGTTACGATTTTCTTCCAGGCCGTTGCCGATCAACGACACACAACAGAGTGGCTCGAACTTGCGAAATTTCCACCAAATAATACCCTCTGGAAAGTATCCCCAAATCTGATGAGTTCCGGCCATTGAGATAAGTATAATGGATTTTTCAGGCACATTACGCTCGTCAAGGTGAAAAGACATATCCATATCCCGAGTGCGAAATACAGCCACGTCCCAAGGCGAAGATAAAGACTGCAAAGGCCCTACACGACCACCAACTCGTTCGTTTCCTTGTTGTCCGGTACCAGCAAGGGTTTCTACCATTTCATTTTCTAAGGATATTTTTCGAAGTGCGTGATTTTCGGTGTCAGCAACAATTAGCGTGTTCTCATTCAGAAAGGCCACTCCCTGCGGACTATTAAAACGGGCTAAAGTCAAATTACCATCAACGAAACCAGCCTGAAGACCACCGATCCTGTGTTCTACGACACCATCGGGGGACATCACAAGCACACGATTGTTGCCAGCATCAGCTATTGCGTAGCGACCCGATGCACTTCGAGCAATTTTAGCAGGAAACCGCAAACTAGACGCCGGATGCAAATGACTTGATAGCTGAATAGGTACACTGCCGAAATTGATTTTCTCCTGTCGGCCAAAGAAAGCTAAAGCGGCACCAATAAACTCTTGCAGGAATATGCCATGTCCTTCGCCCATAAGTAACAACATCGGCAACCCAGTCGGACTCAACACCATTATTGATGGCCAGCAGCGTATGCCAAGAGCACGCCACAAGGCCGAACGGGAATCGTTTACAATGGGATGCGTGATACAATATCGATCTACAGCGGACAGTATGTTTGACGTAGTGCGTTCGTTCTCAAACTTCGGACTGTGTACACCGATAACCACAAGTCCGCTTTCAACGGGAAAGCGCTCTTCCAGACTATGCAGCTCTGGCAATACGTGCATGCAGTTTATGCAGCAATAGGTAAAGAAGTCTAGAACAACCACTTTTCCGCGCAGACCTTCCAGGGTCAAGGGTTCACTGACGTTAAACCAATCCAAATCTAAGGTAGCATTTAATAAAGATTTGTGTATTGTGAGGATCTCATTCAAACTTACCCGATTCAAACTCAATGTTTGTAGCCTTGAGCTTTGCAATGGAGTTGTCGTCATCCCATCGCTCAAGAAAGTCATTCAATACTTTTACCTTTTCTTTCTCGCCACTCGTGCTTCTGTATGTTTGCTGCAACTCGTCTGTTATATATGTAACAATGTCGATGGGCGGTAGATCGTCGGAGTTATCCATTTTAATTAATTTTTTGATTCTGGAGCAACAAATAATTGGATATTTATTAAACATAGATATTGATATAACAATATATCGATATGTACTTTTTCGACGATAAATAATTACATGGTATATTGATAAAAGGGCGAATCCTCTAAGAAATATGCAAGGTATGTTGTGTAGAATAGGAGGACATGTTTTCATTGATTTTGCTGTGTGACCTGTTGGTGTGTTCAATCAAATAAGAATAAACATAATTATTAAAACATTCTATGAAAGGGATGCACATTTTTCGGGGACAAGGCGCCCCAGTCGGTGAAAATCAAGTTTGCAAGCAAAACACCGTTGACTGAGCAGTGTAACCGTGAAGCATGCACACCTGGTCACACTCTGCATACAGCTAAATATATAGCACCGCGATAAATAGCTGAGTACTATGCGTTTTCTTGGGAAACGAAGTTCGTTCCGGTTCCATTAATTATCCAAGAATATTTTCTCCAACAAAAACCTCCTAAAAATATATTAGAAAAGGAAATATATATTGGCATAGCATATCGATATACTACACTCGAACCGTACTTTGTTTTGGAATTGTGTCGAGTCGGAAAAATTACGTAGTATGGAAAAAAGTAAACAGTGTTTTGATCAATTTCAAAAGCGGACTAAATGGACAGAGCAATATAAAATACAAAACTGGATTAGCAGTCTGGTTACGAATTTAAGGCTTTTAAATTTCGTTATCCAAAAAGCTATACCCCTGAAGTCGCGTGTGGGAAATGAAAAATCAATCGCACAAGCATGCATGCTGCCTAGTTCGCTAAAAATGAAAAGCACACATTTCGCGGTCCTAATAACTATACTCGTTTTTGCTAATGGTGCAAATGTGGGCCTATGTTCCATTTTAAATGGTGACAGTGCTTCTGTGAAAACACCCTACGAAACCCTAGAAAACATTAAAAGTATTGACTTAAGACGGATCTCGGTGTCGTCATCACAAAATCAAGCAAGGCAAGTTCTCGCAAAAGAATAGTGATAGCTACAATTTCTGTATGTGCATTCAATTCTACTTACATGTGTCTGTATGCATGCAAGCATACGAGTTTGCTCGTATCATAAAGTAAACATAATGAATAGCTCTGCTGGCTCTTGCTTCGATTTCACTTTCTGTTATAAGGCTTTTATGTATGTACATGCATACATATGTATATTTTCAGGTCTACATACATAGGCTCATAATTATATATCTAGAACGTATTTATCACAATTTTTCTGTGCTCTGCATTAATAACGTTATTGCTGACAAATTTACATTGTATGTGTGTAAATAATTACGGGACAGCGCGACGGAATGAGTGTCTGGGTCTGGGTCCATATACTATGTAGTGTTCTTTTCAATAAAACTACTTTTGAACAAAAACATTTTACTGATCGAACGCTACATAATGCTCTCATAAACCAAAAATAGCTATTTTTATACTAAGTATTCATCCGATTCGTCCAAGGTTTTGGTAATAATTTGTTAAATATACTGTACACTGCATATTTATGTATGTATGTACTTAAATATGTGGAAATATCATTTAGTGTGAAGAAGTTACTGTTAGCCATTTCAAAACACGTAAGGGCAGTCAGTATTCGTCTAATTATTATAACAATTACAAATACTTTTCAATATTATAATATTTCGTGTAAGCACATTCGAGAAAGATTCATTTTTATTTCAGTTATGGAAACACACATTCATCTACAGCTGTTTGAGTTTGTTGGAACAAACATCTTCCGAATATAAATCAAATTATGAATGAAAATAGTATTCCTCCCCAAGGACGATCGCTCTGCTACGGCAGCTATAAGGCAGTGGTCCGATTTAGGCTATTATTATATGAGATATGTGTGTTAACTTTAAAAATGGAAGCTAGTTTCAATGAAAACATAAAGACACTCGAGATTTAGGAATGCATGGTCATCTTGTGTCATCTTACAACACAATTGGTTTTACCAATTAAAAAAAACTTTCAAAATCTCTTAAATATTATTTAATAAATACTACATACAATTTAATTCATGTAAAGTACTTAAGTTCATTTTGCAATCAAAAGAGTCTCAAGGTCCCACTGTACAACACTTCGAGTATTTTTTTTTCTGATTTGGGACGTATCTTCATCCGAAAAAATCTGGATTGTGTCAGTGTTAGCCAACGGGCTAGCTGATTCATGATTGTGTTTGCACACCCATACTCTTTTTTCTTTCGAGGAGACAGAATATATGTATGAGTGTAAGTGTGTACGCACATACGCATGTTGGCTTATCGACGTTTGTATGTATGCAAGTACAACACATATATTTTAGCATGACAGGGCACAAGCAACACAAATGATTTGAATCAATGACGCAGAGTGTCTTGAAAGACACTAGAACGTGTAAGGATTCCGGCTCCCACATACTTTGCTTGGGGAGGATATCCATAGACAATACTGGTCAAAATGATTAGTACACGCCTATGAACTTTCTTCCATAACTCCTATAACTATTTTGGTAAACACAAACAAAAAATCCAATTCATTAATAGCTTTCTAATCTAAAGTAGATAATACAAATGTTTAACTCCAACATTTTGCACTTCATAGATTTGGTTGAGAAATAGCTTAAACGACGCCAAATTAATGCTCTTTTACGCAAACAAATAACGGATTCAGGATACAATTTTGTTTTGACTTTTGTTGATTTTTTTTTAAATCATCATTTTTGTCTTGGTTAAAACTTTTAGCAGCAGCATTTATCTTTTCAAACCGACAAAGTTCTTTACAAAAATATGTTCTTTACAACAACAAGTTTGGTTATCTGGAAACTATCTTTACATTGTTAGTTATGGGTTTGCTAGAATGCATTTTTTATAAAGAAATTTCATCAACTTGTATTTTTCCAAACCGGTATAAACTTATATTAATATTGCCAATGATAAGAAATATCTGATAGTGACGCTGAGAAAAGGTTTCTTTTTGTGACGCAGGTTTTGCCTCTCTTACTATTCTGTATCTGCACTAATTATCATTTTTTTTTAAATCAGTACTCGAATCTAACGCTGCCACAGCAAGGAATAAATACAGATTAAATAAATTATCAGAAAAAGTTAGCCACTTTGTGTTCACTAGTGTAGCAACGCACGTTTACCAATATCCCAGCAGATTGCCTCGCCAATCGTAAATGCTTTATATGTATGTAGAGAGTGAGAGAGGTAGGATAGATTGAGACCAAGATTTATTATACCCGGAAGGAACGTTTTTAACCCTATAAAGTACATACATACATATGTATATGTCCATATTCTTGATCAGCAACGTGACTTACAACGTTCATCCTCGTTTTTGTATTTATTTTTCCATTTCAATTATTTTAGCCTGCGAATTCGGAGGGAAACCGTAAACCAAATCCGGATTTACGGTATACGATTGGAAGACGGTTCAACAGAGACAAACGATGGCATACCTAGTGTATTGACTGCGAAAGACCAAATGTTCAGAATCTTTGGCCATGGCTTACAGAAAAATACTGTTATCACGTTCACCAATGAGGAGAATGATTACGGAGGTCCTTGCCTGAAGCCGGCCACTGACCTCTTCACTCCCCTAGAAGTTTCCAGCGATGGATTTTCTGCCACATACAAGGTCATTTTTCCAGCGGCCAGTAGCCTATATTACATATGTGCTAAAAATGCCGAAGATATAAAAGATGTGAGTTTAGGAGGCTGCGCTTTGAAGACTATCAGATTATAATTTGTAAATTTGCATTTACAGCACAGCACAGCTGTAACAACCACACCTCTTGAGCATCAGGGGAATTCCAAATGGCTAAGGATACAAACGCATGAACCATTCTTACCCATATGGGTGGCAATAACGATCATCGTAGTTTGTCTATGCTTCTCAGCCTTGTTCTCAGGGCTAAATTTGGGCTTGATGGCCATGGACCGCACCGAATTAAAGGTCTGTCATTCTGCTAAGCGCGATTTTGTACCCAAATTGTTTACCTATATTATATCTATTCTTCCTTGTTTGTATTTATTAGATACTGCGAAACACTGGCACGGAAAAAGAAAAAAAATATGCAGCAAAAATAGCCCCCGTCAGAGATCAAGGTAATTATCTGTTGTGCAGTATTCTCTTGGGTAATGTGTTGGTTAACTCAACCTTTACCATTCTACTGGATGGTTTAACTTCTGGACTTTTTGCTGTTATATTTTCCACACTGGCCATCGTACTCTTTGGTGAAATAACGCCTCAGGTAGGTCTTCAAATGAATAATATTATTTAACAATGAACAAGAAATGGCAGCGGTTAGCTGGGTTCGCCAGTTCCCATTTAACGATAGTTACATTATTGAATATAATTGGTATATCTGTGGTTGCATAAATGCGTGGTTATTCGATTAGATGAGATGATGAGGATGGGACTTAACTTGCTTAATTAACGTTAAATAGTGGCTTGGGGTACATAGATGATCGCCGCTTTGCTCTGTCCATAAGCAAAGGCAAATCTAAAAGATGCATACATTTTCTTTGTGATTTTAACTGAAAGTTTCATCAGGAATGTCGACAGAAGCGCGTCCTCTTTTGACATAAAACTTACAATTACTTTGTTTTTATTAAAAACATATTCCGTACCATAACGATTAATTTCAATTTCTAATTATTTATACGAATAACACAACATTTTACATTTTCTTTTTACAGGCTGTGTGCTCACGACATGGCTTGGCTATTGGAGCCAAAACCATATTAGTAACAAAAACAGTAATGGCCATAACAGCGCCCCTCTCGTACCCTATTTCTCGTATTCTCGATGCGCTGTTGGGTGAAGAAATTGGCAATGTTTACAATCGAGAACGATTAAAGGAGCTTGTTCGTGTAAGTACGGGGAAGAAACATGTTTACAAACAAATTGTACAAACAAATTTGATCATTGGCTGCTTAGGTCACCAACGATATCAACGATCTTGATAAAAATGAAGTGAATATCATATCGGGCGCACTGGAGCTACGCAAAAAGACAGTTGCAGACGTGATGACACACATTGATGATGCTTTTATGCTTTCATTGGAGGCTGTGCTTGATTTTGAAACTGTATCCGAAATCATGAACTCGGGCTATTCCCGCATTCCCGTCTTCGATGGAGATAGAAAAAATATTGTCACGTTGCTCTACATTAAGGATTTGGCATTTGTGGATACCGACGACAATACGCCACTGAAAACATTGTGCGAATTCTATCAGAATCCGGTTCATTTTGTATTTGAAGACTACACCTTGGATATTATGTTTAACCAATTCAAAGAGGGTACAATTGGTCATATCGCATTTGTGCACCGCGTTAACAATGAGGGCGATGGGGATCCCTTTTATGAGACCGTTGGCTTGGTTACACTCGAGGATGTAATTGAGGAACTTATCCAGGCGGAAATTGTCGATGAGACGGATGTCTTTGTTGATAACCGCACTAAAGTGAAAAGAAATCGTTATAAAAAAGCAGACTTTTCAGCATTTGCCGAACGCCGAGAGATTCAGGCCGTGCGGATATCTCCACAACTAACACTGGCCACCTTCCAGTACTTAAGCACAGGTAAGAAAAAACTGAGACTTATTGAGACTATGAAATGACTACAAAAATATTCCTTCTCCAGCTGTTGATGCGTTCAAAAAAGATGTCATCTCGGAACCAATACTCCGGAGATTGCTCAATCAGGACGTTTTCCACAATATCAAATCCAAAGGAAAAAGTAAAGACGATCCCAGTCTGTACATTTTCACACAAGGCAAAGCTGTCGACTTCTTTGTACTTATATTGGAAGGCCGTGTGGAGGTCACTATTGGAAAGGAAGCTCTCATGTTCGAGAGTGGCCCATTTACTTATTTTGGAACCCAAGCATTGGTCCAAAATGTAGTTGTCGGTATGTATTATAATATCAATAAAAATTCGATAAAAATGCTTAATAAATAAATAAAATTGTTCTCTTTAGATTCTCCAACGCAAATGGGATCTTTACAGTCGCTGAATATGGATTCGAAAATTCGACAATCCTTTGTGCCTGATTACTCTGTTCGCGCTATAACAGATGTGATATATATTGCAATTAAACGTGTGCTATATCTAACTGCGAAAAAGGCCACATTGTTGGATAAAAGTCGTAAATCGGGAACATTTTCAAGTGAGACATTCGACGATGAGGTGGAACGTCTGCTGCACTCGATAAGTGAAGATGAAAAGCCACGTTACTTAGCGGCTAACCAGAGCACCAGACGTTCGTCTAAGCCGAACCGAAGTTTAACTTCGTCCCCAACGAATATTGATTTATCACACGATGAAAAGAGCAATAGTCCCAGTGTGCACATTCAAGGTGATCAAAAGATTGGCAACACTGAACCCACGGAGGATGCCTCAATGAGTAGTTTAGTGGCCTCAGATGTAGGAGATCTTCAAAATGGTGAACAGGATGATAGAGATGCAACCGCTGCTTCCACGCCTCTTCTTTCAAAACCAGAAGAGCCGCCCAAACAATAAGGGGCTTACCAAATAAAAAAACAACATTTCAAGCACATTTTTTTGTATGAGCTTATTGCAGATAATCAAATTTCCCGTAACTATCCATCACATGTTTAATCCGTATTCGAAAGAAGCCTGCCTGTTTCCGTAAATATTGTTCTTATATATGATAATATTGTTTGTTCTGTTCTTTCTTTTTTTTATCCGAATTTAGTCAATCGTTTTGTAATGTAGAATTATGTTGTGTTTACGTTTGAAAAAGGTATTAATTAATTGGGACCTTTTTGCATACATTTGAGAAATCAATGGCTACATCCAACTGTAGTGCATTTGCCTAATAGTGATAAGCAAAAATAACAAATATTTATATACATAAAATGTACTATATGTATAATGTATTACCTCTTAAAAAATACGTACTTAAGATGTTAATTTGGCTCCGTTTCTTATCCTCACTTCCTTCCCACAATATTTCGAGGTAATTGTGTTTAAATTGATTTAATGCTCAAAACTGCATGTATGTATCTTTAAAAGCTTTAATAGCCTGCAAGTATAGTATCCTAAATCATGCCTATAATTAAATTATGTTACTGTCACTTCAATACTGTATTAAAAAAAGCAATCAAATCAGCGATTGTGGAAAAACAAAACCCCTTTTGTTGGCAATTATTTAAATTTAAATTTTCATAAACCACCTAAACATTAAAAGTAAAGCCACAAATCGATTTAACATACATAACACACGCATATACTGTAAAAATAGAAATCGCTAAGAACAAAATGAGAAAAAATAAACCCAAGAAATGCATTGATACTTCAGTTTATAATCGTATTCGTGTACAAAGATATTCCTTAAATATTACAACTGTGTCAGCCGTTCTCCATTTTGAAGGGTACTAAGAAATGTTTATGTCATAAATCCCCAATTTTTGCAGATAGATTTCCAGTCCATGTCATGAAGAAATATTTAGTTTGTTGTATATTTGGCTGTTTGTTGAATCCACGTGTTTAGGCGCAATATACTGAAATCTGAATACGATGATGTTACTCAGAATGTTATATGTATGTAACTGAGAACAATTTATTTGATTAATTATAATGAAATTAAAGAAAAATCAATTTTCAAACTGACTCGTTTTTTCTTGCCGTTAAATCAATTCAGATTTAATAACGATTTTTTAATTTTTGTGGCTAATAGAAAATGCTTATACTGACGCTGATGAAATATTAAGCTTTCAACGTCAAAATTGACATTAGACGGATGCACTTATTCATTGTATCCAAAGCTTTAAAAAATTGTCCGAATTTTACCTCTTTCCGGCTGAGCCCCCACTGTTCGAAAGCTCATCCTCCCAGGTGGCAGTCAGCCGTTTCACCTTCTCGCAAAATTCCGTTGATTTCAACTTTTTAAAAAGACACCCTGTATTGTTCCGTGGTCACTGGAATGTCGTTTGCAGCATTCTTAGCAGCAGCAGCGTTCGTAGCGGGAAGAGCAGCACAAAGCGTAACGTGCGTAAGGAACGGGATACTCCGATACTCCGCAATTAAACAGCTACGCACATACACACATATAAACATACATATGTAAGTACAGGTGCACTTCGTGCCGGCAAGGGCTGCCAGTGTATTTGCTTGCATGCAACGACACCTGATTGAGACAGTAGGAAAACAAAAGTAACGCACGAAAGGTGTTGTAGTTCGTGATGTGCACTGATATATGTAATACTTGTTGCTCATTCATGTGGCAGTCACCAAATGTGAAGCTAATAAGAAAATGTACAATTGATTTATTTTTTTATCTTCAGCCATCGAGTCTCCCTTCTTGTCACACTCACCTTATAAAGTGCTTAACTAAGAAGCTGCTTACTCAACCGTCAAACGGCTTAGCACTAAAAAAAACATCAAAATTCGAAGTAAAGGAAAATGAGCAATCCCGAGAGTTTGAATAATTCAAAGGCTGTCGATGAGGGTGATGCTAAGGCCATCGATCGTGAGAGGCCGGCTCACTGCATGGATGGAGATATCTATAAATGCCTGCTGAAACGACATGTACATAGATATCCTGATGATGGTAGCCATAAGATGTGGATGCTTCCCCAGCTAGTAGTACTATTTTCAACTGGAGATATAAACCAGGTGGCCAAAGCTATTGCGAAGGATATGATGCACCCGATTGGAATTGGTCTGGTGGCCAGCGTTCTTGTGGAAGAATCGATACGCGAGGAGGTGATACAAAGGATTAAGACTCTTTTAAAACCAATGGATGAGCGCCTGCACCAACATCCAAACTACTTGAGATCGCTTAAGCTCATACACCGCATGAACATAGAGACCATACACATAGAGGAGTACGAGGAAGGGAATACGGAAAAGCGTTTTGATCACATAAAGCCTGGCTCACCCGTGATAGTACTGGATTTCCCTCAACACTATATCGGCGATAAGCCAACAGCTGTCATAACTATGAGCACCTTTCGAAATTTCAATGAAATTGCCAAGCTGTACCATCGGGAAGGCTTGAGTTTCGATTCGGTTTCTGTGTGGACAGCCAAGCTGGCACAGTGCTTTGAGCTGGTGACTAGACTGCCGCTGCCACCGCACTGGACTTTTAATTGTATGAATGTTTCGGTGGATTTCTTGCTACAAAATCCGGAATCAAACGCCACGGTAGCCGTCACACAAAACATGCACTATGAGCTCCATGCAATTAATGGAAAATATAAAACAATTGTCTTTCCCCTTTACTCCAAAGCATTGGAAAAAAACTGAGAAACTGGCCTTGAGAAATCTATCGAGAAATAGATTTTAAACCATATTGAACAAGCTTTCTACTGAAATGTTGTTGCTTCTTTGGTTTATCTTGATTATTCTGACATTAGGCCAAGCAAGCTATGATCACTACCGTCTCCCTAAAGCTTTGCAGCCGCAGCATTACAATTTGCGTGTTTTAACACACTTGGAAAATGTAGCACGGCCATGTTTTTCCGGTGAAGTGGAAATCGAGCTGCGTGTATTGCAGCCCACAAAAAATATAACTTTGCATGCTGCTTCGCGCCTTCAACTGAACTCAAATCGCACAAACTTGTATTACTTGCATGAGGATGGCACTAAGTCGAAGATAGCTGTAAAAACTGTGGAACGCAACTCGAAATATGATTATTATATACTGATGCTGTGCAAAGTACTGGAACGGGGACACATTTATTTGCTGCACATGCAGTTCTTTGCCCATTTCGAGGCTGGTATGTCTGGTTATTATGCCAGCTCATACAAGGATCAGAACAGCAATAAAACAAGGTGGGAATTAGCTATAAGATTAACCAATCTACAGAACCTACTCCTGATAGATATTTATCGGTGACACAGTTTGAACCCGCTTATGCACGTGCCGCATTTCCCTGCTTCGATGAGCCGGCATTCAAGGCTACATTTAATATTACGCTAGGACATCCCAGGAAATACGTTGCTCTGAGTAATATGCCCATCACGAAGAAGTTTCCCATGTACGTTGTTAAATATGTTTTGCTCTTCAATCTCGATTACGATTACGATGACAGGTCTGGGCGCAGGAACTGGTTGTGGACAATATTTGAGCAAACGTTGCCCATGCCCTCGTATTTGGTTTGCTATAGCGTAAACGATTTTGCGAGTATCACATCGCGAAATGGCTTAAGTGTTGCGAAGTTTACCACCTGGGCACGAGCTTCGGCCATTGGGCAGTGCAAATATGCTGCGGAGATTGCTCCACGGCTATTGGCCTATTACGAACGAATGTTCGACATAGACTATCCTCTGCCCAAAGTAGACCAACTTGCAGTGCCGGACTTTAGTGCTGGAGCAATGGAAAATTGGGGCCTCATCACCTACCGCGAGGCGGCGTTGTTTTATGCTCCAGAAGCCTCCTCTGAGGTGGACAAGCAGCGTGTGGCGAATATCATTGCCCATGAGCTAGCCCATCAATGGTTCGGGAATCTGGTCACAATGAAGTGGTGGAATGATCTATGGCTCAATGAGGGCTTCGCTACCTATGTAGCCACTTTGGGCATGCAAAAGCTGTGCAGCAAGTGGCACGCTTATGCAGAGGAGTCGCTGGATAACATTTTGGTAGTACTTAACTCCGATGCGTACTACAGCACACGTGCCATTTCCCAGTCGGTGAGCCGTGCTAGTCAGTTTGCGGAGCAGTTTGATCCCATTACCTATCGCAAGGGTGCGGTCATCATTCGTATGATGCACATGTTTATCGGCGACACAACCTTCCGGCATGGACTGAATTGCTATCTGAAGCGGCACGCTTACAGCAACGCAGATCAAAATGATCTTTGGCGTTCACTTTCGGATGCTGCACATGAATTTGGTAGTTTGCCCGAGAATCTGGAGGTACGAACGATCATGGACACTTGGACGCTGCAAGCTGGCTACCCACTGATCACAGTACAACGCGACTATGTGAGGAACATAATCTCTATCAATCAGAGAAGGTTTCTCATGCAAGGCATGGACAGAAACAATTTAATTTCCAAGGAATGTTGGTTTGTCCCAATAAGCTATACTTTTGGGAGCATGGCCAATTTTACAGCCACGGAACCACAAGTTTGGTTGCAATGCGATAGCCAAGGTAAAAATATGCCTCTCGAGATTAGATCGCCGCTCTGTGCTGAAGAGAATCAATGGCTTATCCTTAACCTTCAACTAACTGCACCTTTCCGGGTCAACTATGACACCAGCAACTGGAAACTCATAATTAAAACATTGCAGGGTGCAGATTTCCGGCGTATTCATACCATGAACCGTGCCCAGCTCATTATTGATGCTTTGGCTTTGTCTTGGAACGGTCATTTATGTTACAAAGTTTCCTTAGATCTGATAAAGTATATCAAGCAGGAGCATGCTTATATGCCTTGGCACGCGGCCTTGGATCACTTGTCGGCCATCTACCGGATAATTAAACAAACCTCAGACTTTGCGCTGTTTCAGGTATGAATTCTTTTGGTATTCAGTATGCATAGTGTGACCATGTTGTTTAGATTTGACGAGCATAGAACAACTTTTTAACAGTTCTAGTCAAATTATTGGTTAACGTTTTTGGCTAGTTTTAGTTTTTGTAAGTTTTTGCATCTTTTACTTGTTATTATTTTAATATTCAAAGTTTGTTATTAGTTAGGCGTAGGACAGTTAAGTTAAATCATTTAATTTGCAGCAGCCTTAGCCACAGCGATTTATGAATGATTTGCTGAGACCGATTTACGTTTATCTTGGTGGAATGGAAACAGAGTCAAATGCTCGTCATATTGCCCACAAGACATTGATCAATCAGTGGGCATGTCGGTTAGCTCTTTCAGACTGCGTTCAACGTGCTGTGCAGTATTACCAACGCTGGCTTATTTCAAGCGATCCAGATCTGGTCAATCCCGTGCCTCAAAACCTTCGATCGGTGGTCTATTGCGCAGCTCTGCGCCAAGGCGATGAGGATGATTGGAACTTTTTATGGCATCGATATGGGAACGCCACGGTGGCCAGTGAGCGACGATTGATACTTCAGGCGCTTGGATGCACCCAGATAGTGTGTGTAGCTCGTCGATATCTTCATATGATTTTCGATGAGAATTCGTCGATACGCAAACAGGACATTTCTTTAGCATTCGGAGCCATTGTACGAAGTGACATTGGATACACCTTGGCCAAAGATTATTTCATTAATAATTTTTCTTTGCTGACGAAATCGTAAGAGACTAATACAGTTTTAATCATTTAAATCTTCACAATCGTTTGGCAGTTTCGAATTGAATTACCGCGACCTAGCTGCGTTGCTCCTGCAAACAACTCAGCACATAAGTAGTCCTCAGGACTTCGGGGAATTAAAAATGTTCATCGACAGTCACAAAAAATTCCAGATGCTAAACACGCGCAGCGTACGGCGAGCTATTGATGTCGCCCAGGTAAACCTCCTCTGGCGACAGAAACAACTGCCAGAGCTCACACGGGTTCTTAAGGCCCGCTCTATTTATTATAAATAAATGCAAGTTTTTGGTTCCAAATAATGTTTTTTAGAGCTTACATACATGTAAATTAAATAAATGTTTCCAGGGTTTTCTCATTATCTAAGCACCTACTGATGTACCTCTGGGGCTCCCCGCAGTACGTTCGCCGACGGTTCCTTCACCTTCCTTTTTGGGTATTCCTCAAACTGGAATACCTCTGGATCGTTAGCTGTTCCACACGGAGTATGATACTAATCCACAACCATTTTTCCGCTTCGAACCATAGGTGGCGTGTAGGTGCATTAATTAGGCGTCGTTTTTTTTTTTAACTACTTCGGCAGTTTGACCAGCAACGTTCCAAACGGTACTTATCCTTGAAATATTTTTTAAGAGGATAGGCAAAACATGTAAAGACATGATAGCAATAAATTTTATTTCTTGAAATATACGTACGTATATTGTTTATGTAACAAAAGTGTAGTTGACGTGAAGTTAAAATCGAATAACAAATTTTTTTTTTTAGTTTAACCGCTTGTTATAAACCAGATACATTCCTTTGAACAAGCTGATTAAAAAAAAATAAAATAAAATGTTTTCTTTGCTGTGAGCGCTATATAAAATGTTAAATATTGCAATATTAAAGGGAATATCAAGAACATGATTTTCATTGGTATATTCACGGTATATTTGATGTGATGGTATATTTTGGTATATTCCCGAGGGTCAGACGTGCATTTTATAAATGAATCAACGGCCACACTGATGGCGTGGTGCGCGTGAAATCGACGGACGGGTATTTCGTTTTTCGCGTTTTGTTTTTGTATATATTTTGAACAAATATAAGTATAGAATTGTGTACATAGTGTAATATTTTTGTAAATATACGTTTCTACGCAAAATCGAAAACAAATTGCCACCATTAATTAGCAACACTGAGCCGAATGACTGTTGTGTCATGTAACAGCCGACACCAATAACAACAAAAAACGCCAAAACCAACCAACCCAATTCAATTCAAAATAAAGGAATAAAAAACGTGCGTCTCGTCAGTTTATGTTTGTATGTACATGTGTGTATGTTCGGGTGTTGACAACCCTCTCCAAGGCGAATTTACATTAGCTAAACAGTTCAATTTAAGGTGAGTGGGCAATGAGCCACCTTTTTTCTCAGCAGGCACACTAAAAAGAACATCTCAAGGCACATACACTATATAGATATGTATGTGCGTGTGTGTATATATATAAATATGTAGGTATCAATTAATACCTTGGAACAGCTGACGCATACTCATACACAGAAACAGCAACAAAAACAGAAATGGAAAACCATTACCTTGCCCCAGAACATCCCAGCCACCCTTCCATACCCCCATTCCCATCGTTCATTCGACTTGTTTGGCGGCAAGTGAGTCGCAGCCTCAAGGGCGTTGAACCACAATAACAACAGGGCAATCGTGGAACAACGCGTTTTTGCCTTTGCTTTTTCGCGTTTGGCCGTTCTAGTGGCAAGACGAGTTCCTTTTCGTTCCGTGAAGCAACGGAAAGCCCTTCCTGCCACTCGGGGACACCCAGTAAATCGTGTTTGTTGCTGGTACTTGCAGTCCAGGCCCCGATACGCCCTTTCCGAACGTTAGTCGGGCGAGCTGTGCTCCATTGTTGGTGTGGTGTGGTGTGGTGTGGTGTGCTGTTGCTCTGCGGCTGTGCGAAGGCAGTTTTGTTTGTGCTTTATGCGGTGTGCTGCTATCGCAGTACAAAAATTACTTGTTTGCGCTCTTTATTTTTATTTTGCTTTCCACTCTAAACTGAATGCCAATGTGGGTCAATGTTGCTCACATGTCCATGTCCGTTTATTGTTTTTGGTACATTGAGTTGAACTGTACTTCGATGGGGGGGAATTAATAGCCGCCTGATTTGTCACCAGTTTATTATCACGTAGCCAGACGCCTGCCTACCTGCCCGCTGTGTGTGGGTAATGCTGATTATCACTGAGCCGTGAATTGCAGTCGAACAATAAATTAACTTTCCTTTTCGGCCATCTGTGCCAAATGTTTCAATTCTCTTGCAACCGGACACGCAAATCAAGCTCAGTTTGGATGCTTTATCTCAATTTCTAGTGTAAATAAGTATATGTATATAGTATACATACTATAGTGCTCTTGATCGTGAGAGACGGGGGCCAATGCACTCGCCACATATGAAGTGGATATTCCTTGCTTTGTCAAAGCTTCGCAAATGCTTTCGATAACAAACAGCTGCTTGGGGCCACAAAGGCGCATTTTGCTCCCTTTGTGTGAGTAGTGACAAATCGGACAAAAGGTTATGCCGAATCATCGCGTCGTCATCATGTCTGGGAGACTTTGTCTGTGACGCGTGGGTCGCTACCTGCACTGGCTTAAGAAATGCTTCGTAGGTTCCAAAATACTTCTGACCTGTCTCAACAAAATCGTTTTGGGTGCTCTCTAAACGATATTAAATGAGATTTTCCTAAGAACTAGATTGAGACGGGTAATTCCCGTAGGGGCTGCACCGCCTATCCGACTAGCGTGATCCGAACTATCGTCAAACTCAATCAGGACGGACGTTGAATCTTATCTTTCGCACTGTTTGTGTTTCTGCGGGTGTTATTGTTTCTGTTCTGAGAAGAAAAGCTGTTTACACCGCATAAGGAAATCGCAAAAGAATCTTGCATGTGGCGCAGGAATCCGGACTTTGAAGCTATTATCAGCCGTTGGCAACAGATATTGGACACAACGGGTGAGGCGGGACAGTTCGTGCCGCGGCGTTTATTTTGCTTATAATTTTGTTTCGAAAATTAGAAAAGGGCATAACTGGAACACGTGTACAGGTGCAAAATGGGAGCGCATAAACTATGCATTGCCATTCAAATTGAATGCAATCGATTCCTCCCAGATGGTGCGCCTCTCACGTTTGCAATTGATAAAAAAACGTTGAGGAACGTTGTTTGACGCTACGTATGCGTCACTCAGTCAGTAAATATATAAAAAAAAATATATATATATATTCGTATCCAGATATTGGAGCGGCTTTGGGCCAATACGCAATGCAAAACGACGCACAGATTTCTTGCTAATAATACGCAAAATTCTGTCATTCGAAAACTTGTTTATTGTTTGTGTGTGTTTCCTTTCGTCTGGCGCACAATCAACAATATAGGAAGATGGATCCGCTAAAAAGAAACCCCTTCCCTTTCCTTCAATAACCGCAATTGGAGAGCGTTCCAGCGATACAAGAATCAAATTCTAGAAACTAGACCTCGCGCTCACTTAACTGGAAACTCGCGTAATTGCTTCCAGCGCGTTTCAATTAGAGGAGAGTCAATTGAATTTGAAACTGTTACAGTGCCAACGAAAATTTATTTTCATTTACTTTCTGCGTAGGCAGATCAGGAAATGGCCTTCAATGCGACGGGGCAAACAACCCTCTGCGGCTGTTGTCTACGAGCATGTATTGGCCCGCTACAAAGTAGAATGATTATGAATTATGAGTAGAGGATGTACATACGTACATCATCTCTATTTCCTATACATTCAAAAAGTCCAGACTTGTTGAGAATCACACCTGGAAGCTGTATATCGACCTTTACACTTCGCCGTGTCCCCGTCTACTGGATCGCAATGCTATAACCTTGCAATAACCGAAAAACAATTTAATACACGATCTACGCATGTTCTTAAGCTTCCTTCATCTGTTCTTTCTCTTCTTACATTACAGACCATGCATAAGGAAAAAGTTATAAGCACACAAAACTCAAACAACAAAGATCATAAGTTAAATGGAGCCAAAAATGAAAATAGTAATAAAAAAGGTCAGTAAACTACACAAACAAAAAACAAAATCAATCACAGGGCAGCCATCAATCATTAACAAACTTAAGGCTTAAAACTTTAAGGCTATAAGCACACATTTCATAATAAGTGTAATGATTGCTTGTAGGGACTGCTAAGTCTGTCATATGTTGATCTGAATTCGATTTATTATTGATTTTGATCGATTACAGCCATCGATCATTATCTGTAAAGCCAGCAGAGATTTCAAAATATGTATTCCTGGTCGACGTCGTCAGAATAAGGCCTATGTACAAAAAGTACTAGAAGAAGAAAGTATAACTAATGGTTTTTATGGAGCACATGCTTTCAATCTGTCCAATCGATCGATTCTGCAAGCAAAAAAAAGGGGAAGACCGACCTTCCAAATTATGAGCAATCATCGTACCTTGATTTATGGTGGCTTTAGCATTGTCGAGGACAGATAACGAACGCCAAGAAAGGGCAGCAAGTTAGCGTAGTTGGAGGCCATATACGAAATCAATTTAGTTTTTACTTTCAAAGATAATCGATAGTCGGAGAATGATTAAAGAGACACGTATGGAACGCACTGATTTTGTTTTATTAACTTTTTATGAACTATCTCTTTGATTGCCCACACAGTTAGCTTACTCAACAAAAAGGATGACAGCGAGGAGTACGATCTGGTGCCGCCCGACGGTGGCTGGGGTTGGCTAGTACTGTTTGGTTCCTGCCTGACCAACATACTCATTCCTGGCACAATCAAGAGTTTCGGTGTGCTCTTCGTTGAGTTCGTAGAGGAGTTCAATGCGACGACGACAAAGGCCTCATGGATCCCAGCAATATGTTACTTTCTCTACAGTTCGTTGGGTGAGTCTTCAAGGCAAGTGACTTGCCTGTAAGGGTTTCAATTTTGACTGTCTGATTGTTCTTTCCAGGTCCCGTATCGAGTATTCTGTCTGTGAAGTATTCATATCGGACGGTGACCTTGCTGGGCGGCGCCTCAGCGTCGCTGGGCATGATACTCTCTTTCTGGGCATCGTCAGTGGAGTATTTGTACATCAGGTGAGTCAACCAAAATCCATTCGACTTTCAAATTTTGATGTATGTCTTTGTCTTTTCAGCTATGGCGTTCTGGTGGGCATTGGCGCTGGACTATCCTTTCCGCCCACAGTGTACATTGTCACGTCTTACTTTGTAAAACTGCGCGGACTGGCCAATGGTCTGTGCATTTCGGGCAGTGCATTGGGCAGCATTATTCTGCCGCCACTGCTGCGCTGGCTGCTGGAGACTTACGGCTACCATGGGTCCTGCTTGATAATGGGCGGCATCACGCTGAACGTTTTTGTGGCTGCTCTGTTCTATGAGCCAGTGGAACAGCACATGGTGCGAGTGCCGCGTGCCCGCCAGGCATTGGACGACATACCCGAGGAGGAAGACATTGGAATAGTAATGAAGTTCGAGAATGTCGATGAAACGGCAGCCAATCACGAGCAGAGTGATAAGCAGCTGTTGCCGTACAATTCGCCACCATCGCCGCTGTATTTGCCGGACGATGACAAGCAGCAGTTCGTGAGAAGTGCCTCGGAGGCCGTTGTCCAGAGCTACGCAAAGCCCGGCGATGAGTTCCAGCCACGCACGAGGAAGATCAGTACGCCGGTGAGGTTGCCTCAAAGGAATCAAACATTCACGCCCGGCCAACTGAATTCCCAGTCATCGCTGTACGCCGTGCCCGAGGGTCGCTCCAGTTCAAAGCTCACCCTAAGGAATATGTCGAGGTCTCGACTGTCAAAGCGTTCGCCTTCGACCAGCAGCTTCTTGTACATCAGTACACCGTATCACGGCAGCACGTTGTCCTTTCAGCCAAAGGAATTCTCATCGCATTTGTCGCTGCGCTCGGTGGGCAGCAGCGGATCATCAGGCGCCGTAACTGGCCAAGACGGAGCCCAGGCCACAGACAACACAAAGGGCAAGACGGAGTCCTCCCAGAGGTCCAAGTTCTTCGACCTCAGCCTGCTCAAAGATCCCATGTACTTGGTCATATTAATCTCCAACTCGACGAATGCCATCAGCTACACAAATTTCATCATTTTGCTGCCCAGTTTTGGCGCTGCCAGGGGCTTCAATAAATCGCTGGCCGCCTACCTGCTCTCTGTTGTATCGGCAACGGATTTGATTGGCCGCATTGGCGGCTCAGCACTTTCGGACATGGGTTTCATACCCAAGACGTGGTACTTTGTGGGAGGCTTATCCATATCGGGCCTTTCCCTCACGCTACTGCCATTTGCCTACTCCTACAGCTCGGTGTGCTTTTGGTGCGCTCTCTTTGGCCTCGCCTCCGGGATCTATGTGGGAATCACTGCAGTCATAATGGCAGACATGCTGGGCACAGAACGCATCACATCGTCCTATGGCATCAGTCTCTTTGTGAACGGCATCCTGCAGTTGGTGGGACCACCCCTGTGCACCCACTGGTCCGAGGCCGTTAACGATTTCAATCCGCTCTTCCACGCCCTGGGACTAACGCTGCTTGCTGGAGCCAGCCTGTGGAGTTTCATGCCATGGATAGAGCGACGCAAGGCCAAAGCTGAGGAGAAACTCGAGGCACAAATCAACGAGGAAGCTGTCGACGGCTACTGAACGTGGGGAAATGTACAATTACAATTAGTTGTTTAAGCTTTAAAGAGCGTACAAAACAGTGATGGAGGAGGAGGATAAGTTTAGCCAATCAGGAATGTCAGGATCAGGATCTGAATCAGGATCAGTAGTAGTTGAAGGAAGAGCATTGAACATACATTGGACAACTGTTAATTTTGGTTCTTCCAGCATCTTTTTGTCTAACTGATAAGCCTTAACTTAATATTGTATAACTATTACAATTATTGTTTACTTAATACCAATATAATTATAGTCTAGGCAGTATATAAACCCCGATGGAATGGAGGAGAAAGCTAAAGTTTTGTAACTATTTTTTCTATAAATATGCCAAACAAAAGAAACACAACAAAAAAATGAGCAAAAAATATAATTGAACAAAAGGTAAAAATACATATCTAAATATCTATTCGAATTTTCCAGATTAAAAGGGTAAAATTGAATTCTTAAACATATCTGCGGCATGCAGAAGGAAACCATAAGTACAGGTTATCTTCAAAGAATCCCCTGGAACACCTTTTTAGGAGCTTTAAATGGACAACTATTTGGATTTCTTTCTTTCGAATTTATTTATTCTGCGAATAAAGATCACATTGCATGCAGGGATAAAATATATATGATGATATTGTGGATATAAATATATAATTTTCGTATGGCACTAGGTGCTCTTAGGTTTTGACTTCAGGAATCCCTTTGAGCGCAGAAAGCGAACAATAAATGGTGTGGAGCCCAACGTAATGCTTATTCTGGCAGGTGCAAAGACTTTGTGAACGGCATAGGCCACCACAAAGGTGCTGCCAGTGGCAACCTTCTCCGCAATTGCTACTGATGTGATGCCAAGGAATTCCAGAACGGGCACCAAATTTATGCCACTGAAAGAAAAGGAAAAACCAAGTTAATTGGTGCGTTTTTGGCGAGCGCCTTTGAGAACAAATTATAGGCATGCAAATGCAAATGCAGATGATTGCGAATTGCGGTGCGTGTTTCCCTAGTCTTACCTGGACACCAGTAAATAGAAGCCTCCGAGGGAAATCAACGAGATGCCTACATGAAATGCTATTATGGTGGTGCCATACTCCTTAAATGCCTGCTTGAGTTTATCCTTTTTACTCAGTTTAGCTTCCGTGGGGGCGGCATCTATGGCTGCTGGTCTCGCCGGGGACTCGGAAGTGGGTGGCGCAGAATGTGTGCTATAACTGCGGCGTCCTACAGAATATGAGCAGCGCATGCGAGTGATATTGTGTTGGATGATCATGATCAAATATATACAACTAGTTAGTTTGTAATGCAGTTAGTAAATCTTAAAATGTAACAACTTATGCTCACCTGTGGTAGCGCCAAAATGTACATTCTGATCGTAGGTGCCCCAATCAGCACGTGCGCTGTCGCGTAGAGCGCTGTAATGGGAGCTGTGAAGGTTCTGCGATGTAAACTTATATTCCTGCGACCATTGACCACCAGGCATGTTGAGATGCGAGAACTTGTGCATGCCACCAAAGGGTGTGGGAACATTACTCTGCATCACCGAATTGAGGCTGATGGAGCCGAAGCAGTCATACGACTGAACATGGGGATCCTGTTGCGTGGAACCGGCCAGGTTGCCGCTATAGCTGTTGTCCGTTGTAATGTCAATGGTCGAGATCGGTGCCTGTGCCATCATTACTGTGGACGAGATGTCCCGGGAGCGCTGTGGTGAGAAGCGAGTTGTCTCAGCGGCATCCACGTTGATCGGGAGAGGAAGTGCAGCAGCGGCGGCATAATTTTGTAGTATAGAGCTCGTATGGAAGGGTTGAACGGCTACATAAGCAGAAGGTATCGTTAATGCTCGAAAGTATTATATATTACTATATATCTTAGAAGTACTGCGCAGTTTGGCGGACCAGGGTACAAAGTTCAAATCAAATTCATCCGAAGCATGCATACATTATACATACTATGTATGTACCTCATACTTTGTATGTGAGTTAAATTCAATCTATAGCATCTGTGGGGGTTTAATTTTATTGACCGTACCAATAGACCGTACGTGTATGCATGATTGTGTGTGCGTAATGATTTTAAACTTTGTGACCTCTGGAAAACAGTCAAGTGCTTGTCCACACACACCTGTGTATCTCTTTAGATTGTGCATGCCGCTGCCAGTAAAGCGAGCTGCACACACCAAATAAGCTTTTCCACTATTAATAAACATTTGGAGCTGTGGTGTTAATGTATAAACGAAATTTGTCAAACTGGGCACCTAGGAAAACAAACGTAAACAACGGCAGACAGTGTGACCGCGGAACTATCGATAAAATATACTTATTTTTGTTGGTATTTAATCGCTACAGCGAAATTGATCAGGTACTGCAGCTTATATGTTGGGGGAATATTCGAAAAAAAAAAATATTTTACTGAACATTTTGAATGAAACTATATGTTTGCCGAACGGACAGCAAAAATGACCCACAATTTTCCAATGCGGTCAGTACAGGCATTAAAATGATTGCTGATCGTACTGCTTTTGACGACAAAGATGCAGCAAAAGCTACATAATTTTTAAAAAGAATGAACGATGCTTTCTCCCAACTGCACGACACCTATTTCCGGCTAAATGAATTATTGAATTACTTAAGAATAGTTGAACGATGTCCAAGTAATATAACGGAAACTTGCAAAATAATCAATCAAGTCACTATAATTCTTTTAGAAATAGAAGATATCTCATACATTAATACCAGGGGATTTATTTCGGTAATTTAAAGCGCAAAATTGCGTGACAGTACGCGAGCGCAACAGCAACCCGAACCCAAAGTTGTTGAAGCAGCTTTCGATTCATAACCCAGAAATGGATTTGTCAATTAAGAATGTCCAATGATAAATGGTGAAACCATTTCAATATTTCACATAAACAGCATGGTTTATTTGAAAATATGCCCAGAAAATAAAACGCATAATAAATGATGGCTTTTATCATTAGATAATGCCCTCAAAATGCTAACATACCATGCCTGCAGAAATGTAGATGTCCGATTTACCAGATTTTTCTATGTTGAAAAGGCAAAGGCTTCTTCCTCTGATGAAGGAGGACACAGTCCTTCGACACAGTCACAATTTCAATGAATTAATTAAAAAATTTTCAGATTATAGATACCGAGAATGTGTCCAGATCGGTGTCAGTGTAAGACAAAGTCATTGTTAATTTTTAAAGCAGTTGACTAAATGGGTTTATAATGTTAAGTATAGCAAGATATTTTTTTGGTTGACCTTTTTACTTTTAGCCTTATTATGCAATCAATTGAGAACAAATTGATCAGAAAATTAGCAAATCCTGCGGGGAATTGAATGATGATTTGAGTAAAATTACATTTTTAAAGCTGAGAGTTCTAACCAGCTGGTAATATTCAATGGAACATCAAAATCGAGGAAAATGATTTTAGATTCACGGTATATAAATTATATTTCGGTATATTTTCGAGGCCCTCACGGTATATTTAATCGATATTTCCGCGGTCACACTGCAACCCTGTCATATGTCATGAAAATGCGAATTTATTTACAAATTTAGCGATACGCGACGTGAAATAATAAACTAATTGAATCAATTATTAGTAATCACCCCCGTCGTTGCATTAAACCATGTAAACTGGTGTAGTGTGGTAGTTCACGAGTGTGTCGACTCTTCTTTTCCAGAGAAGTCTTGCAATGCTAATATACAAAATAAAAAGTGCAAACATTGCCGCGACGGTTGGTTTGGGGTCGTGGTCAAGATATGTTTTGGAGATGGCGACGTTGTGACCAAACCAATAATCTCGCAGCGAATTAGCGATTCTAATTTTAGAGTGTACAGCAACAATAAGAACAATTACCAAAACACATACTATAAGGGAGGCAATCAACAACAACTAAACGTTCAGCTGCAGCAGCTGTCTGCATGTGTGAGTGTCTAGCGCGTCCGTGTGTGTGTAGAAAGTGTGCACGTCAGGCGTTGGCTAGCCATGTCCAGAATTACATTGACCACGTTAACACACGCAGGCGGTATCAACAACAGCATCAGCGATAACAGCAACAACGATACCCGCACAGGCACTCTGACCCATCTTATGGAAGAGCACCAGTCGAGGGCAGGAGCAGGAGCCGGAGCCACAACGCCTGCGGGCGGACTGATATCGGATAATGCGGAACGACTGCGACGCCAGGGCAGTCGATTGCAAACCTCCCGCTTTGCCTGCCTACGATGTTGCGGCAACTTTCTCACCTATCTGGTGCGCTTGCGCAGCACGCCCGAAGAGCTCGAACAGCGCTACAAATCCAAAGAGATTGATAAGTTTTTGGAGAAGGAGAAACATACGTTTCGGCGCCAGGTAAGCTTCACTTGTACTTGATGGACCGGGAACATGCCTCTACTGTTTGGTATTTTAATTAGCACTCTGGCAGCAGTAAAAAAAAAAACAAATACAAATTCGTCAACCAAGTTTTCACTTTTCGTTGTTGCGCGTATATTGCGGGGATTGGCCCTGCGTTTTTTTGTTCTTGCATCACTTGATCCAGTCATCAACAAAGTTAAACTCACACAAAAGCCATTCAATTAGCTCAATCGTCTGCTTGCTTTTGTTGTTGTCGGGACTTAAATTATTTCCATTGTCGCCAGTAGTAATAAGTAATATTATTCCAGGTGAAGCTGCTGCTATTGGGTGCTGGGGAATCGGGCAAGTCCACGTTCCTCAAGCAAATGCGAATCATACACGGCGTCAATTTTGATTCCGAACTGCTGCGCGAATACCAATATGTGATATACCAAAACGTTATAAGAGGTAAATATGTAAATAAAATATAAATAAATATAAATAAATATATTTTTAAAGGAATGCAAGTACTGCTGGACGCTCGGGAAAAACTAGACATCTCGTGGGGTAACGATGGCCGCGAACAGGATGCCAATTATGCCAAATTAATGGAATGCAATGCAATAGAGGCACACAGATTCATGGAATGTGCACCGCTTATACGCCGCCTGTGGCAGGATCGCGGCATTAGGAGAGCCTACGAAAGACGGCGTGAATTTCAAATTGTAAGCTTCTGTATTATCCGAGTATTATCTTTATTTTTTCTTGGTTTTTATACATTTTGCAGAGCGATTCCGTGTGCTATTTCCTAGACGAAATTGAGCGGCTGGCCAAACCGGATTATGTGCCCACGAACAAAGATATTTTGCACTGTCGCAAGGCAACCAAGGGTGTCTACGAGTTTTGTGTTAAAGTACAGGTGAGAGTCTGCAAGCCATGCCTTTCCTTTAGATGCCATTTACTTACGTTTCGAATTACAGAACATTCCATTTGTGTTTGTCGATGTGGGTGGGCAACGGACGCAGCGCCAGAAGTGGACTAAATGCTTCGATACATCCGTCACATCAATTATATTCCTTGTGTCTAGCTCAGAGTTCGACCAGGTGCTTGCAGAAGACAGGTGAATATCAATCGAACGAAACATTAACCGAACAGCAGATAAAAGTATATTATGTTTCCATAGAAAAACCAATCGCCTTGAGGAATCAAAGAACATATTCGATACCATTGTCAACAACAACACATTCAAAGGCATTTCAATTATATTATTTCTGAACAAAACGGATTTGCTCGAACAGAAAGTACGCAATCCAGAGACTGATATACGCTGGTACTATCCACAATTTAATGGCAATCCGCACTCACTTCTGGACGTCCAAAACTTCATACTGCAAATGTTCATGAGCGTTCGACGCAGCAGCAGCACCAGTCGGATCTACCATCACTTCACAACTGCCATAGATACGCGCAACATCAATGTTGTGTTCAATTCGGTGAAAGATACGATATTGCAGCGTAATTTAAATGCCCTGATGCTGCAGTAGCGCAGTCCAGAACCAGAACTAGAACCAGGGTTTCACGCGCCAGACTGACAATCTTTTTATAGTTATATGTACAGAATATATATGAATACGATATGTCGTGTGTATGTATTGCACATATCCACATATAACGAACGCAAGTGCCAGCTGTCAGGAAATGTATAACTTTGTAAAGGGCCGCCCCACCCAAAATTGTTGTTAACTTTTTAAAATGGTTTAATTATTCATTAATTTTTGATTAAAGGAAATCTATTATTATTTTTTTTTAGCACTTACATGTATTATAATGTACTCTATTTATGCACAACTGTATATAAATTATTTTGTATGTGTTTGTAATCGCTTCCTGCTCCTGCTATCCAAACAGACTTCAACGCCATATGCACATACAATATAAACTAACCAAAAACTGATAATACATGCCTTCATATTTTGTGTATCCATGTATTTAGGTTAATTCCTCTATGCCTTTTGCTACAATAACTTTTTACAAGCGTACATATAACATTTATAGAAAATATATACATGTTTTTATACCTACTACATATGTATGTATGTATGTGTGTACGTACATACATATGTACATACATATATACTCAATTAGTCGAAAATCTAATATGTTACACTATATAGAAAGTGAGAGAGAACGAGCCTAATTTTAAGAAGCGCGCTTTCTCATAGAGTAAAGTCAGCAACCAACAAATGTACCAATTAAATAAAAACGATCAATATTTAATAAATGGAACAAATCGAATATAAATAATAGAGATAGATATTTTCTTTTATTTTTAGAGTTACAAAATTATCTTGGGTGCATTTTTGATTGGTTTTCATTTGAAACTACTTTGCCTCTCCGAGATGTTTTGTAAATGGTATTTGTCCATCAATAATTCATCAGAAACGAGGAGGAACGTTGGGTCGCCCTGAAACGCGACTCAGCTGTTTTACTAGGTACTAAGTCGGTATATACGTACATTTGTATATGATAAAAAGCTAAACTAACAAAGATGCACTAAAAAAAAAAACAACAGGTGATAAAGGTGCACGATTAATATGTGGTCCAATAGACAACAAAATTCAAAACGTTTGCTTACTTTGTATACAATTTTGAATAAAGCTGTATATAATGTCTGTAAAAAAAGAAATAATAATAATAATAATACAAATAACATCTTAAATTGTTTTACTTAATGGTTTTCCCACCACTCACCATCCCATGTAGCGGCAGGTCAAGTTTATGAACTAAAACACCCACGCAAATACATATATACGTGTGGCACCGGCAAAACTGAGTTCTGATGTCACACACCTTGCGTATTTTGTGGTATATTTGAGTATTTTATAGATTTTTGTAGTATTTCTTAGAATTAGTTCCTAGTATTTGTTTGCGCATAGCAAATGTTGTCACCGTTTGGATACCTTTTGCAAAACAATAAAAACCATGGTCAAATGAAATACATAAGTACAATCCGTTAGAAAATTTATTCATTTACCGGTGAAAATTATATTTCCAGAGCTAAGAGTATTAGCTTGCTAGTAATATTAAGTCGAATATCAAAATCCAGAAATATTTCTAATCATGGTAAGAGAACGATTAACCCATTATCTACCAGTGAGTACATAAATACACAGACGAAAATTGAAAAACTTGAAGAATATTAGCGCTGTTGAGGTGGGTGGGGATTGGAATGGATCAACAATAAGAATACACTAAAGTGTACACAAAGTCATTTTCGGTGAATTATTTCTGTTGAATTTTCTTAATAGAGGTGATTTTTCCTGGTATATTTTCCGCGGTCACACTAATCAAAATGGAATGGTTGATTTAATAAAGAAATTTAAATAATGCACACATATGCAAAATACTAATAATAAATTCGAGTAGGCCATCAAGGTAGCATCACTGGCAACAACATCTCTGGCAAATAAATAGCTCCGGACTTTGTACCCAGCAGCCGACTCAGTACATACAGTGAAGGTAATTTTTAGTTAATTGCTAGCAAAAATTAAAACACAAAATACCTCTTTCGCGCTGATAACAATATCTGCTCACTTGTGTGAGCCTCGGCGTCCCGCTCTTTGATAGACTAGACCCAGTTAGTTGCGTGGCTGGACCTGTCAGCCACTACACCAAGAGCAACAGGTTCGTTCCAGGCCGACGAGTCAATATTTTGGGTGAGACATGCTGTTGCAGCCTATTAAAAAAGCATATATTGGAAATTAACCTTTCACTTTGATGGCGTAACAAATGCTACAACGTCTCGGTATTATCTGATTGGTTGAGACTTTATCGCAAGAGCAGACAGCCCTAGATTAGGACCCAATCCAATAATCAGCTGGGTGCAAACTCCAAACAATACAAAAAATTATTAATGCTCAATTTGTTGTACAGAAAAAACCTTTGGGAATTACAATGGCAACGGCGGAGCAAGTGCCCACGGAGCGAAAGGCGAATCCGGCCAAATCTTTCCTCACAGGCGGCTTCGGGGGAATTTGTAATGTTCTTTCCGGACATCCGTTAGATACCATAAAGGTGAGTTACTTTAACTAATACGAATAAGAACTAATTCCGAATATTGTGTGCCATGCAGGTGCGCTTGCAGACAATGCCGCGACCGGCGCCTGGGGAGCAGCCACTCTACAAAGGAACCTTTGACTGTGCTGCGAAAACGATAAAGAACGAAGGTGTTCGTGGCCTGTACAAGGGCATGTCAGCTCCATTAACGGGTGTTGCACCTATTTTTGCCATGTGCTTTGCGGGCTATGCGCTGGGCAAACGTTTACAGCAACGAGGAGAGGACGCGAGGCTCACCTACTCACAAATCTTTGTGGCCGGTTCGTTTTCGGGCCTGTTCTCCACGCTGATTATGGCGCCAGGAGAGCGAATCAAAGTCCTGCTGCAAACACAACAAGGACAGGGCGGTCAGCGTAAATATAATGGAATGATCGACTGCGCTGGAAAGCTTTATAAGGAGGGAGGACTACGCAGTGTATTCAAGGGCAGCTGCGCCACCATGCTCAGGGGTAAGTGGACGCCATTGGCTGTGTGGTTACAATATTATTACATTTATTACATATTCAAGTTCAACGTAATCTTAAAGCTAACCTAAGAGTATGAGTTAAATCTCATTGGACATCTCTAACACGAGCGGCTCCGGGTGTGGCTGCTCTTTCTGTCGCTGCAGCACAAACTGCAAAGTGTTGCGTTGCTTTTTAGGCTTTTGTGCTACTTTCCTGGGCCTTGCCTTTTTGGACTGCTGGTCCTGGTCCTGCAGCTCGATCTTACGCCAGTGGGGCAGCGGCAGACCTCTTTTATGCGGCTGAAGGATTTGTATGTCGCCACAATGGAGTTGCTTGCGCAGCACGTAGTAGACACTGCGTCCATTATAGTTGGCGCAGCGTGGCACAAGACTCTTGTCCGTCTCATAGGGTGCCTCGAATCTACACGAAATGGGATCGCCATTTATGTCCTTCACGCATCTCTTCACACTGAGTCCCCGCACCACATTGGTCAAGTAGGGTTTCCAGTAACGCATCTGGCAGCTGCATTGCCACGGATTCTGATCGAGACGAATCACGCGAACAAGTGGCAGGCGGAGAAAACTCTCAGGCAAAGTTTTCAATTGATTACCCTGCAGCTGAACTTCCTCAAGCCGCTGCTGATCATCCAGCAAGCCATGGGGCATGTTTGTCAGATTGTTGTGGCTCAGGTTGAGAAATTTCAATCGCTTCACGCCCATGAATGCATCCATGGAGAGTTCTGATACACCACACTGACTAATGTCCAGCTCCCTGAGTTGTTCCATGCCCGCAAAGACATCGAACTGTATGCTGTGGATTTTTCCACGCAGCTTAAGAAACTCCAAATTATAAAGACCCTGTCAAAGTGGAGTTTGGAGTTAAAAGATGTCAGAGAAGAGGCCTGGCCTTTGCTTACCTTAAACACTCCCTGTTCTAGAGTTTCAGTGGAAACATTGCCAAGCACAAGCGTGCGCAGTTCGTTGAGGGAATCAAATTGTCCGTAAATAAACCAAGTGCGCAGATCCAAAGCCGCCTGGTCGCTGCCCATTTGTAGCTCCCTCGTATCGTTCATTACCCAAAATGTGCCAGGCAGGATGTACTTGACAGGATTGCTGCGCAGATCTGCCTTCTGTAACTTTGGCAAGGGCGGAAAACTCAATTCACTCAGACGCTCCAGTTGATTATCCGCTAAATTGAGCGTCTCCAGTTGCAGCAGGCCAGCTAGACCCAGATAATGCAATCGACTTAGGCCGTTGTGTGCCAAGGAGAGACTCTTCAGGTTGAGGGCACCCGAGAAGGCGAACGGTGGCAACTCCTCAATGCTATTCCGCTCCAGATTGAGGTCCCTCAGTTGATTTAGCCCATCGAACATTTGCCAGTGCAGTTTATCCAGCTTACAGCCCACGATACGAAGCACCTCCAGTCTCTTCCAGCCAAAAAAGCTGGGCATTCTGGTCTGCTTGAGTCGTTGCATGTGCTGCTCATAGGTGACAATGTCAGAGGCGGCATCCTCGAACTGAAGCGGATACTTGGTGGAATATTCACTGGATGGCAGCAGCTCACTGGGCGGCTTATACTCATAGTCGTCACTGGGTAGCTTCGAGAACTTTGGACGCTGCAGCCGATCGCTTGCCTGCAATCGGATCTGCTCAAAGTTGGCATGCTGCAGAAACTTCAGCGGATCATCGATGATCAGAGTAGCTCCTGTGCCACGAATTTCCAAAGTTCTTAGCTGCTTCAGTTGCCGCAAACTGCTGGTATTTACTGCGAAATTAATTATAAAGTTACTTGTTTAACCAGCCGAATGCCGAAGTCGTTCCCTCACCTGCCAGTTGATTCTCCACATTGCCCGTGTAGAGCAATATTAGTGCCTGCAAATCCATTGGCAAATAATGCCTAAGTTCGTGCCACTCGTTTTGGGACTGAATCAGGCAAGTGGCTAGTTTCGTGGGCGTGCCATCATCCACATTCCTCCCGGCCATGTGATTAACCCAGCGAGCAATGGGCAGCTCTTTGAATGCCTCCAGCTGACAGACGCATTTGCCTGGGCAAGTGAGAGCTTCCAGCTCCAGTTCCACTTCGGGCTCAGGCTCATATCCAAGTATCGGCTATGATTAAGCAGAGTCTTTTCCTTGTAAACATACGACTCGAAGGTGTTCAACTTACCTTTGTCAGCATAAGCAAGATCAGCAGCGTCTTGAAGCCCTGGACGATCCCCCACATCTTCATTCTGGCTTCACGCTTTATTCGACGAATGCCATTCATAAACTAAAACGAAATCGCAGCGCGACTGCCACATGCCTGAACAATTGCTGAGAAAATGAAGGCGGTTCCCCATTTGAACTCTCGTAGTATTGTTTATATATATTATTCGTCTCTGCTTTTAAAGGAAGTCGCCGATAAGAACATCCTCTGCTTGGATAAGCAACGAAATAAGAATACAAAACATGAATTGTATAACATGGTGCATGTGTTTGTGCCTGCACATTGAGATATTCGTGTACAGATTGTACATATTTATATGTAACTTGATGGTTTGAGCATTTGGGCGAGAAGTTTGGCTGGCCCATCGAAGTCCATCGGACACAAGGTCGAGCTCTGTGCACGATTTGTAACGAATCTGCCCCATCAATTCTTTGAGTTTTATTTGTAATTTCTTTCAACTTATTTGTAACATTAGTAGAAGGGCAATCTTAAGCAATTCTATCTTTTTAATATGTACTTTAAATTACATTTCTATCAATTAATAAGAAAGAAATCCTGAAAGCTACGACTAGCTGCGAGCTGGAGTACTCTACTTTTTCCGCACTGCTGGAACTATTGCCACACTTAAATGTATTATTAAAATGTATTTATAGTACATATAACTTGTGAGCCTCTTAATCATTTACAAGACATTTGACACAAGCTCATGGCAAGATGGATTCAAGCATTGGGAATTCAAGACATTCAAGATCAAAATATCTAAAAATGCTTAAAATATTCGCATAAGTTTATTGTGTAAGTACATAAATTTAAGAGTAGATTCGATTGTAATAATTAGCTAACGTAAACATGTTTTGACTACCGATTAATAAATCTAAACAAACAAAATCCTATTTTTAGATCTACCCGCCAATGGACTCTACTTCCTGGTGTACGAATATATACAGGATGTGGTCAAGGCCAGATCGGAAACAGGTCAAATTAATACTGCCTCAACCATTTTTGCTGGCGGTGCTGCTGGTATGGCGTACTGGATATTGGGCATGCCAGCCGATGTCCTCAAGAGTCGCCTGCAGTCCGGTGAGTACTTTGAAACTTTAATTTATTCGTTAAATTTGTATTTGTTATTTATTTGTCATACTTATTTGTATTCCTATATTGCAGCACCCGAGGGCACTTACAAGCACGGAGTACGCAGTGTGTTCAAGGATCTGATTGTTAAGGATGGTCCACTGGCTCTGTACCGTGGTGTTACGCCCATTATGATTCGCGCATTCCCAGCCAATGCGGCCTGTTTCTTTGGCATAGAGCTAGCGAACAAATTCTTTAATGTTGTGGCTCCTAATTTCTAACTGTAGCAGTTCTTGTTTTCATTCTCTACAACGCCTTGCAATGAAATTGTTAAGTTAAGTCATAAAGTTATGCTAAATAAATGTACTTTTTGATATGATTCAGTTGGAAATTTAAATAGCCAAGAAACTAGTGGAGAAGAGTTGAAGACCCTTAGAGCACATCTGTTAAGAGATATCGCGATAATGATGAAGACACAAACGGGTTAACTTATCTTTTTTAACTGGTAGTGTTTTTGTTGTCGGAAAATGAGCAGGAAAAAACTGCTGAAAAATAAAGGCCAACATCTTTTTCGACAGCTGAAGGTTTACTTTATACAATTAAAAATAATTATAAATGATATAATTATATACAACTTAGTGGCACGCTGTGAGCTTGTGATTTATAATTTAAAAATCTGTTAAAGGCGAGTTTGCACTCAGTATGTGGCTGCTATAGCTCTTATGGGATGGGAAAATATCCTAAAACTCTTCGAATGCCTGGCATAAAAAAATGTGCATTTAAATAAGTGATTTAAATTGTTGTACGACTTTCGTTTTCTCAGATAAAAATGGATTTCGTTTTTAAACTTCGCAAGGAAACAGATCTAAATTGTATTAAATATCGAATTAGCCGAGCTATCTAAGAGCGGGACAGAATGGCTTGGTTGGCAGCTGTGACGCTCAACCAACTCCAAGTTCGCTTGTGTCCGTCACCTATGTACATATGTGTGTACTTTTGTTATATGATTCTGCAAGCTTAAATTATATAAATGCCTGCAAAAGGTATTACGATATACTATTCATATATTAAATTATTGCGCTTGCAACTTAATTAATTGGTTTGGTTGACTGTTACTCAGTTCTAAAATAAGTGATCTAATAAACGTTAGATTAGATAACCAGAGCGTCAATTACAACTATTTATGAGGTGGTTTTGATTGTCGTGCGATTGTTGTTGTTGTGTTTAATACTTAAGTGTTCCTTCTACTCCACAGATCTGCCTGCTAATGGACTATATTTTCTCAGCTATGAGATACTGACGTCTGAGTACAAGCGACGCTATGATAGACCCAATGTGGATCTGTTTCCGGCCGTAATAGCCGGCGGAATGGCGGGGATTTTCTATTGGATCGGTGGAATGCCAGCCGATGTGCTCAAGAGTCGTTTGCAGTCGGGTTAGTTTAACTCAATTAAGAGTTTACAAGTGCAACAAATCTTATCCACAATCCTTTTCGAAGCTCCCGAGGGCACATACAAGCATGGCATACGAAGTGTTTTTGTGGATCTCATGAAAAATGACGGTCTGCTGGCTTTGTACAGAGGAATTACCCCCGTTATGTTGCGTGCTTTTCCAGCGAATGCGGCCACATTTTTTGGCATCGAGCTTGCCAATGCATTTTTTCGTACTGTGGCCCCAGACTTTTAGGCAGACGATTCAGAAGGCATTTTTAAGTATACAAAAACAAATGAAAAAATTTAATAATACAAATTTTGTTCATAACAGCTAATACAAAATATATGTTTTAATTAACAATTTATAAAAAAAAAAGGTTCAATTGTTGCGCTTAAAAACAAAAGCGACGGCAAATATCAGAGGCTGCTGGTGGGGGAAATGTGAGCTCTCCTGGAGTCCACTCAAACTTCATCCCCCCATGGTAGCACCATGCGAGGACCACTAGCTTATTCACCTCGCTCAAAAAGACAAGTGCAAGAACGGGATAGAGATAGAGTAGTAATTTCACCATGATCCCCCCCACTCGCTGTTCGCTAACTGTTAAATGTTGACAATGTGCCCATGCAATAAAAATATGTAAAGGACAGAAATGTTGATGCTTCCGTCCCTAATTAAGCAATTTTACGGTCATGATTATCGAAATTAAATAGCTGTCGCTTCATGTTCTCGTTTTTGGACAAGGTATACGGGGAGAGCAGCATGGTGGGCAATACATTCAGCGACTTAAGCTCGGGCAGACGAATATTGAGTACGTTTTGATGGGTCTGTTGCTGTTCCGATTGATTGCTCCAAATAGGGTCGATCCAAAAAGGTAACTTCTGTAATGTGTCAAGAGTCAATTAAGAGGAGAATTGAATGTATAATCTCTCTCACCTCCGCAGTGTTCGCATCAGGATTGGCTGACTCATAGATGGAGGCTATTGGCGCGGCAGTACAGCCAACTAAATCATACAGATCCCCAGATGCACTCCCTGAGTTCTGCCCAAAGGAGTGAGGTTGAAGTGGCGGCTGCATCTGCTGTTGATAGAAACTGGCCTGACGGCGATGCCAGAGCTTTCCCGGCGAGGGTTGCGCATGTGGGGTGCCTGGCATGATGGCAGTGCTGGATGTAATGTTGGTCAAATCTCCAGCTCCAAGACTGCCATTCAGCTCGCCAGTGGAGTTGAACGAGCTGTTGAACAGCTGTAGGGAGGAGTTCAGTGAATTCTCCTTGTTGCAGCAGCCGCTGCACAAGCTAAGGTTCGATCCCGCGCTCGAGCCAAAACTATTCAGCAACGAGGAGCTGGCACTCGGTGGAGGAGAACATTTTGTGGCTGCAGTGTACTGCTCCTGGTAGTTCAGGTAACTCTTTACCTGCGGCTTGAAGGACGCATTGGATGCGCTGGCCACACTATTCGCATATTCATTGGCAATTGCTCGGGTCTTGTGTGGCGGTGGCGCCTGAGCAGGCGGTGGACGATTGTGTTCGCCCAGAGGAGTACGAAAGGTGCGCTGCGCCTTGTGTTTGGCATAGGGCAACTTCAAAGAGCCAAACAAATGCTGATGACTGACTCCCGAACTGAAACGTACTGTAAAAGGAGTGAGTTTCGTCTTTCCCACTTTCCTACAACTGTTTGCTACTTACATTCACAGTTCACATTGAGTGACACATCGCTCCTCTCCTGCGTGGGTCCCTTGTTAATCGTAAAGAGATCCTCATGGGCAGCCACTACCGAGTATAGATTGGGAAAACCAAACTCAAAGGTTGTGCTGAGCCCACAGTCCAGTCCGCTCTTGATCTCGTACAGATACATGCTGGGCCGCTGTTCCAGCATGCGGACAATCGACATAAGAAACCTCATGAAGCTGGTAGGGCGAACGAACTGCTCGTCGTTTTCATCGTAAATCTGGAAAGGAAACGCGAGTTCAAAGCGATGTACTGGTGCATAGTTTCACTTACCTCAATGGTATGGCGCATGGCAAGCAATGCGGTTTCTGTGAGCTGAATCGTGTGCTTTGCATTGAACTCACTTATGAATTGAGCTTTGGGCAAGGGCTCTGGTGCTGCAGGTGTTGCAATCGGAACACCTTTCGGTGCATCTGTGGATTCTCGCTGCAATAGATGCTTACAGGCGCGATAGCACAACTGACGGAATTCCAGATCATCATTGTGGCAAATCAGCCACGTGGCTTGATCCTTGTGCTGCACTTCGACATAGGGCAGCAGTTCAATGGCCGAGGCTATATCCGAGACGCCCAATGTCTGTGGCAGCATTTGGTAGCCAAACTTCTTCTTGTGCAACTTCAGCACCTGCTCGAGTTTCATGCAGTTTGTGGAGTTCCCCGTGACATTCCGGATGAGATCCTCGCACTGCTCGGCAAACACACGCCTGGCCACCTTTGGCGAGAGTAGAATCTTCTTGTCCTCATCGCCAGTCGACTCCATCTCAACCACACCATGAATGGCATCCATGAGATCGGCCAGCTTCAGGAAGCCGTAATCGCTGAGACGACACTGGTATGCGAAATGATAATGATACGAGCGAACGAACTTCTGAAACAGTATCGTATACTGTAGGGAATTCCGGAACAGCTCCACCATTTCCCCTGCAAAAACGCAGGTTTTCTCCAGCTCACTATTGGTCTGCTTGCGCTTGGGCATGGAAATGAGTATGTCCTTGCCCTGCTGCACGTTGCTCAAGACCACAATATTGGAGTTGACCAGGCCATCCAGTATGTCCACAATGTCGCACACTCCATAGTCAGTCACATCGAAATTTCGGCTCTGAGTCTGAGCAAAAATGCCCGGCAATTGGGACAGCAGCACCGAATTATTACCATGCGCACGCAGGACCCGCAACAGGTCGGACGTGAATCTACGTATCTGGGTGCGATGTGTTAGCGTGATCTGACGATTCTCTCCGTCGCCCATGATCTGCACCACAGAGGACAGTGCCTCAAAGAGCTCAATGAGCTTGGTGTAGCCATAGTCTGCCACTCGACATTGCTTGCCAAAATGGTTGTGATATGCCGGGATAAAGCGATTGAACTTCATGGTCGACTTGGGCGACATCTTCACCAGCTCGATAACCTCGCGGGAAATCTGGTAGAGCGGATCAGCGACAGAGTTCTTGAAGTAGCTGCCGCCCGAGACATTCGACATGCGGTCGCTGCCGTTTAAGCTGCTCGAATTCGAGGAGCTGAAGGAAGCGGTTCCAATCGATGAGGCCATCTCCTTGTTCAGCTCCAACCAGCCTAGAATCTTTATGCCGAAGTTATTCACCTGTATCTGTATGCCTTGAACACAGCAGACCAAGTGCTCCAAGTTGACGCCGCTCTCATTGGCCATAATCGACACCTTCAGCTGGCCCTCAATGCAGTGCAGGAGCGTGGCCACGGGTATGTCACCAGGATGATTCTTGAGCAGCGGATAAATCAGCTTCTGGATCTCTGAAATTGTCATAAACACATTGGGCAGCGGCTCAATCTCTTGCTCTGCCCATCCCTTGTGCTGTTCCTTCTTGAAATGAACCGTGCAGTAAGGCACACTGTGCTGCAGTCCCTCCATCAAAGGTGAGCTCTCCAAAGTGTTTACCAGCTCTGGCTGCAGACTGATAAACTTATCCTCATTGTTATCCGAGTTAATGGTACAGATGTCCTGCATCTTGTACAAATCCAGAACACTGATGGAGGTTTTGAAACGCGACTGGAAAAGCTCTCGGAACTTATACATCGGCAGTGTATAGTACGGAACATCCTGCGGAAGAGCACAAAATTGTAAGACACAAAGGGGAATCAAAGTTTGTTCTTACCTTTAGCAGTCCAGCGACCTGGCAACGCAGTGTGTTGACCTCGGTCAATGAAGAGTCGCGTGTGTAGCTGACCAGCATGCGCTTGTGGCCAATCTTCTTGCGATGCAAATTGGACACGACCTGCTTGGCAAACTTGGGGGAAAAAGGAGGTAGAAAAAGAAATTCAGGCAGATTATGCACCGGGTTCGCTCACATATAGATCGGGCACAGTGACCTTGGCATAGGAGCTGCCCTCAAAGATCAGCGACACCACTGGCGTAATGGGCTTCAGCTGGTTCATCAGAAAGTTGCGCAGACTCGACTCATCCAGTGAGTAGTCCAAATTGGTTATTTGCAAAGTTACCGCATCACTGGGATCGGTAATTGTGGCGTAGGTCTGACCGGATCCTTCCCCATTGCTGCTGCTGCCACTTAGGGCCACTGCGGAAGCTATGGCCCTAGAACGGGGCGCCTTGGTTTCGTTCAGACTGCTGGCGTAGCCAAAATCACTGCCTGAGGCATTGTGCGGTGTGGCAACGCTTGTGTGGTCCACGGCAGCACTGCTGCTGGCAGAGGCGCTGATTGCGAGAGGGGCGGCAGACGAGGCCATGGGCAGGGAGAGAGGGCACATGCTGCTCGTCTGATAGATCGAGTCATATGGCTGATATGTCTGTTGCAGCTGCTGCTGTTGTTGGGGAAAGCTGTGCAGCAAGGGATGGCCGGGTATGGCGGCGGCAACAGCTGCTGCAGCCGCGCAGGAGCGATTGTGATTGTACGGCATATAGCGATTACGGTTAAAGCAGGAAGCGCTGCCATTGATGTGAGCATGCTGGCACACCTCCAACTGTGTAGGCATAGGCGTGCCAAGAAGCTTTCCTGCCAGCATTCCCGGCGGCTGCATATATCCGGCCAATCCGTTACTGTGATAGTACCGCAATCCCCCAGCTAGACCAGCTCCGGAATTGTTGAAATCCGCACACAGTACACCCGGTGGCAGAGATGTTGCTTGTTGCTGGTAAATTTGTGGCTGTGATTGTGGTGCATAGAAAGCGGTTGGCAGTTTTCCAGCCCGGTCACACTGCCAACTATTGAATGATTTCCATAGAATTCAAAAGAATTTCCATTTGAGTTTGAATTATTGCTCCAAAGTGTATGCACATACCTATACAAACGTTCGCCCATGTCGTCTGCCGGTTGGTTTTATTTATGCTGTCGCCAGTGGTTAACGTGGTAATATCGGTACTTGGCACGCCTCTCCTCTGATAACCCTTGTACGCTTGCGGTTTATCTGGAATGCATACAATTAGAGAAAACCCCACAAACGGAATATTTTGAGATTCATGTTAAATTATTGTAAGCATTATTCGTTCGATCAAAATAACAACGGGAACCGCAACATTTAAATAATCATTTGTCTCTGTACCTTCTCAAGAGAAGGAGGTCCAACAAAACTGTTAACATGAAATGATTTGCATTCGCATATCAATTAAATAAATGGAATTCAAATGAATAATAGGCTGCTGCTCCACTAATGTTGATGGTGTCATGTCAGCACGCCAAAGCAGAGGGTGTGAGATGTAGAGAGAGATAGAGATAAAGAACGAGAAGACGTGGAGAGAGACGAAACTGCATGTTCCATGGTTTCGTTGCTGTTTTGCTTTACTAACTGTTTATTGCACAGTGGGGCGCAAGTCACTCTTATTGAATGATTTCTTAGGGTGAAGCATCAACTGACGATAATACATTTTGTTGAGCATTTGGCTGTACTGACGTTATCTAGCCCATGCATGAGCCCAATAAGAAAGTCGCGCACCCTATCCAAAATACTCACTTGTGCCACTGAAATTCTCGAACTATGATGACGAAATCAATGATGATTTCCTCTCAAGTAAATTCAGATGTGATCTTTGAACCCCGCAACAATGGCAGTTAAGAGTCGATAAAAATTATTAATAACAAAATCAAATTAACAGTATTGTAGATAAGAAAATGAGTTAATTGACAAATACAAATAAAAAAAGTGTCATTAAACTGAATCGATCGTTTAATGAGAAGCTCGTAAGCTTTAAATAAAAGATAATATACTCGAATAAAAAAAGCAATAAAGAAAACAAATATAATTTTCAAAATATAATAAACCGCGTGTTCTTTCGCCGGTCACCATCAAATTCAATTAAAACACAGAGGGGGACAAACAAGTATTTGCTGGCGATCACTTGGACAACTGAGGCGACTGAAAAGTTTTTGGCGCGCCTTTGGCGGCATCACGTGTGGAGAAAGAGAGAGTGAGAGAGGGAGGTGTCTGGAGGCTGGAAGGTGTCGAAGCGGCTCAGAGTTGCCAGACGGAAAGTTGATGTAAAACCTTGGACTGATCACTGCTTCACGCGATTGCTGCCTTCAACAGGAGCATATCTGATCGAAGATCGTGTGAAGCACGAGCCCTTCCTCGCCGTGGCCTGGACATTGTAAAGTTGCGGAAGTTGAGCATAGCATCGAAATCCCTTCACTTTGTCTTGCACGATCTAGATTTACGTCACAGACTTTTGTAATATGTATTTATGTATCTTAAATGCACTTTTATTATAGAGCACGGTAATGACGCATTCGATTTGCATTAATAGTGGGTTCTGGACAAGCCTTAACCACCACAACCGCAGCCACAGCCGCAGCCGATGCTCCCTTGTGCAACCACACCACACCACTGATAGTAATGTTTTGTATTTTCTTAAATTTGAATAAATCCAGTAAACTATAAATTAAAAAAGGTGAATTAGTTTAAAGGCAATATGAATAGATGCTAATGAAGAGCCTAACCCATAATTTAATGCAATAAAAACTAAGCAAATTAATTGGGGGCGTTTCACTCCACAAAGTGTTGAAGATAAGTACATACAACCACATGCCATATGTACGTACTTGTGTACAGGAAAAGTAAAGGGATTTACAGATTAAACAAGATTAAACATTCATACATACGAGTACTAAAATTGGCATTCTTTTGGAAGTTGATCGTGTTTTAAGTAGGGCATCTACTGACTAGCATACTCATGGCTGTTTATTTTCGTTCCAAGCTCCATATCACAAAACTAGAGTTGCTCTTCCAATTGGAAGACATGTGCAGTTAGTTGATATGCTTTTAGCTTAGTGAGAGGGGGAGAGGAACTGAAACACGCACACACTCACACACAGAACGAGAGACCAAAGTCTCTCCTCGAGCCGCTCATTTCGGATTTCTGCTATCGTGCTTTTGCCTTTGGATTTCCTTTTGTTTCTGCGTCGCCGTTTTCGTTTTCGTTTTCGTTCTCTTCTTCGTTCAACGACTTCTTTGGCTCTGGCTGGGATACTTTACTATTTTGATTAAACATTTTCTTTGAAGTCTTTTCTTTTCGTGAAGTCTGCCAGTTAGTCGGTTCTGGTGCGTGCCTGCTAGGCTTTCTGTGTGTAAATAAAAATACTGAAATAAATAAGGAAATAAATGAAGAAAATGAGTTCAGGGATTTGGCTAATTGGGCCTATGACATTTCACGGCGTGACAAAAGCAAAAATAATCCGACTTTAATAGTGCACAAGCTGATTAACCATTGAAATAGAAGCGATCCGATCCACTTGTGTGTGTTTTTGTGCATAGTGTGTACATACATATGGACATGCATACATGATTGAATGTACTTTTCCCCGAGAGAGGTGCACACGATCAAGAGTGAGCCAACTCCTGAGACTGGACAGCTGGTTAGGCTATTCCCAAACGTGGACATACATACGTACATATGTTCATATGTATTCATGAACCTACCCTTGTAAATATGTATGTATATATGTACGTTGGAAATACCCTCATTCTTGTGATTTCCAGTGTCATTGTCTGTTCCTCAGCCTGCTTCTTGGCTGTCGAGTTTCTGATAAGCTCGCTCGGCATCTCATCGCTCCGAAAAAGCTCTGCTCGAAACATGCGAGTGTACTAAATTATAATACATTCGTGTGTATGTACATGCAGTATGTATATGTAAATTCAGATGTCTGACATTTAATAACGAAATTTAATAAAAAACATTTCAATCACACAAGATGTTCAGGAAATCGCATTCATTTAATTGCAAGCAGTCGCCTGCCTATCTTGTAAGTGGTCGTCGCGAATAGTCTGAAATACCGGCTCACATTTCAGAGGAGCTCTACTCTACGAGCTGCCACCACCGACGGTGGGTGTATAAAGTGCCATAATCCATTAACAATTAACAAAAACTGGAAACCAAATATCAAAGCAACAACAATGTTAGCGATGCAAAAGAGTAAGTTGGAGGATACAGAAATGAACAGAAATAACTGTAGAACATGCAAATATTATTTTGATTAAGGATTTTCAAATAAACATTTGAAGCCTCCACAATCGTGGAAAATAACTATAACTAATATTATTAGAGTTAACCAACAGCCGGCATGCACATACATACATACATACATACTTATGTACATATTTACATAAAAAGCTAGGCAAATGTGTTAGTTGAACTTTGAGATAGGTTATGTACGTATTATTGTTCGCTTATAAATCGATTAGTACCTGCCGATTGTGGTTTTGTATATGTACAATATTAATATATGTACGTTTGTATTCAGAAATGTACATACATACCACAAACTAAGCATCAAGTGTATTAATATGAATTGAGATCACGATCTTTACAATTTGAGATTCATTCCATATAAATATGCACTTTTAGACAGATTTTGTAGCTTATTTTAATTAATTTGTATATTTGTATTGCTGGGGGTCCTTGGGGTCATCATTGATTGACAATTATACAACACCAAATGGCGAGCTTTCTCAGATTGTCCAGAGATCAATGTACCCGCGCTAACGAGATACTCGTTATCATATCTCACAGTAATCAGGGATTTCATTTCTCAAAAGGATAGCTTTGGGGGAGAAGAAAACGAAACATGTAAACAATTTTGAAAATGTTTAAATTGTATTTATCCTACTTCTAGACTTTAAAATACATATTCATATTTATGATTCGAATGAGTTAGACAATGAATTAATTAACTTGTTACATATAACCCATTTATCACACACTAAAGCCCGCCCCATGGCGATAATTCAATTCTCACTCAATTTGCTTTAATAATTTTTCCAAGTGAATGTAGCCAAGCATAAGCCTTATAATTAGAGCATTGTTTATGTGTATTTTTATGAGCTTGAGCCGCTTCTAAATGTCTTCATTATGCTCGGACATTCGGGCTTTACTAAGCAATTACGCGTGAGCTCTCTTCTGTTTAATTATTGTACTCGAGTGCGCGTTCGCTTATGGGTATTAACGGACTTTTAAATGCTTGTAAGCTGTCTACCTGACATACAACAATTTGAGTGTCGCCTAAATTGATTACGTATGTATGTATGTGTGTACATAAATACTTAAGCTGTGGCGTGGATGGTCACTGAGTCAAACTTGAGATGCGTGAACTTGAACTTGGCTCGACTCGCAGCACTGATAATACCCAATCCAGCCGATCAATCAGAGGAATAGTACATGTACATGTGTGTGTATTCATGTACATATGTATGTATGTATGTACATAGCAAGCTACGTATAGCTATTGCGATGGAAAAACTGTTACAAGGCTATCACCATCCACAGACAACGAACGCCCGGCCCTGCTCGGCACGGGAAGGAAAAGGGAATTAAACGTAACGCTTCATTTGTGTGTTTGCTCTAATGTTCATAGGTAGTGTAGTTATTAGCCCTTTTGAAACGTTTAATTCGCGGCGCATAACAAATGAATTGTTTTCTTTTACGTTTTAAAACACAACCAGCAGGTGATTCGGAATTCTTCGCAGCATTTTTGTGGAATAAATCGTTGATTCACCGACAATTTTGTGCAAATTCATGATTAGCCAACTGAAATCGCAAAAACTTGAACAAACACACAACAAAACACAATCGAAACTCGCTCCTGCTGTGCTCCCGAACGGGGTGCTCACAAATTCTCGTTAGGCTTGCCACAAATATTCTCTGAAAAAATTGAGACAACCGAGACGAATTGTATATACTTTATGGACATACCATGAAAAGTATACTAGTAAATAAATGGCGTTGAAAATCGCACGTAAAGTGAGGAATATGGCAAACTAAAATCCATAAATCTTTTCAAAAGTTTGGCCCAGCCTCCATGAATTGTTAAACGCCAACCGCCGTTCGATTGAGTCACTGAAGAGTCTAGCCAAAAAGATGATATTTATCTAATGCTAATTCGATAAATGATTCTATATTAAATATGGAGAGAATGATATCGTTGAGGGTTTGGTTTTCTGTTTTGCAATCCCAAAGTTATTCTCCCTTCACTTACAACTTGGAGCATACAATCGTATGTATCATATTTCGTACGCATAAAAATTTGTTATGCCAATAATAGACAAAATTCTTTGCACAAGCGTCTTAAAAGTTAGAAGATGAAAGAGAGACAAAATCATCAGCAGCAGCAGGCAGCTCTTCAGCAAAATTGTGCTGACTAATATATACATAAATGTACATATGTATGTACATACATACTTACGGGTATTCTCGTTTCTAACGAACATATTGTACATATAGCTGTACATACTGTGACGACTGGACCTGTTATTCGATCGCGTTGTTGCCTCAATGTATCATGGAATTGCTTCTGCAATTTGATATATACTTTTTTTTGGTGTTGAATATTCATAGCTTATTGCGTAGGTTTTGCTTGGGATTGCTTCATTTTTTTGTGTATGGGTATGGCAAGGAAAGTTCCTTGACTGCATCAGCCTGACAAGGCAGAAAACGCAGACACAAATCTCGCACATGGGGCCAACGGATAAACGCAGTTTTCCACTCTGGTCACACTCTGCGCTGATGCCCAATGGTTTCGAGGACTAAGCTTTCCCGTTAACTACGCGCCGATCGCATGACAGTTGTATACACAAGCATATGCACAGGGAGGACCAGTAATCCAACAACAACAAAAAGCGACAACCGGAACAAGTCAAACACCTAGTCCGAACGTATTATTAAAACTCGAACATTCTGATTGCTGTCGCTCCGTAGCCGTAACCGTAGCCGGAGCAGCTTTAATTACCGCAGTGTTTGCACTTGAAGAAATCAAGAATCGATTCAGAAACAATGTTAATTGATAATTGCGCCTATAATTGCAGTAGCATTAGTAGCATGTGTGTTGATCCGGAGCGGACGAGTGCAAAGTACACGCTGCTTTCCGCCAG